CCACACAGGAGCTGATTGATCGTTTTTTAACTGATTGTTCAACTGTTGTTGTTTTTTTTTTTTTTTAATATACTTTAGCTTCCCCCCCCCCCCCCCCCCACACACACACACACACACAGATTGTCCCCTCTTGATGTTCTATTAAGTTGCCCTAATGTTATGAGAGAGAGAGAGAGAGAGAGAGGGAGAGACAGAGAGAGAGAGAGAGAGAGAGAGAGAGAGAGAGAGAGAGTGAGAGAGAGAGAATAGCCCCATATGGTCCAACTAAGAGGACCCCCATTATTCTCGCTCTCTACACACACACACACACACACACACACACACACACACACACTGTAGTGGGTCTTAATGCCACTTAAGGCTGTTAGTGTTTCCTGTTGATGTCCGACAACAGGCTCTTCACAAGCCATCATTTCCCACTCTGCAGAGCTTTTTATACTCACACACACACACATATAACAGAAATAAGCACACACACTTAAACATAAACAGAAGGACGGGCAGAGCAGGTAGAGCATTCAGCCATCAGGAGGAGTCACAGGTGTGTTTTAAAAGGTTTTCTTCCTCAGGAGAAACTTTAAGAATATTCGAGGAAAAAAAAGTCAGAGCCTAAAAAAGATTGACTAAAAGGACAAAAACAAGGTTTTCTTCATCCCCCCCCCCCCTCTCTAAATCCAGCTTAGTCTCAGCAGATGACTGTCTAACATGAGTCTGGTTCTGCTCGAGGTTTCTACCTGTTAAAGGAAGTTCTTCTTCTCCACTGTATGGTTGAAGATGGGATGGGAGTTGGTCTGATCTTACAGGATGGGGCTCAGTCTGATCCTGTCTTTACACTGGGTCTTTGTAAACAGAGTCTGGTCTAGACCAGGTTTTGTTGTTAAGGATAACACCAAATGTGAATTGGTGCTATACAAATAAAGATTGATTTAATTAAATCATTTGTTTTTCAAGGAGGCTGGTAAGAGTCTCTTGCCAAGTCTTACAGACCATGGAGGAGGGGGGACTATTTTGAGCTGCTGTGATGAATCATTTTCGAATAGGCTGAAAATGAAGATTTTGTCTCAACATTAGATTTCACGACTAATGTTCATTTGGTGACTGTTATGAGCAGGATCTTTATAGAATGAGCATGAGTATACATGATCATAATGTGCTAACCCCTCATTATATCTGATCTTTATTTATCATGAGTGAGCAATAACACAAAGTGAGGCTGACGTGAGGAGGGTCCTGCTTCATTACCTGATCCTGCTGAGGGTCCGTCAGTCTGCAATGATAATCTAAAAGGTCTGTCACACATCCAGCATGAACACGGCGATACTTCCACTGCAGATCCAACACATCTATTTGGATGGCTTTCTCTGAGCGCTGAGAGTATTTACATCAACCAGAGTATTCTGGATTTGATCAGGATTTAAAGCATCATGTTCATGTTTGTGTCAAATCCTGATAACAAATGCTGGAATGGTTTCTGACGTTTTCCACATAAACACTTACTTTACATGTAGTTCACTTATGTGATTTTATTCACGTTTGGTGTGAATGCATCATTATTATCATTATTATGAACTTTTGCTAAAGTTTGAACATCCAAGACAGTCACACAGACACACAAACCAGCATTTCAAGACCTTTATGCTAAATATGAGTTTACAAAGATGAACTCTTAGTTTCTATCAGCTCCATCAGGTGGACCCGACCATCTGACACCACCTGCCAGGTGTGTGTGTGTGTGTGTGTGTGTGTGTGTGTGTGTGTGTGTGTGTGTGTGTGTGTGTGTGTGTGTGTGTGTGTGTGTGTGTGTTGTGGAACATATCATCTGATGTCATCAGAGGTCACAGCGAGGTCACAGGATCACTGCAGGTTATCAGTGATCCTCTGTGTTAAGAGCTCTCACTCCGAACAGCAGCTTATTTGTTTAAATTTGTTGCTCGCTTTTTTGTTTCTTTCTCTTCAGGTCTCAGTGGTTGAGAGGAAGTAATACAGTAGTTTTGAAATGAACATTAATTCATCAGATAAATAAATACAGTCTAAAGGTCCTTACACACCGGGGCTGTTTTTGTCGTGCAGTTATTTCGGACGGCAATATTTTTTTTCGAAAAAATTTATCCTGTCAATACTAGCGTTCACATCGACCTGAAGGCCAACTTGTGGAGAGTCATAGCCTCAGATTTCTGATATGACGATGTTTTGTGTGCTTTAACAGTTTGCTAAACGTCTTTGTTTTAACTTTCATTTGTGCTAACGTGAGCTACAGGTTGTTACCATAGTTTCATGTGCTTATCTGGTACTGGCCCCGACTCAGTACATGCTATCATGACAGGAAGCCATCTCAACACTAGTGTCTAGTGTCTAGTCCTCTGCCTCTTAAAACTTGGAGCTAATTGTTTCAGCAGAACTTCAAATTGTCCAACAGACATCTGAAAATAGGTTCCGAAGTGACCGTGGTACAGTTTCAGCTCCTGAACCAAGCAGTGAAACTCACCAAGTTCTCTTCTTTTTTGTAATACTGGATGCACCCATGTGCTACATTTCTTTGTCTTTTGAGAAAGCAAAAGGAGTACCAATTCACCATCACTTGAAGTTGAAGTAGACTCCATTTTTGTCTTCCTGCTTCCACCCAGGCTGTTGTAGGATGGTAAGGGAAGGTTCTGCCCTCCTTCACCAATCAGAGGCGAAGGAGCGTGTGATGACGTTTCCAGCTTTTCTAGTCAATCAGAGGCGAAGGAGGCAGGACTTTTCCCCAGAAAAGTCCTCCCTGGGATGCGTCTTTTCCCTCCCCGGTAAGTCGCAAAATCGCATCAGGCTTGATGTGTATAGTCAGTCCACTGAAAATTCCCCTCCGAATATTACATAATTTCGCGTTCCATATTCGCGTCAGCCCTGGTGTGTAAGGACCTTTCATCTAGTAATGGTCGGGACATGGGCAGGAGATTTTTGGACCAGCTAAATTACAGTAATCCAACCTGGAGGTGAAAAATGCATGGGCTGGATTTCTTTTACACATAACCTTTTTTATAATAAGATTGGACATTCTTACTTATCTTTTTAAAATTTAATGTATATTATTTATCTATAATGTATTTTTTTAATTATTATAAAAGGAATGTGTTTATTTCAGTCTTCTGTGTTTCATTTTATAATTGTGACTCTGCTGTTAATCCAAAGGGAGTTTTACTCTATGAAATCTAATTTTCTTGGGGCTAATGTGTCTCTATTGTGTTCATTTAACTGACATGGTGACAGCTGTTATTTTGTCTATTGTAGAGCTGCAATGGTAAGATTAAAATAAATCAACAACGAAAATAATTAACATATCTTTTGTTCATTAATTAATATTACTGTCAATGTTGCTTCATAAAGCAAAAATCAAACATGACCTGGTTTGTTTCTCATACATATGAGTGCAATGAGTAAACAACTGTGAATTGAATGATGAATAAAAGTTGATTAAAACATTTAATAAATCTTAACTTTATAGTTTATTCGTAAGCCAAGATTAATTTTGTTCAGGTAAACTTATAACAGAGTTCCTCGATGGCCAAAACACAATGAACCTCTGTTAGTACTCAGTGTTCCAGTCTAAAAACGGTGTGGTGCTTTAAACCCTCCTTCTGCAACTACACAACAGCCAAACACTCCGAGGTCAAAGGTCAGAGGTCGCAGAAACTGACGCCACGATGACCTTAGAGAAAACAGAGCGACGCCGGCCTGCTATCAGCTGATTCACTCTCTGATCACTCACTCATCAAACTCTTCTTCCTCCTCTCCAACTTTCCTCTGCTCTCCACCTGTGGAGCTGGTTGAAGCACGTGACAGAACGCGGAAGCGGAAACAGAGCAGTGAGATGCCAACAGCTGAGCAGCTGCAAAGATCCCGTATTAACAAGATGAGCCACTCTGTCGCTAAATGTTGTGACAGCGACAAATGCGGTCTGCAAACGCTTCACCTAAAATTAAAAATAGGAAGGAAAATACACTTTCACATCAGACTCCGTCATCTTTTTGTCGTTCTCACAAACATAAATCCCTACCTTCGAGTTTGAGGCCTCACTGATCGCTGATTTAAGATGAATTAACAAATCCAGTAGTAACATACATAGACCTAAAACCAAATACAGCATTTTCAGTCAGCTAGAACACTAGAATAATACGACCAATTTTTAATTCCCTTATTATATAAATGTGGCTAATAGTCCTAATCTCATTCAAAACAAATATCTTGTAATATCATGTTTCATTAATGAAACTCAAGGCTTAAAATCGGTGTACTGATAAAATTTATAGATGTTGAGCTGTGAATAAAAATGTAAAGCTCTCCAACAATGTTACATTCTAGAGCAAAAAGACCTGCAAACCTATGTTACATTTACCAACACACACACAAAAAAAGAAAGAAAATAATAATAATAATAATAATAAAAACTCTTTACTACCCTGGATTACCCCTTAATAAAATCTTTAAACCTTTTTTACCATTGTGTCTGGTCATAAGTCACCACATATGGTTGTACAGCAGTAATGTGGACATGAAAATCCCCTGAGCTGATTTGTTATGACCCAAAAACATTTCATCAAACACAAAACAATCCACTGAGCTCAAAATGTTTTCATGCAATGCAAATTGCAAGAACAAAACAAGACACAAAACCTAAAATATTTTATTGATGTATTTACGTCTAACAACACGAGATAACGTGCACAGCCCTGCGTATTTTTCTATTTTGTGAATATTATTTTCTGTTTACATTTATCAAGGCCGCCTCAAGTTTTTAATTTTGACGCATTTATCAAAATGTTTGATAGGGTATTTTGCCTAAATGGGGTAAACCATTTTTAATGTCGTTTGTAACGCTTTTCCCCTCACTTTTCCCCCTCTATTCTCCTCGTCAGATATAAGCGTTTTTAGACGTCGACTTCCCTTTGATTCCCGGAAAACATCTCCAGAGTGGGACCTCTTTCTTCCTCGCGCTCTCTGACGGCAGCTTCAGCTCAGCTAGCAGCCCGAGCTAATCCGGCTAACAGCTAACGGCTAACGGTTAGCTAGTGGCGCTATGATGGCGGAGCTGGTGCAGGGACAGGCCTCGATGAACCAGCCGGGGCTGAAGTCAGACGGCCTAGCCGATGTTTTACAGAGGGCCCGGCAGGTAACAACTCCACTGGGGCTCAGCACACACCTGTTCAGGGCTGAACCGGGCCGTTTCAATCGAGCCAAAGCACTTTTATTCGGATTCTCCGTGTTGTGCTGCTGCTATACTAACTTATGCGCTCACACACACACACTCACACACACACACTCTCTCTAACACACACACACACGCTCACACACACATACTAGCATGCTAACTAGCTCGGAAAGCAGTTCGGAGTTGGACTTGTGGCCGGTTTCGGAGACTTTATCCGAGCTGACAGGGTCCGGGGGTGAGTTTGTGGGGAGTTTGTGGAGCTGTCACCCGGAGGGGAGCGCAGTGGGAGTGGGGGGGGAGCAGGACTGAAGTTTGGCCACACGTGTCACTGAGGCAGACAACCTGTTGCGAGACAGAAACACGGTCAAAAAGCACGGAGGAGGAACACAACTCAACATCTTTCACTTTGCTTTATTGACCCACTAAGTGTCCCAAACGGACCGGGTCAGAGCCGTGAAATGAGGGTGTTTATACTGTGTTAAAGCCTCGGTTCTTAGAGGAGCTGGACCCTCTCCCCTCCCCTTATAGGCTGCTGTTTACTGTAAGTTGGTTAGAAACTAGGCTGGCGTTATGCAACAGCCTCAGAGCCATATACAGCCGAGTGGAGGTGTGTCAGCCTCCTATACGGACACAGACAGGTAGAGAGACACACAGACAGGGCGTCTGTTCACCTCTGTGTGTCCCAGCAGGCTGTGGCTGATAAATGAGGTGAAGTTTGGTACATGCAGGTGTTTGGAGTGTCTCTGTGACCTCAGAAGGAGTTAATCAAACTGAAGTGTTTCTGCAGCCTGTCTGATAGAGCAGAATCAGAAAGTATTGGAGCTGATATCAGCACTTCAAAGAGGTATCAAAGTCTTCATCGAAGGGGCAACTTGAGACCAACCACCTGTCAGAAGAGGTACTATGTCTTCAAGAACCTTGAGCAAGAACCTCAAGTCCAGTTAAGTCCAGTTACCCTTTTAACTGGACTTGAGGTTCTTAAAGATGATTTGCCAAGTCCAGTTGCCCCTGCAATGAAGAACTGGATAACAGGCATTTACAGAAGAAGTCCGTGGGCTGAAACCCCACTCATGTAAAATACTGAATAGTGGCCTGTCAAGAGACAGATTTGTCAGTTCTACATGTGCCAGGCACCTTTACTCTGCAGAAACTGCAACACAGCTCCGTGCAAACATGCAAAGTAATCACCTCCGCAGTTAATATACACTCACTCACCACAATCATAATGATATAGCAAGATTACAGTATCAAAACCGTCCTACAGTGATGTGTATTTGCATATATTTGATTGTTTTTGATTGATGATTTGCTCGGTTGCCAACCCTCAACTTTATATTGTGTACAGAATAAGGCAGGATGTGGTCAGCTTAGCTTAGCATTCATAGTGAAAGTAAGGGAAGCTCGCTGGTTTGTATGGGCCTGTCCAAAGTTCAGAAACATCTGTGCAGGGATGCAAACAAAAGAACACTAATGAAATTTGCGCGTAAAACCATAAAGTAGAACCAAAAAAAGTGATTACCTGTAAATCCTCAGAATAGCTTCAAAATGTAAAACACTCCAATGATACTAAACCCCCTGAAAACCCAAGTCCATGAGGCTGTCTGAAGGTGTTATGTGGGGGTTAATGCATGTTACTGCGTGCTCTTTAGTTAAAGTCCAACCTTGAAGTGCTGTAATTTAAACTCATAGGAACTATTATTGTTCTGCATGGATGTTGTTTGTGCTCTCAACTCCACCATCTAATCACAGCAAAGATCACAGAGCATGTAAACATTAGATTCATTACATCCAGTTAACATAGGTTAATTGAAACCAGACTTCCTGTACAAGTATCGGAGTGTTTTCTTTATCTGTGGGCCAAACAAACTTGGCCTCAGGTGGTTATTGATGGACTTGTGTTGTTTGCAATAGCTGTGTTCTCTGAATGTAGATTGGCATCGTCTGTTTTAGTGAAGTTTAGCTTTGGATTTTCAATTGGCAGTTGTTGGAACATTAGCATACAGAGTTAATATAAACAGACATGGAAATCAATCTGCATGGAGGACCCAAGGCGAGTAGTGTTAAATTAATGCGACGAAACCTGCAGAGCTTCACGTGTGTCCCTGTGTTTGTCTATTATTTTTACATCTATGGTGTCATAACCAAAATAACCCAAGATCACAATTCTCAGATGTTTTGTTGTTGTGATTTGTTTGCCAATTTAAGCTTTGCTGGACCATGTCCCACACGACTGTGTACATTGACTGAGGTCAAGAGGTCACAATTAAAAGCACCCTCTGCTAGAGGAAGCTACCCCAGGTGGCCTAATGCACTGGTTTACTGTATTGTTATATTTTTCAAACTTTTTGAATGCAGGCCCTACCAGTTGGTTGAACAAATTCCTAGGTATTATTTCTGTCAGTGTAGGCCTGGAACGCTGACATATGTTGTCTCTAAGCTCTTGCTGCTAGCTGTAGATACTCTACTGGGATGTAAAAAACACAGATGACAGATAACCTCTCGTTGCAGCGTGTTTTGTTGGCATATTGATCTAGAAAACAGAGATGAAGTTATATGTAGGCTGTATGTGGTTAAACTAGCCTGTAACCACCTGACACGAGCATAGTGGAACCAGCACAGGAGCTGCTTCATTATTAACCTGCACGGAGGACTGAAGGCTTGTGGTGTTAGCTCTTGTAGGGGTACCACACTCCAAACTAGGGCTGGGCGATATGGGAAAAAATTTATCATGATATGTTTTTTTCATATCAGTCGATATCAATTAGGCCTGCACGATATATCGTTTGAGCATCGTCTTCGTGATTACGTGTGTGCAATAGTCACATTGCAGAGCCTGTGATGTTGGAGGTGAATGAACTCATCTAATTTCAAGGGTAGCCACTGAGATACACTGCATGTGACTCTGCATGTGCTTTGCAGCGATCCACCAATCACCTTCAGTCTTTACTCAGTTGCCAATCAGACTACCCTGCCAGTAAGGCTTCACGATATGAGATTTTGGTCATATCCCGATATAGCTCATTTTATATCCCGATACGATATACATCACGATATAGTACATTTTTTGTAAATTCAATTGATGTATAGTTTATATAAAATATAATATTCGTATGTAGGCTTGAAGTAAATAACTCATCTGATCATTAAAATAAATCATCTGATCAGCCGTGCCACCGCATCAGCAGCAGGATGGAGAGTGGACACGGAGACACGTCAGGTGTTGTGCCATAGAATGTACCCCTGCCATAGAATGCCCCCCTGACGGGAGCGCGGTTGAAGATACATAACAAGGCGGAATAATCCAAGTTTTCCTTACCGTTGGACTGACTCTAAAGCGTGTGCCTTTAATGATTTAATTTAGGCTTTTCAGATATGCCGAAAACAACAGCCCTCTGATTCGGAATATTTGCTGCCCCGAAAATATAATGTTCTCTACCATGACAGCTAACTGTACAGTTTAAATACGCAAATACACCTCTCTATGTGCTTTTTTAAAAACCTAAAAACAGAACGAAAGTTTGCTGCTCCATTTGACATGTTGTCATGATCCAATACTCGTGTTTTTTTAAATATGAGATAATTTTTTTTCCACTTAAAGAAGCTAATGAGTGGATGGGATGCAGGGGTGCATTCTACGGCATAACACCTATCAAGCTGCGCGAGGAAGAAGGAGAATAAGCGGGGAGACGAATTAAATATGTTAACTTCATGTTAACTTCATCATGTGTGACTGTTTACTGGATATTTAATTTAATGCGGTTTCAGTTGTGTTAATTCGGTCAGGTGGAGTGTCCAAACGCGCTCATCAGATCAGATATAGATCAGAGTATATCGATATAGATTTACATGTATGTGCTGACTCAGAATAAAACTACAGCGGTCTGCTCCGTGTCGCTCCTTTTAAAACCAAACCACGACCACACAACCGACGTTGCCCCCCGTTTCGGCAGCAGCTCCTCCGTCTGCGTTGGCTCGTCTGCGTTTGATGCACGAGAATTGTCATCTCTTTCGCCACAATAACCCGGCTCCTCCATGCTTGTTTGTGTTTTTCACAGTGGCAGTAGCGCGTGCGGGCATGCAATATATGGAGCATCACGACGTAAAACACTGCCATAAAGCGTGTTTTTGCGACACCGCGATAGAAACGATAGAGCTCATGTATCCCGATAGAAATTTTCTATCGTTTAGACGAAACATATCGTTATATCGTGAAGCCTTACCTGCCAGCTGTCAATCAAAATCAGAGAGGAGGAAACCCACCCCTGCACATGTCCTGCACATGGAGTTAGTCGCTGGCGCTACCAGAGTTGAGCCGAGAAACGCGTGTCCGCTGAGAATTACTTTCGGAACATTCTTCATCACTGTTTAGCCCAACAAATAAGAACTGTATGGGTTTTAAATTGTACATTTCCGTGGACCACTCTACTATAAGCAGTGCGTGTTTTGTGAGGTGCATGCAATTCTCGGAGGATATGCGTTTCTCAGCTCAACCCGGTACCAACAACAACGATCGCAAACTGAGTAACAAACAGAGAAAACCACAGAAGATGAAGACTTGTTGCAAAAAAGAAAAGGAAAGTCAGTTATCTGGAATTATTTCGGTTAAAAGAAGGATGATGTCAACCAAAACACGTCTTCTGTGTTCATCTGTTGCCACAATAACGTCCCAGCACAATAAAAGCTAAAAATATCTCTGAGACAGACAGAAGCCGTTCTACAAACATTCACAAAAAGAGGTAAGATCAGAGCAGATTAGCTGTCCTCAAGATTTCAGCGGTGCAGCATAACATTAAGTGCTATTCAGGTCATCTGGTGAAAATTCCTATATTTTTAATATCGCAATATATATTGCAGGGTTGAAAAAAATCGCAATGTTAGTTTTTTCAAATATTGTGCAGCCTTAATATCAATTTATATCACGATATATCACAACTTTGCGAAAACATGTAGTCGACATAATTTGCAGTGCACATTATTCCGCTTCATGTCCGACCTCAAAAAAACGAAATACCTCCACACCACCGACGTTTTCGTGCCAGTGTTGTCTATGATGTCATCATCTGTTGAGCCTTCATCTGCATTTCTGCCGGGGGTAGCACTCATTTTCTTTTTTTCTCACCAACAGTGCTGTCAGCTTCACATGATAAGATTGCTATTGTTGCGTGTAGCTGCAGCCTGCTACTACGCAGTTGTTTGCTACTTCGTTGTTGTTTTATCACCCAGCCCTACTCCAAACCAAACAATGCAAAACATTTGACATTGTTTATACACAGACTCTGTTTCAATGTTTAGCTGTGATAAACTGATTGTACTCAATTCTGACTGTTTGTCACTGTTTTTTATCTTTTGACTTGTTATGTAGAAGGAATTGGAAGTGAGTCGGACGTACGTTTGCATTTACAGGACATGGAAAATAGCTGGATCAGGGCATGTTAAATATTCATCCAGTATTATGGTCATTATCTGTTGAACACATACAGAGGCAAACTGCCTGTTCTGCCATGTTGACATGACCAGATACCAGAGCTGAACAGCAAAGTTTATGACGGATATTTAGAGCTGTGAGGCAGGTCATAGTTGAGTCAGTCCTCATACTGGACGGATTCTTCTACTGTTTGATGAAGAAGACCCAAGTCAGCTGATATTGTACTGCAGGTTGTAGAAAACAAATCAAAAAATGTAAAATGGGGAAAACAATGTATGAAAGTCAAGTTAATGTCCAGTGTACGTTTATGGTCCAGCAGGGGGGCGTTGCCATCGTGAATCTTGTGAGTTCAGGCCTGCAGTATTACAGGAACAGCAGTTATGTGGCTTTAGAGCATTTTTACCAGATTACATTATTTTTACTTAAACACTAACTGAGTTTACTCAAATGAGCTGAAGACAACAAAAAATAAATGTGATATGGTGGCGTGATACCAAGGCTAGTCAAGTATTGGATCAAAACTTCGAATCAACTGATCTTAAAAAAGAAGCATCTGAATCAGAGAGGCTGATCAATCAGGCTGATTCATCATGTTTTAAGATAATCTGCATCTTATGCAGTGGACCTCACAAGGCCGATTTTACTGTTAGATTTTAAGTAGTAAAAACAAATTTTTCCCATCCGCAGTGAAAGCATCTTCAATCGAAAACAGTTTCTCTTATTGTTTTATATGAATCCTGATAAGACCATGTGTTAAATAATGTCTGTTCTGAAATCTACAGCATAACTCAAAGTATTTTTCTTATTCATGAACTGATAATATTAATTAAAACATGTATCCAGCTAAGATAATCATATCTGTTTGGTTTTAGGTACGCACCATTGAAAAACTGATATCAGTCAACCACGAATCAGGATCAGGAGCTAAAACAGCTGACCTGGTCAAAAATACAATGTTTTTTCACTCTTTAGGCCTCTAAATTGGACAGTGAAAGTATTTTTTTTTGTGTGATCTGCAGGGTTTTGTGGTGGCAGTGCTTACTTTACCTCGAGCACAGAGCACCAGCTACAGATGGAGATTTTTTAATCATCTTGAAAGTCTTTCAAACCTTTAGAAAAGCATTTATAGAGCGGGGAGATTCGAACATGGTGTGGAGGCATTTTCTCAGAGTGAACCTGCAGCTCTTTTGTATCAGAGCTATCAAACAGAGTCACGTGGTCAGAGCGAAGCTGCAAAGTAAACAGGTGTTAGCAGTCGGGGAGTGATTCAGAGTGCAGGTTGTCCCCTATGTCTTTGGTTTGTTTGCTGGGAGCAGCTGATTCCTCCACAGGTCTTTCTGCTGCTCATTCAAATATGACGACGGCAATGTTTCAGTCAGTGTGTGGTCACCTAGCAGAAATAAATTACTTACTGTGAATGTGATGTAGAGCAGTTGACTCAGAGACTATGCAGCCAATAGAGGGATGGCTGTAAGTAGCAGGGAAATGTGAGGCTTAAAATCTGGACATAAGAACAGGCTTTTGGGGAGGCATCTGCTGTAAAGAGATTGTTGGTAAAACTTTACAACTATAAGTAGTGCTGCAACTAACGATTATTTTTTTGTCGACTAATCTATCGACTAGTCGTCCGATTAATCACAATTAATCACTATCTTCTTTATTTATAAACACCTATTTCCGGGGTGTCGGCGTTTCAGGTGCTCATGCATCGCCGTGGTGCTGCCATGGTAGGAAAGCTGAGCTTTGATCAACGTGTTTTTTTGGTTTGTTCTCCGTAAAATGTTCCCAAACTTTTGAAGTTTTGGGTCGGAGTTTTGGAGCGTCTTTTTCAGGTTGTTCTGCCATAATGTGTGCACTCTTCTTCTGTGTTTGCTCGTGGCATGTAAACAGCGCGCGCTACTGCCCCCAGCACATCCTGTAGTGCACTGCAGTTATAGATGAGCATGAGGCGCCGGCATGTGATTCTTAACAACAATAACACGACGCTCCGTTTTTGTGTCGATGAATTTGTCGTGTCGACGTAATCGATTACGTCGACTAATCGTTGCAGCCCTAACTATAAGCTCCTTTCTGTGTCCTCAACATGTTTAAGCAGTGTCTCCTGACAAAAGTCACATCCTGATGACCTTTAACAGTCACACATATCATCCTTTGACAATATTCTGGTGTTACATTGCAGTCAAAATAGTATTGCCCACTGGAGTTGAGCAGGATTTGGTGGGAAAACTGTGTTAAAAGTGAAAACAGGCAGCAGTAGGACTGTCCTAATTAGGCAAAAGTGGTATTTGAACTGACCCACTTCAAAGATGCACGGTTCGAACCATGCAAATTTCTATTTTTATGCACTATGTCATCAAGAGAGCAAACCAACACAAGCACTCATCACTACTTATAGGTATGGAATTGAAATCCCTCTCTGCAGCCTAGTTTCATTATGATGCATCTGCCATTATTAATACAGTTGTGACTCCAGTGACTGTCCCTCATGTAGAGCTTTCAGTGGTGCAACCAAGCCCACAACACAACTTCAGTGACAGACAGCTGCACAGAAACACTTTTTTCAACAGTTAAGTGGTTATTTTCACATTCAAATTGTCTGTTTCTAATATTATTTGACAGCCCAAGGCAGCAGATAACAGTCATAATGCTATCCCAGAACCATCTGTGGTCACATAGCACAACAGGTACTACATAGAAAAGGCCGTCTGAACCAGAAGGCTTTAGTTTCAAACTGCGGGCTACACCGGAAGCCCCAAAAGGTCATCTGTTGCTGTCTCAGGCTGTGCCATTGTAAGTTGACAGCCAGCTGGATTGGAGATGTTCCTATCATATAGAGATTAAACCAAAAGTCATATGACTAACCAAACTAGATGTTACATGCATAAAAAGTAGGTAAAGTGGTACCAACAGTTAACATCGCCATCATCTGTATTTCAAAAGTCAGACAGTAGATAGGAAGAGCAAGAATCCATCTGACTGTGTCTAGCATAAATCCAATTAACAAACTCGTCTTGTTAAAAAAAAAAGTGAATAACAATGTGACCTAGCCAAGGGTTTTTTTCGTATGATATATCCCTGAAAGCATTTGTCTGCTGTAAAGAAAGGCAGTAGAGTGCAAAAAAGGAAAAAGCAGTGGAGTGTTATGAAATAACACAGTGAAAGAAAACTGCAAAAGAAAGTGCAGTACAGTGCATAAATCAGTGCAGTAAAGCACAGAAAAAATGCAGTAAACACAGTTTGAGTGCATTACAGTAACACTACTGGAATGTACTGAAGTCACTTATGATGATGCAGAAAGAAACATACAAGAGTGCATTTAAGTAATTCAGTACAGTGCAGCAAAGTAACCTAGTACAATACAGAAAGAAAGGCAGAAAAATGCTACACCGTAATGCAGCAAAAGGTCAATCAACTAACCCATTATGATGTGACAAGAAATGCTGGCGAGTGCAGTGCAGAAAGAAAGACTGTCAAGTGCGTTAAAGTCACACAGAGTGCAATAAACTAACCCATCGCAAGTGGAAGCTAAGTAGAGTGCAGTGGAGTAACTGTAGAATGAAGGGCAGTAAAGTGCATTAAAGTAAGAGAAGAGTGCAGTTAAATTGGTGGTGCTGTGCAATAAAGTAACCCAGTACAGAAAGAAGGAAGAAAAATGCATTACAGTTATGCAGTAAAGTGCGATAAACTAACTTACTACGATACAGGAAGAAACAAAGTAAAATGCAGTAAAGTAACACAGCTGAGTGTAAGCTAAAGTAAAACCTGTTTGATGCAGGTAAGAAAAGCAGTAAAGTAACAATACAGTAGCTGTACAGTACAGTTACTACAGGGGCACAGAATAACACAGTGTGATGCAGACTGAAGTGCAGTTATATGTAAAGCACCTTAGAGTGGTGTAAGAAACAATAAAATGCAGTTAAGTAACGCACTATAGTACAGGAAAAGTGACAGTACACGGTTGTGGAATAACACAGAGTGTTTTAAACAAACATGGAGTCAATTATGCATTAAAAAACAGTTGTGCTAAACAATTTGTTTTGTTGGTACAGACAGTATGGTGCATTAGAGTTACACAGTATAGACAGAGTAATGCAGTACGATACAGTGAGTAAATGCTATACGATGCAGGACAACGGGCAGGTAAGAAATAAATGCTGTGGATTGCAGTGGGGTTATGATGCGGTGCATTTAAGAAAACAAATATATACTATGATCCTAATATTCAGTATGGTGCAAGGAAGAAACTCAGTAAAGTGCATTATTAATGACAATTAGAGTGAAGTAATGAAGTATGGTGCAAGTAAGAACTGCATTTGGGTGCAGCAAAGAATCCCTGCAGAGTGCAGCAAAGGATCTTAGCTCAACACAGTAAAGAAAGGGATCAGCTTTGTAATGGCTTTATCTACCCCTGACTGATCCACTGAAACCTCCTAGGATCCACCTGATGCTGAGAGGCAGCATCTGGTCAGGACAGTCAGTGTGCTTACTGGGCTCATCCATAACAGGGATTTTTTCAGCATACCTGGTAGAAGAAACATGCACAACATGTTCCTGCAAATCAACACTGCAGAGCAGCTCTGTGTGTCTGCAGCTAAACAAAGAACCTTATTAGGAAGCTTCCTGGTTCAGTAGAGAGAGGCATAAGCTCTAATGGATGTCATCGTTGATTCAGACTCATCACAAGCTCTGCTTCAACATCAACAACACAGTTTGACATTCATCCCCGCAATTTTAAAAGATGCGTAATGTTTGAGAGATTCACAACGTTTTTAGGTCGGCAGAAATCTGTTTCCCTGTGATGTATATCAGTTAACCTCTGGAGAGTTCGGACTTCAAAGTAAATGTAGTTTTAATGGAAAAGAGTTTCAAACTCTAAAAGCAAAATCACTGGAAAGGCAGAGAGCTTAAAGACGTTACTGAGATGAATTACAGTCTTTGAGAAAGTAACTTACAGCTTAACTTGAGCGCTCTGTGGCATATTTTATCATTGTTGATGCGACCTTTAAATCTGAAACTGTCCAGACTTGTGAAAGATTTGCCTGAGGACTTGTTGGTCTGAACTTATTTGTCTTCCTGAACTTAGAATCTGGTTGTCTGAACTCAGAATTCAGCCTCAAACTTGGAAAAACTTTGGTGACTCTTCCTCAAGTGGTGGTTACTTGTTCAGGACTTGTCTTTTGAGTTGGTGGTCCCACTTGAGACTTTTTTATCTGTACTCTGGGCTCAGTTACTCAACTTAAAGTTGTCAACCTCACCTTTGGCACAGCTTCTGAATTTTGGTTGAGACTTGATTTCTGACTGGCGGCCTTTCAATGGACTCGTGGTTGTGGTCATTTAGTGCAGACCCTGGCCCTTTACTCCCAGTTTGTTGGTTGTAAATCGAAAGTTGATTTGTGGCTTCAATTTGGACTTGCTGTTCTTGATTGACAATTGGCTGTTTTGGTTTGGATTTTGGACTTGTTGGCTCTGGCTTTGGTTTTAAATAAAGACCTGACTTTAGATTGTTGTGATGACGCTGACACTCAACTTTAGACATGCTGCTCAATTTCAGTTTTGTCATGTCTCAGGACTTGACTTTGGACTACAGTTTGACCCCAATTTGGAACTTTCTAACTCAGAAAATTGGTCTGTTCCTGTATTCTCTCAGGTATTAAAGCTGTTTTTCTCTGTTTTTTTTTTTTTTTTTTCTGTCAGATGGTGGGAAAGATGGGTGGAGAAGCCATGTCTCACCTCAACAGCTCCTCAGGAAGTGTCGAGCCCTCGCTGTACTACCCTGGCCAGAAACGACCAGGAGAGGATGGAGGTGAGAAGGAGGGAAGGAGGAAAATCAATCTCTACATTATGGTTGTCCCATGACCAAGAACCCTTGTACTTCTGCTTGACCTTGAACCTGGTGGTCAATCTGAAACATTTGGTGGTTAAAAGTTAGTACTTTTGCAGGAACAGTTAAGCTGCCATTTCAGCTCAGCTAGGCCCCTGTACTGGACCACTGCAGGTACCAACAATTGACAAACATGTTCGTAAGAGGCAGAAAGATAAAACCAGGAACTCAGAGGCATGGACCTCTGACATGCATAAAGGGAGTCAGAGAGCTTTCAGAGATTGTTTTTAGCTGTTGGTTTTCACTTGAATTTTCTTCTGCAGATTTAAAAACATTTTTCTCCATCTGTGATACAAAAACATGTCAGTGCAGCCGTAATCACCGCGGGTTCAAATAAAGAGCACTAACAGAAGACTCCTAAAAAAGTGTTCATGTCTAATCTCTGGCTCTTTCTCTCAGTAGGTAACCAGCTAGCAGCCATGGGGCATCAAAGGTAGAACCAGCAGTTCATATTGATTATCACGCACGCACACACACACACACACACACACACACACAGGGCCAAGCAGCGCTGATGATGATGTGTGTTCAGCATCAAAGTTTGTTTGCAAATAGCCGTGAGTGTGAGGGGGTCGGGGTGTAACAGCAGATAAGTGTTTATAGATCTGTCTTCCTACTGTCATAATCATAAACATAATCACTTATTGACATAAACACACACTCTCACTGTGGCTGTGAGTTTAAAGTGTGAACATGATGTTAATGTGTGTTTGAATTTGTGTGTTTTGCAGCAGGGTAATCACAGAGGATTACAAGGTCCCCGACAGAATGGTGGGCTTCAGTAAGTATGACCTTAAACCTTTGAGTCCCCCCTTGCTGATTAGTTGTCCAAAGGCTCCTTTGTCCAATCAAATCACTCAGGTCTTATCTGACTCTGTGCTTTTTTGTTCATCCTGATATAAAGATCTTCATCTTTTAGAAGGAAAATCTTGAGTTTAATCTCGAGTCTGGCGCAGACTCTCAATCTGAAACTGTTTCCCTTTGATTTGATTCTGAATATCAGACACTAATGAGAACCTTCAAGCAATCCAGCTCTCCAACCTGAACATAGTCACTCAGTCTAGAATCCTTTGTGCACAGTGGCGTGCAAATTTTTCTGCACTGAGCGACGTCTCTGCTCTGCCCTAGTGCTCTTGCACGATAAAGCCAGGCCCTCATATAAACACTAACTACGATTGCTGACCTCTTTTGTGCACTAAGCTTTTATTCTGAGTGTATATCCCGGACACTTATTCAGTGAATGAAGTAACTTGCAAAGATCTTGTTTAACTCTGTGCTAGTCTGTCCTTGAATCTTAACTTCTGATGTGCCCGTATAATGAACAATAAGGTTTTACGACTTCAAAACACGGAAAGTGACAGCAGAGGGTCAGGATAAGCGCGGCCATGGAGATCACCACATTCGTGTACATGATCATAACATTTTGAATATACAGTACACAAGTGGCTGAAAGTTGTGCATGCAAAACAGCGACTGGGAAGTTAACAAAAGCTGTAGACAGCTGATGCAGCACCAGTGCGCACTAACACTTCTTACCCTCGATGCTGCAAATAAAAGATGACCTGCAGGATTTTAAAGCAGACATTTGTTGTCAGTGTCTGAGAGTTTGAAGAGAGGGCGCATTAAACATCTGTGACAAACATTCAGTGGCGGTTCTAGACCAAATTACTCCGCACACAAAAAATGCACACACACACACACACACACACACACACGCACACAAAAAGAGATAGAATTTTGAACAGATAGTTTTGTATTATTATGTAGTATTATTATGATTAGAACAACAAAAATAAAATATTTCTCAATTGCAGAAATCCTTCAATAGAAAAAAACACAATCCTGAGGGCCATTTTGAGAACGGCCCCCAGATCCTGAGGTGTTCTGACGTGTTAAGGTTTACAAAAAAGCTGCTATCTCGGCCTCTGTAGTAGATAGAAACAAAATTCAAAAAGTATTTGAGAGCTTAAACATGTGGCTTTCAAGAAAGCTATCTTTTAGTTTTGCAAACCTTCATCACATTTTTGAAAACCTTGAACAAACAAACTCAAGTGAAATAAAGCGGCTGTATAAATTAAAGTAAAGGCTCTGCACTGGAGAATGACAAATAATTTGCTTTCTGTAAAACAAGTGGCAGTCATGATAAAGTGCCCATTCAATTCAAATGTAAATATAGAAAATAAGGTGTTGAAAGGGTGAACAGCTTCCCCAGTATAGTGCCAGTACAAAAGCAGAACTAAAAACTAAAAAATGAATAAATAAATAAGTGGCTGACAGTGTGTTCATCTCTGTTCTCACCCAAAGTCATGCAACACTCACAGAAAACGCTGATAGTGTGAGCCAAAGCACTCCATATGCAGAGTTTGTTCACACTGCTGGATGTTTCTCCTCTGAAGCTGCTCTCTGCCTCTGTCATTGTTTACTTTACTCATGAAGCTCATCAAGCAGGTAGCAAGATCCGAGCATGAACCCGAACGCTTTATTCGTCTATCAGAGGCAGACGGGTACAGTGATTTCATTCACCGCGACTCCAGAAATGATTAAAAAACTCCCTGATATGCTGACATGCGTACACAGAGCAGAGCTGTCCCCCCGCGACTCTCTCCCTGCCTCGTCTCACACAGTCTGTCAGCCTCTGTGCAGCACCTTCGGAGCAAGCAGGGGCGCCTACAGCAGCGGGGGGGCGCCAATTTGACAACAAGAGTTAATACAAAACCGCTTTGCGGTTAAGATTTATTATTATTATCTTTTATTTTATTTTTTTGGAAGTGCTCGTGCCGCCCCCCATGAGTCATGACACAAATGCCGCCCCGGGCGGCTGCCCTGTTCGCCCGTGCCTAGAACCGCTACTGCAAACGTTTAAACTTATCAGCCCAGCCTTAGCACAGACATGCTGTGTGATTTTGACATTTTCACTTCATAAACTTCCTCCTCCTTTTTTCTCTTTTTCATCCCTGTCTTCTACTGTGAATTGTTCAACTGTCAACATGTCTTGCAAATATTTATGCCCCCCCCAAATAACAAATTTGCACTTCAGTTAAGACATAATCTTCTTGAGCTCTATTTTTCAAAGGGGACCTACCATCAAAATGTAATTTTGTGTTTTTTTTGTGTCAGATAAGGTCCATATTATGTTCGTCTTATGTTGTAAATGTGAAAACAAACTGTTACGTCATTTGCATTCTGTAAAGGTTTAAAATAAAGGAACGGGTAAACCAGGCCAATTGAAAAAGCAGGTCCCTCTGACGTTGCGCTGACCTTGCTCATTATTATTCACGAGCGCGTCCTCGGTGAGCCGCGCCCACTCTCTCGTTCTCGTACTCATTCACAGTCAACATTACTCTCCAGCCAGAGCGAGATGCAGCTACCACTGTATGCGCTATGGGTCTCGTCCAAACGACCAGTGTTTCCTTGGGTTCACTGCCGGGAAAATGAACTTAAAGCTGGGCAGAATGAATGAGAAAACACCGCTTGAGATCTCCGGCTTCTTCTTCAACTTCCTCCTCCTCTTCAGACTCAGGGTCTAAAATATATCGTTTAATACCTGCCATTTTTTAGCCTTTAGCATAAGGTGACCAGACGTCCCCGATTTCCAGGGACAGTCCCCGTATTGGATGACCTGTCCCCGGCAAAAGCTGTCCCCGAAAATGTCCCCGATTTAAGCGTTTCATGAATGAAAGCAAAAATGTTGCGTGTGGGCTCGAACAACGGTTATTACAGTAGCCGAATAGGTAGGAAGCACAAGTAAGCAGTCCTGAACAACAGTTTTTAAGGGGGTTATTACAAGGGGCATGCGCTGCTACTAAATAGTACCGAGACTTTGTCTGTGATCACACAGCCCCTGCAGCCGCCGCACCGAATATCCCCGGATATCATTACAGACATCTGGGCACCTTACTTTAGCACACATTAGCGAAATGGATAAACCGAAATCCGAACCTCCACTGCTGAGCCAATCAGAGCACAGCAGGCTTCACAGCAGCGATCCAATCAGAGCAAAGCTCATTACCATAAATGTTAATGAGCCAAAATCAGTTGGTTTTCCTGTAAGGTTTTTTAGGCATACTAAAACAAACCATCAAATAACTTTTCAGCTAAAATTATGTTGCAAACATGATCAGAGGACATCAAGGATTAAGTAAAAAATGATAAAAATGGGTATGAAATTTTGATGGCAGGTCCCCTTTTAAGAGTAGAACCTTTACGAGATCTTCTGAGCGGGATAACCGAGCTAGAATAAAACAGTTGACATAAAACTTGAGTGAGGACTCACAATAGTAAATTTGAAGTTTGTTGTCTAAAACACTAGTATATTTGTGGATATCAGCCAACCTGTATCCCCCTTTTTTTGTGCTCCCCTGAGAACGGGCTGATTCTGCATCTGTACCTTTAAATGATAAGCTGTGAGCTGTGTGTGACCACACTCTTCCTCCCCAAGGCCACTCTGAGCTGACGGCACTGCTGTGGTGGTCCAGGAGCAGTGGTCTGGAGATCTTCTGAGGACCTCTTCAGAGGACCTCCAGACCACCGCGGCTGGAAGCATCAGCCTGCCTCAGTGCCCCAGAGGAACACCCGCTGCTTACGGGAATAAAAGTAAAGTAAAGCGAGTCAGAAGACGAATACCAACAATGGTAAACACACGCAATTGTAGCCAAAGCACTAGTCATACAGGCGGCGGTCAAGCAACATAAAACGGTAAAATTTACAGCTTCCACGTTTGAAGTTGGGTCCCTGACACGGACAGCCAGAACAGATCCAGGTTTTATCTTCAGCTTCTTGGTGAATCCTGCTTTGAACTCCCCCTTGTTGGTAAAACAATCCATGGTGAAGAATTTAGCACACATATACAACATTTTCAGAGTTGTTGTGGGTATATTTCCATCAAAAATAAAATTCATCCACTGGATCCGCAAATCAAGATTAAGGAGGCATAATAGACTCATGTCTTCGTTTGTGCAGCCAAGAACCTCTCAGCAGCTGGGTTGTAGCTTCGACATGGTTGTTGTACCGGAGCGGTGTATGCAAGGGGAAAAAATGGTGGACACTACCTCAGTGAAGAAGTTTTAGAGGGCTGGGCTAACGATTATTGGGGGCGCAGCCACCAACATGTAGGAGGGGCTTTTGCGGTTATGTTGTCATAACTGCACAGCTTTTTCATTCGCCCGTTTGTGCTCATGTTTTCAGAAAGAAGGAAAGCAAGAGAGGGAGAGAATGAATTTACTTCGGTTGAGTAAATGTCGACTCCCTTTTGTGGTTTTTGTTTGATGTTGATGTTTTGTCCTCACTTTCTCTTTCAGTTATTGGTAGAGGAGGCGAACAGATCACCAGGATCCAGTTGGAGTCTGGCTGCAAGATTCAGATTGCTGCTGGTAAGAGCATCTCATAAGTTTAAACACTCCTCTTCCAAAGTCAAACAGTTTTTGCTGATTTTTTAATGATTATTTCCAGCAAAACATCTGGATAAAGATTTGCTGGTTCTCAAATTTTAAAAGTGTTGTTGCAGCAAAGAGACAACTTCCTTTTCTTCATCTGATTGATCAAAAAAAGAAACTGATTAAATTTGAATTTTAAGGTCCTGTATTTTAAAGGTCATGTTCGCTCTGATCAACCAGCCCAGAGTCTTTTCAGCGTTGACACAGCGTCGACTAAAAGAGGGTAAACTTGAGAAACCTGTTTGCTGAGCTAAATCACACTCCTGTATTTCTGTGCCTGTAGACAGTGGAGGTCTGATGGAGCGGCCATGTTCCCTGACAGGAACTCCAGAGAGTATCGAGTGAGTTTATAAAATCCACCTTCTTCTCCTCCTCTTGAGAAATTCACCTCCCCTCCTCCACCAGCAACTCACTTTCTTTCTGTTTTTGTGTGCGCTTACAGGCAGGCAAAGAGGCTGCTGGTGCAGATTGTGGATCGCTGTAGAAATGGTCCTGGTTTCCACGGTGATGGGGAAGGTGGGGCTTCAGTGCAGGAGATGCTGATCCCCGCCAGTAAAGTGGGGTTGGTGATCGGTCGGGGAGGGGACACCATCAAACAGCTGCAGGTGCAGTGACTGACAGTTTGAAATACATGATAAAACACAAACCTCAGTGTATCTGTCCCTTTTAAAAATCTGTGATGTGTGTTTCAGGAGAGAGCCGGAGTGAAAATGATGATGATCCAGGATGGTCCAATGCCGACAGGAGCAGACAAACCCCTCCGTATCTCTGGAGACCCGTACAAAGTGCAGGTACAAACACATGTTTGGATCTTCAGGTGGTCTCTTCTTCCAGGACAGTACATTTCACTTCTCTGAGCAGAGCTATGACCACAACCAGCTCTGTAGGAAACACCTAAGCACTCAGGCAAAGCTCCTCAGCAGGAGAATGACTGATTGAACCACTTTAGACCCAAACAGTCCCCTTCTACTTCTGACCTAGCTCTCTGTGAACAGTTAACAATACTCAGCTCCTCTCCTCCTCTTCTACTTTGTCTTCTTCTTCTCCTCCTCCTGCAGGCAGCGAGGGAGCTGGTGTTGGAGGTAATCCGAGAGAAGGATGGAGACTTCAGGTCAGGGCGTAACGACTTCAGCGCTCGACTTGGAGGAACCAGCCTGGATGTAGGAAACATGCAAACAAACACATAGTTGGCTTTTAAACCAAACTGCGCTTTGATAGGTCCACTCATGTGTGGTCTGTCCCTCTGCAGGTTCCTGTTCCTCGGTTCGCTGTGGGCATTGTGATTGGCAGGAATGGAGAGATGATCAAAAAGATCCAAAATGATGCAGGAGTTCGGATCCAGTTTAAAGCAGGTCTCTGTGCAGCTCATTATTAGTTGAAGTCATTGAATCACTTTTGACTTACTAGTTTCAGACTAGCATCTATGCACCTGTGATGCCACCTGTACCTGTACTTGGTCTTCTCTCTTTTCTACAGGGCAGGGCTGCTCATGAATCAAGTCCCTGCTTCGACTATATACTCCACCACTCTTGTTTTTCTCCAGTTTTCTATCAGGCTGAGATAGATTATGTGTTGGCTCTGATTATATTGATCTGTCAGGCAGGTGTTTAAGGCATGTTTCAGCTGGGGATGTTTGTGCGTCTGCATAAAGTCTCCACAGGCTCATTTCTTGGGGACCAATACCCAACACTTAGAATCCAAAGGTCCAGGACTTTTTAGAGGACGTGCATGCCACCAGCGTGTGCGCTGCTGTTTGAGCCTGTTCTTCTGTTCACTTGTACCCATGCAGACCTGCTGATTCTTCATAATTAGCACATTAGGTAGAAAACTGGACACTGTGAGTCTGATAGTTTTCCCTGATCAGTTCTTGCTTTGCAGCTTATACATTTAGCCTTGCTCTGTATGGCTGCATGTTCATGGAGATTATTTTTATGAGCCTGCTCCACATGTTTATACTCAGCGTGTCAAGCAATTTGCACACCTCTATAAATTCTGCAGCTTTGATTTATATCCATTGTGCTGCTGTGAATGATGTAAGATTTGGTGTTTGTTTTTGCCTCAGGAAAAATCGGAGTCTCTTTTAACGAGTGAGCGATGATTATTTATTATTTCTAAAGTTCAATCACTCGAATTTGCATCTTTATTGCAGAGATTCTTTGAATTCTCTGTATTGTTGATATTGTTGTGAACTGTAGATGATACGATCCACGCAGCCTCTGCCATGACAAACATTATTCTAAAATCGTTAAACTCTTTGCTCACACAGTCTCACACAGAGCAGATCTTTTCTCCTGAAAGACTTAAGTCTCTCTGGAAATCTCTGCTTTAGGTAGGAGTAGCTCCTGTAGCTCCTGTAGCAGAGCTCCAGTAGATCATTAGCAATTTGCCTCTGAGTCGTTGGTGGAGACAGCGCTGCTCTGCACACTCCTCTTTACGCTAGCTTGCAGCCTAACATTGCTGGTGGAGTAGAAGTAGCAGGTAACTTAGGAGCTCTTCATCTCTCAAACACTAATGTCTTCGGGGGCATGACGACAGCTAATTTCAGAATTAGCTTTCTGACGAGCATTATAATCCGATAACGCACACGCTTGTTCCGCGATCATCCTCTCCTCTATGTGCAGAGTGTGACCTGCATAGTGGGGCTCCGGGGGCGGAGCTTGGGTTGGTTACGTCGGAAATCTCACTGTTTCTGAACCTGCTGTTTGGGTCTGCCAGAGTTTTCTCATGATATGTCCTATAGCATCAGAAAAATGACAGATGAACATATAAAAAAACAAGAAAAACCTTTGCCTTTTATCCAGTGTTTTATCTTAGCTTCCCCAACTTATTTACCCATGTTGCTGACATCAAATATAAAGTCTGCACATATTCTTCATATAAACAAGGCAATTTTTCAGTTTTAACTTATGCCCTTTGCACTATTTTTAATGAGATATGAAGTTAAAACAACTTGCAAACCCTTAAATTATTATGTTTCTTTTTCCTTGTTTTCCCAAGTTTATACCGTCTGTCTCCACTTTCAAACCGTCCCAGTACAGCTGGAGGGATTTTTTCTATTGTCTTTGAAGTTTCATGTTCAACTCACTCCTAACTTTTACAGCTTGCTTATAAATACAGTTTGATATGTTTATGTAACGTCAGTGTGTAATATGAATCTGAAATAGTCTGGAACAAAAGAAATTGGAGCCAGTTTTTGGGACTAGAACTGGACTCAGATTTATGAACTCCAGTTTGAAGACAAGTTCAGATTAAACCAGCAAGTTCATGTAGCACCTCTGACCTCTCTGTGTTTTACAGATGATGGTATTAGCCCAGAGCGCGTTGCCATGGTGATGGGTCAGCCAGACCGCTGTCAGCATGCTGTCCACCTTATCAATGAGCTTATTCAGACTGCCCAGGTAACACACCCACAGACACACCCCGATAAAAAAAGAGCAAGTATAGCCTGAACTATCTCTTACGCGTGCGTGTGTGTGTGTGTGTGTGTGTGTGTGTGTGTGTGTGTGTGTGTGTGTGTGTGTGTGTGTGTGTGTGTGTGTGTGTGTGTGTGTGTCTTTAGGAGCGTGATGGTTTTGGCTCAGCCCTGCGGGGTGGGAGGGTTAGAGGTCGTGGTGACTGGACCATGGGCTCTCCTGGTCCGCTACAGGAAGTGACCTACACCATCCCTGCTGACAAGTGTGGCCTGGTTATTGGCAAAGGTAGGAGAAGAGATCTGTTTCTGTCTGACCGTTTTACCCTGATTCTCCATTGACTTTTGCAGCTGTGGATTTTATTCTCATCCTCCTTGTGTGCTTTTCTCTGAAACAAATCTGTTATTGCAATTTCCAGCTTCTTTAACGAGTGTGACATGGAATAGTCTGTGTCACCAGTCAGGAAAACAACTTTTAACAACCGAAACGGCATTAAGTGTAAAGGGATGTGCTGCCGTTTTACAGAGTCAAAGCAAGGCCAAACTTATTTTTATAGCAGATTTCTGAAGGTTCAAAGTGCTTTATACAAGAAAGAAAACATTCAAACATCATTAAAAGAGGACATCTTTAAGTTCTTAAAACAAGCCATTAAAAATCAGAGCAAAAAGAAGATAAAAACAGCAAAAAGCAAAGGTCCGAGCCTCAAAGACCGTTTCATAATGTATGCAGTGTTAGACAATAAAGGAAGTCATATATTAGAGTTATTTAGTAAAAGGCAGCTGTGAATATGCACCTTCTCTACCCTGATTTAAAATAACAACAGATCTAGCGTAAAACTGTCAGCTGCCCATGTTTGGCTCAATTCTGGAGTCTGAAAAGACAATGTGAGTGGTCTGGTTCTAGTTGGGTTCTTTTGCATGAAGGGATCACTGATGCATTTGAGAACTAGTAAGTGCTTTTTAAACCAGCTGCAGTATTTACAAGTCTGTTCCCTAACAGACATGAAGTCAGAGTGGAGACCTCAAAACTGGACTGATGTGATCCATTTTTTTGGTCTCGGACTTAAGCAGCAGGGATCTGAGTCAGCTTTCTGAATGAGTTTTGAGAGAAACTGCCATTGCTGCCATTCCAATAAAGTCAGCTGAAGATGGGTGCATGGACCAGTTTTCTAGGTCCTGTTGGAACTAGGCATGGGAATCATCAGTGGCCCCACAATACGATATTATTGCGATTTTTTACATTTTGCAATACAGTGAATGTTGCGATACAATATATTGTGATTTACACAGTTTTTCAACTGTTAAGCTAATTTTACCTAAGTTTACCTAATCAACCTGATTCAGCGTTTGTCTTTCCTTTATGTTTGTCTTATTAACACAGTATTGTATTTTCATGTAGTGCATCTGGCAAACCTTATTTGTCAGGCCCATCTCATTTGTGCTCTGCTTGCATTCCTAATGTCTTTCGCCAGGTGCTGCTGTATTTGTTGTACTAACTTTCTCCTGCTCTATGATATCACCTCTGCCAACATCACTGGACAAACAGTTGATTTTATTTTTCCATTGTCATAGATTTGACTTCATATTAGCAACTATTATGAAAAAATCGATACTTGATAAATGAGACGATACTATATATCACCAGACCAAATATTATAATACTACCAATATGCTGTATTGATTTTTTTCTCCCACCCCCTAGTTGGGACACAAGTCCTTGAATCCTTGATGTAATCTTAAGTTTATTTTAGGCTGACTCCATAATTGTTGCAGTGTGGTTTTTGCTACACTGAGATTTCTGGCTGACATAGATATGTATAACTGTGTGTGGTCTTCATAGTGGTGGTTACTCCCTCAATATTTTCCGTAATTTAAGCCAGAGAAGGAACATAGATTTGAAACAGAAGGGACCCCAGGATGGAGCCTTGGGGAACCCCACGTGTCATTTTAGTCTGCTCAGATGTGAATTAACCATTAGACACAGAGTACTCTTTGTTCTTTAAGTAAGACTTATCCAGTTTAGTACTGTTCTTGGGAGCCTCACCCAGTTCTTCTATCTGGAGTAGTAATAAATCCTAATCAACAGAGTCTATTATGTGATCATGGTGACAGTGTGTAGAATGAAAAGCCGAGCGAGAGAGAGAGCGATGTTTTTTTTTTTGTTTTTTTTGTAATTCAGATTTTTATTTAAGCACATGCAGTAACAGCTCTGAGTGGTACATCATACAGAATGCAAAAAAAGAAAAATACAAGAAAAACCAGGAGGGCCTCCGTCAAAGGGACACATTTTCTCAAATTTCGGCAGATCCTGTCAAAACGAGTTTAACCACAAAGAAGTAGTAAAGCACAGAAGTAGAAAACAAAAACAAATAATATAGTAGTACATATATACCTATATACAAATATATTGTACAGATACAAATAATCCGGTAGTAATAATGACAACAACATTAAAAATAAATAAAGTAAGAAATTAGGTAGGCAAACATTTCTTCAAGCAGGCCTCACAATCACGGCTCTAGTTAGAAGTGAGATGTCCCATGAAACAACCCCAAACCCCCAGTTCCACATGACCTTTACCCCTTAACCTCACTAACATGACCTCATTGGACGTGGTTTCACTCATTAAAATTTTCCACTCCTGGAGTGTCGGACATGTATATGATTTCCAGTGCCGTAGTATGATTCTGGCGGCTGAAGTTAACCCCACGATCAGAACAGAGAGTACGTTTTTTGTTAGGGTTGGGATTTCTGAGAGAGAGCAATGTTATAATTTATCAAAGTTTAAAGACACCAGAGTGATCTTCATTTCATTCATCAGTTTCTGGACTTACATGCTGTCTCTCTGGTGCTGATTATTCCTGCACAGCTGTGATAATTTCAGTGTTTTTATTCATGCAGATTTTCCCACAAAGAGGAAAGCTGCACCAAAGGAGCAAGTGTTTAAACAGAGTCTTTGTTGACTCTTGTATTTGGGGTTCGAGCTCTCGAAAGAAACCAAATGAGGCTAACAGCAGCTTAAGTGAAGTTGTTTGCAGGAGAGGTTCATCAGTGCTTTCTTTTCTCTATCAAAAAACTCTTAGACATCAACCATTCATCAACAAGAGTGTGTGTAGTGCATGTTAATGTGTGTGCTCGTGCATGCAGAGGTCAAGAGGGTCGAGCAGCAGCTTTCAAAATAAAAGCAGCAGAAAAAAGAAATGTCAAGTACCCCATGTTTAGACACCATATGGTCCTTGTGTGTGTGTGTGTGTGTGTGTGTGTGTGTGTGTGTGTGTGGGTGGTGGTGGTGGTGGTGGTGGTGGTGGTGGTCTATTGTTGGTCAGCATTTCTATTGGACAATACTGATGAATGTCTCACTGTCTACTCTCTGAACACAAAAAAACTAAAAGCTACTCTTTGTAGAAAAAAATGGTATTACTATTTAATTTGAACAAAATATTGAGACAAAATCTGAAAAATTAAAACACCAAAATGAGATCGATTTATAGGCACAATAGTAGAAAGTAAACATACTGCATAAATTTTACATCATTGATTCATACTGTTGAAATCAAACCTTGTAGTGTTAAATGTTCCTGTCCTTCTGATAATGGATCACTGAAGTCCTCACTGAGTGAGCTGTAGAGATTAAATTGAAGCACAATAAATGTTGAATAAAGTCTGAACAAAATGGAAATGTGTTCAGAGATTTATTCACTCCTGCTGTTCCTTTTGCCTCATGAAAGGTCCATTAATGGTCTCCTCATTTGGTTAACAAAGAGTTAATGACCTCAGGATATTCTGCTGACCTGCAGCAGGACGAGGAGTAGGAGGGTGGAAACAGACTCGATAGGTTTTTTAAAACATGAACTCCTGAGATAATTTCAGGACATGCCGTTCTTGGTTTCCTTTCATTTCTTTTCACGCACACAGTGGGGGACTGTCAGTGTGAGACAGGCACTCAGGATGTGAAATACTCTGCTAGGGAGGCGCACAAATATCGCTGCAAGATGTGTGTCAGGGTGTTTTTGAAATGAAAACACAATACAGAAAACTGAGGCGGAGAAACGCTACTCACAAATGTTTCTGTCACCATCACACATCAACCCTCTAAATATTCAGATAAGGTAAGGTATTCAGAACTTTTTCTGTAATGAGGCTGAAAGGAAGAAAGTTCCATGAAGATTAAACTGTTGAAGTTCAGACCTACAGAGGGTCAGGAACTTTTCTGTGGCGGGTGACATGAGGACAGAAACTGAAGGCTGTTTCAGTAGGGCTGCCTCTCCTGCTCCTCTCCCTGCTCTCATCTCTCCTCCTCCTGCTCCTCTCCTTGCTCTTCTCTCTCTCTCTCTCTCTGTCTCTCTCTCTCTCTCTCTTCTTCTCTTGCTCCTTTCCCCGCCCTTCTTTCTCCCCCTCCTCTCTGTAAAAACGCTTTTATTTTAAACCTGTGTTTTCTGTCTTTGTAGGAGGAGAAACCATTAAGAGTATTAACCAGCAGTCTGGCGCTCATGTGGAACTGCAGAGAAACCCTCCCCCCTCCACTGACCCCAACACCAGGGTCTTCACCATCAGAGGGACCGCCCAGCAGATGGACCTGGCCCGTCAGCTCATAGACGACAAGATTGGGGTGAGAAGCTGTTAAAAGATGGTTCAGGCCTTTTTTGTTTTGGGTTCAGTTTTGGAAAGACTGACACAGACTGAACTTCTAATCAAAAGTCTATGAAGTTTTCCAACTTTTTTGGATTTATGGAGAAACTTCAGTTTTTACAAACATTAGTGTAGATTATTTAATCTGAGTTATACTGAGTGGGTCTTAGTTCTGTCAGTTTATTACATTTCAAGGTAAACGCCCTTGATGCTGATTTGAAATAATAATTATTGAGTTATTCTTGGTATGTCTTCTCCTCTTCAGGGTTCAGGTATCATGAGTAACGGAGGATTTGGCTTCAGTCCCTTCACCCAGGGCCCTGCTACACATCAGAAGTAAGAAATCTCTTGAGTTTGTGATTTCAGGTCTCATCTTTGGGTAAAAGGTGTCAGAGAGTTCATTTTTACCTTTTAATGATCAGCTGACCGCACTTGTCTGACCGTCTTTCGGCGATTTAATGGAAGTGATTGAATAAACTGTGTGCTTGTGTGGCTCTTTAGTGCATCCTATTGATGTGTGTGTGTGTGTGTGTGTGTGTGTGTGTGTGTGTGTGTGTGTGTGTGTGTGTGTGTGTGTAGCTGCGGCAGCGGTCAGACCTTCCTTACTGGCGTTTGGGGAAACACCTACCAGACCAGCTGGCAGAACCCGGGACAGCAAGACCCTGGTAACACACACACACAAACTCACTCCCATCTGCACAAATCCACCACACAAGTGTGCCTTTACAAACTTGTACACTTAAAAAATTCCTTATTTTTATAAAAGGATTTTAAAAAGTCAACTTTAATATTTTTCATATTTGAAATGTGAAATATTTGAATAATTTTTTGTCCAATTTTAATGATTTGGGCTTAAAGCTCATAAAAATCAAACTTCCAGCAGATGACATGGCACCCAAAACCAACACTGACTGTGGACTTGAATCACCTTGGGTTCTGGGCCTCTCTGAGCTCTCTTTAGACTCTGGGACCTTGATTTCCTAATTGATTTCCATCTAAACAAGACTGTGGACCACTGAGTGATAGTCCAGTTCTTTTTAGAGACTCTTATGATGCTGTCTCTGGTTCAGCAGGGTCTTAAAAGCAGGAACTTGCGTAGTCTGTTTTATGGACTCGTCTGTCTGTAGTGGCTCTTGATGCTGTCAGTATTTTGAGATTTTTCTTGTCAGCTGTGAACCACAATCATCAAAATTAAAATAGAGGATAAGTTTGAGCATTATGGCAAAAACCCACCGGATCCAGAACAGCTCCGTCTGCTCTGGCACGGCAGGTTGATCAAATACGCAAGCATTATAAGCAATGTGAGTGATTCCACACAATCCGTCCACCTCCAGCTCCGCTGTGGATCCGCTCCGGCGGCCGGATCAGATAAGCAAGGCTTCTATTTTTGCTGGATGCTTCAGCACAACGCATCAATTCAGTGCAGCGCAGCACGAGCAGCAGCAGAAGTTGAATGCGGTTACAGAGTAAAATATCTGGTTAATTTTCAAAATAAAATAAAGTCAATACATTGAACTGTTCTTCTCTTGATAATAGGAGAGGCCAGGGTTGTGGGATGTGGGTGTTTATATACACCGCTGGTGTTTGGTGGACCTCATTCAATGTCTCACGGGGAGACGCAAGATCCCATGAGATCTCATCCAGTCTCACGAGAAATATCGTTAATCGGACAAGCGCTTTTCCTCCGATGACGGATCAGATCCAGTGGGCACTGTATGCTTGTATATTTGATCTGCCTGCTGGTCTGGAGTGGAGCGGAGACATTCTGGATCTAATGGGATTCCCCGGTTGATCAAAGTTTTGAAAATTTCTACTTTTTTTAAATGCTGATGAGAATTTTTGAACTTTTAAGGATGTTCAGGTTTGTTGAGATGCACCTGCTCAGGTTCACACCTCACTCTTTACCTGTAGTTTTTTGATTTAGTTTTTTTGAACCTGATCAGCCAAACGGGCAACCAGATTACAGTGCAGATATAGTTTTTTTATTTACTGCCACAGAGTTTTGAGTCCAGGAGTTTAGACCCTCTTTATGAGTGTGGAGGTCACTGTTTGGCTCACACAGAACAGATGGACTACTCTAAAGCATGGGAGCATGGGGGCATTACTTACAGAAGCTAGGCGTGTACACACTCTCAGCAATAGAGGCACAAAGGTTAGAACTTCATATAATAGCAGGTTTAAGGTGTATTAGAGGTGTTCAGTTAAAGGTGTGTGATTTAAACAATCAGGAAACATCTGACTAAAGAAAGACGCATAACGAACGCAGCCAGAATGGACAACAGCTAACGTGCAACATTGATGGTTTCTGGAAGATCAGTTTGTTGATTCGTGGCACTGACATGAGAGCTGGTTCTGGATCACAGTGAGTCTGAAAGTAGATCAGCAAGGATGAGGACCTCAGGATTTTGAAGCAAGGCTGACAGACTTCCCTGTCTCAATGTTATAAATGTACATTTCTGATCTTGATTACTCACTGGACTACTTACTGTTGCACCCAGACATGGAGGACTGCAGCCGTGTTGTGTTTCCTCAAGCTTGTGTGTAAAATTTACAGTTTGATCACGTAGTTGTCCTTCAAAATAAATGTTCTGACACTGATGCTCATAGTGTTAGAAACAACTGAATTCAGAGTAGCACCGTCAGACCGCCTGTGTTTGTGTCTCTGTAGGTCAGCAGAACCAGCCTCAGAGCTTGATGACAGACTACAGTAAGGCCTGGGAGGACTACTACAAGAAACAGAGTAATACAGCTCTCCCTCTCTTTTTCTGTGTTTGCCTGTCTGTTAATTCTCACAGCTAGCTCACAGTATTACCATGATATCATTATTTCATTTCCTCAGAAAGACAGTTATCATTAAAACCAGTGTATTGTCACAGGCCAGCTCCAGTAGAAGTGAAAGTTCTTCTGGCAGACTATCACTTGTGTTACAGTTTTGGTGTGGGCACTTAAAAGAATACTGAAATGTTCAAACTACTTTTTGGAAACATCTCAAAACAGTGCTTTGAACACAGGTTTAAACATTTTTAAACTCACATGCTACAGATTTCATGATGAACGAGCCCTCACACCTTCACACACATCGGGGAGTTAAGTATTACCAGGATGAGCAAATGCCCGGCAGTTTGTTTGAATAGAAAACTCAGCCGTGAACATGATTCTGTAGCTGCATGTTTTTCAGGAATCATGAAGGATAAGCTCACTTGACTCATTGAGCAACTCAGAGCTCTCAAAAAAACCTCAAGTTTTTGGTTCTGCGGTGCCCAGAGGTAGATAGGAGAGGATGTAAGGGAAAGTAGGACAAATAGGACCATTCGAAGGAAAACCGACTACAGAGTAAAATCTGCAGTCGACAGTTTGGTTCAAACTGTGTCAGCTAGAATGAAACAAGTGTTGAGCTTCATATCTGGACAGTTTTTCTCTGGCTGAAGGGTGAAGTTTTTTGTAGACATTTGTAGACAGAGCAGACATCAAAGATACTTAATTTCAAAATGTTCAAACATGGATTTAAGATCTAGCCATGGCTGCTCAGGTGGAGACTTGTCCTCACTGTAGCTCTTATTTTCTTAATTGAATGAGCTGCCTGATCTGAGTGACATTTCAGCTGTAGAGATGCACGACATACAGGTATGGCAACACCACCTGGACAAACCACACGCAGAGCTTCACCAACACACTTGGTTGTCTGAAGGATGAGATATTCATCAGTGAACTCCAGAGTACCGAGCGCCTGATAGATGAACCTGATTCTTGTCTCTCAGATGTAGCGGAGTAAACTCAGATACACAAAGTACCTCACAGCATCCCTCTGTTCATTTGTGTGTCTGCAGGTCAGTCGTCTCAGCAGAGTTCGGTGCCAGACTACACTGCAGTGTTAGCAGAATACTACAGACAGCAGCCCTACCTGTGGAACCCCGCCCAGATACAGGTACGCTCAGCAGGAACCCGCTTTGTTGTTTGTTGTCCCAAAACCAGTTAACATCAGAGAGGGATTTAAATAACACCACCGAACAATGATGTCAAATCCTGTGTCTTTAGGATCACTAGAGGCTCTCCCCCTTGCCAGTGAAGGCCTCGGATGGTCGTCGAAGGCAACGGAATCGGGGTTTCCTTGCAACGCTCTGCCGCTTCCTCCTTCCTTTTGTAGAGAAAAACTAAGGATTAACTGAAAATCACGAACTCTTTTCTTTCTGTTTTTTAACCTTACAAAGTCGATATTTTGTCAGGCAGATTTTTTTGGACTAGCCTCTGGTCTCTCCGCAGTGTAGACCTGTTTTTTTTTTTTTTTTTTGTTTGTTTGTTTTATTTTTTTTTTTTTATCAAACTTGAACTTAAAGATGTATCAGTGTGGCTTTGAACAAAAAAAAAATCCAGTATAATCTATATTTTGTCTAGTTTTATTTTCCAATAAGAAAACGGTATAAGGCTTAGCAGTCTTGAGTAAGAAAATCAGATATTATTATTATTTTGTTTATGTTCATGTTTTAAAGCATGCATCAGATTGTGTGTGTTGACTCTCAGTTATTTTTTTTTATTTTGGCATAGAAATATTTTAATAGCGTCAGATGAAAATTTAATGTTTTACCGTCAGAGACAAAACTGTTTTTTGTACTAAATTTGTGCTCGCTGGGTCTGTTTGTTCTCCATCTAATTTTACCTGTTCAGTCGCCATCTTGGAGGTGCAATGACGCGTTTATTGTTTTCTCTTTGGTTTGATGATAGTTCTTATTCCTGTATCTCTATAGTGATTCTTTAGTTTTTATGATGTAATGATAAATAAATGCCGATTTATATTGCGTTGTCTAAGCCAGATCTCTCTGTGGTCAAACACAGGATTGAACCTCCAGCCGACACCACGTTTCCCCACCGCGACTTCGTGACAAAACGGGAAAACTTACTATTTTCTTACAGAGTGAAACTTTATTATTGTTGTTGTATCTTAGTTCTGCATTTCTACTTTGCCGATTTGTTTGTAGAAGAAGTGTAAAGAGCTGAACAATGAAGTTATCAATTCTATAAGCAATGATTTAGCTAAAGCCAGCGCATTGGCTAAATGCGCCAGTTAGCTAGACTTGTGTTAGCAAAAAGATGTGTGTTACCTCAACTGTGTGTTAGCTGAATGAATGTGGTTGAATTGATTCTGTTAGCTGTCTTTTTATTAGCTAAATGTACAGGTTCATTGACAGATGCATTGGCTGGACAATATGTGCTTATGTCCATGGTTTGTATTAGTGTAGCAGGGTTAGCATTGACGTTTGACTTTAACTGAGCACGCTTGTTGCTTGTTTTTCTTTGCTGAGTGAATGGGGTGGCAGTTTCGTTGTTTTCTGGTATGAGTGTGTGCAGAGCCTTAGGGTGTTAAGCTGTTTGCTTTGACTGCTGATAACTTGTATGTGCCGCACTCACAACATATGGCTAAAACAGTAAATTAACACGTGAGAATTAAAGTTCAACATTTAGCAAAAAGTGACAATTCTAAGACCTTAGGAATCTCTTCTTTAGGAAAAAAATCTCAGTCATTTTACTAACAGTGGCACACTTTAGCATGTAACTTAGTTAGCTAACTTTTATTTTAAAGATAAGAAACAAGAAAAATATCGGAACCAGACTTTAAAGTCATTTATCCAGAATAACTTCAATACCTAATAGCATTAGCTGAAACCTTGTCAGCAGAAATGCACGAGTGTGGTCGCTAAAGTTGCTCACTCATGCTAGCTTATTTCTGTTTGTGTGCTTAACTTTATAAATTTGTCATTTTAGTTTAGCTTGTGAAGCATCTTGCTAGTTTTCTTTTAATTCACCCCATTTTTGCTGTAATCCTGCAGCATTAGCCATATCTTATTAGCTAAACAGCATATATCTACAGATAAGCCAAAATTTTGAGATTAGCATAACACTGGACTGTTGTAACTGATGCTCTTGACTGGCGCTAGCTTAAATCTGTCTGATCACCATGCCGTCGTTTGTAGAACACGTTAATTTTATTGAACTTCCAAATGCGGTTCGTGCGAGTTTTCACTTTTCCCTCTTTTGAAAGTCATCCCCCAAATTTTTTTTCTGATAGCAGTAGCCATAGTTTGTAAGCCAAAACAGGTAGTATAAACAGATAAGCTGAACTCTTTGAATTAGTTTAAAAATTGTACGAGTATTGTAACTGAAGTTGCTGAATGTGCGCTGGTGTAGTACAGCTTGTTTGTTTGGTTTGCCACACTCATTTAAACTTGTTTATCTTAGCTTGTGCGCTCATTATAAGTGGGTTAGCTGTCAGCCCTGTGTCTGCTCAGGCTAGGTCAGGATGCTCCTACGTTAATGTAAGTCGTTGTCAGAGTTTGTGAGGCAGTTTTGTACTCAAAAACATTTTTGCTTTACTTTTCTTCCAACAGGAGTGTGGAGCTACGAATTTGCTCAGTCTATGCGTAATTAGCGAGTCCACCTACAAAGAGCCGTTAGCGTACATGGGGAAAAATCTTTGAGTGTTTTCACAGATTTGTAATTCCAGCAAAATGTCTGTTCACATTGTGTGTCTGGTGTGTGTTTCTGTGCTTTAGCTGAATTTTGTTGTGCGTGTCGGACCACAGAGAGGTTTGTCTTGTTGAAGGGGATCTGGCTGTGGAGTTGAATATTGAATCAGTGGTTCTGCTTCTTGTATGTGTGACGATAATGGTGATGATGATGACGATAATAATAGTTAATGACGACGATAATAATGAGTTCTCCTGTACAGGGGTCTATTTAAATCTGTTCATCCAGTTATGAATATTCAGTTTGTCAATAAGATAATATGGTTTGTGTAAATTTCCACGCTCTGGTGGGTGCTCTCCAGTTAAAATGTACTTTGTTATCCTGTTCAAAATGAGATTGTTTAATTCACATGTTGTCTAACCGATTTGCAAAGAGATGTCTGTGTTATATATAGTCTCAAGACTGCTAGGCTAACTGTCTCTCTCTTCTCCTAGTCTTTCTGTCTCTGTCTAGACAGCGTTACGGTAAAAAGTTGCTTGGATTGGTAGTTTTTCAACGCGTCTGTAATCGGACCATGTAATTACAGCTGAGCGTTATCGTCACAGGCGTGTTGAACAGTCCTGCAGCTGGTTAGCGTGGCGACTCCAAGGCAAGGAGAGCTGTAGTATGGGGGATTTCCTCCCCGAATAATTATTGAAAAACACAGGAGTGGGCAGTTTTTTGGTTTCGTGCCTCAGTTCCAAGTTTAGTATGGACTGCCAGAACCCAAACTGGGTCTAAACCAGTTACCACCGAGCCCCCTAATGTCCTAGAACCAGAACTGGACACGATATCGCCTGTCCACTCCAATTTAGATCTTCCTAGTCCCGCCCCCTTGTCCTGAAGGGGTGACGGGGAGCTTTTTGGTTTCATGGTTTCTGTTGTTTTTCTAATGGACAGATGTCCTAACTGTAACCTGCAGATTTTTCTATTAGATTCTATTGACAGATAGAGTTGTGTATGAACCCGAGCCACGAGACTGTCAGTGGCCGAGGAAGAGGCAGGTGGATGATTATGATGATTAACATGAGGGCTAATAAACAGGCTCATTCTTTCTGACTGACTGTGTCTTTATCTTTTTGAGTTAAATTGATTTTATAATCGCAGCGAGCTGGATCATACACACCACTTTTGGATGAAATGGACACATCAGCAACAATGTTAAAGCCATATGTGGTGAACAAAGCAGCAAAAACGATCATGGGCAGGGTTTCTCCATTTAAAACTGAAGCACTTGAACATTAGTGTAATTTCATAGACATGATTTCAATTACAACATTAGTAAAATTATATAAAACAATAATTTCCCCTCTTCTTTCAATCATAAATGATCAAATTATTCAAATTTCAATATGACAGTTTGCTGGTTTGGGTCCAAGACCCTTCAGACCTGAATCCTGGTTCCTGAAAAACTTTGAAACGAAACAACACAGTTTGTCAAATTAAGGAAGGCGAGACACGATTGGAACAACATAAAACTTCTTAAACTTTACTGACAAATAAAGTTAACTCGCATGATGTTAAAATCTATGATTTGTCAAGATCTCCAGCCCTGAGACCCAAACTTGTTATGAGGATGTGACCTCCGTAAACAATCGCCACGCTTTGTTTTTAAAAATGTATTCTGCTCTGCATAAAACTATGCTTTTATTTTGACATACAGTGCATCCGGAAAGTATTCATACCACTTTACTTTTTCTACATTTTGTTATGTTACAGCCTTATTCTAAAATGGATTAAATTCCCCTTTTCCCTCAAAAATTCTACACAAAATACCCCATAATGACAAAGCGAAAAACTTTTTTTAGAACACATTTTGAAAATTTATTAAAAATAAGAACACTCAAATGTTGCATATACATACAGTACAGACCAAAAGTTTGGACACACCTTCTCATTCAATGAGTTTCCTTTCTTTTCATGACTATTGACATTGTAGATTCACACTGAAGGCATCAAAACCATGAATTAACACATGTGGAAATATGCACTTAACAAAAATGTGTAAAACAACTAAAAATACGCCTTATATTCTAGTTTCTTCAAAGTAGCCACCTATTGCTCTGATTACTGCTTTGCACACACTCTGCATTCTCTTGATGAGCTTCAGGAGGTAGTCACCTGAAGTGGTTTTCACTTCACAGGTGTGCCCTGTCAGGTTTAATAAGTGGGATTTCTTGCCTTATAAATGGGGTTGGGACCATCAGTTGTGTTGTGCAGGTGGATACACAGCTGATAGTCCTACTGAATAGACTGTTGGAATTGGTATTATGGCAAGAAAAAAGCAGCTAAGTAAAGAAAAACGAGTGGCCAATTACATCATTAGAAATAAGGTCAGTCAGTCCGGAGAATTGGGAAAGCTTTGAAAGTGTCCCCAAGTGCAGTCGCACAAACCATCAAGCGCTACAAAGAAACTGGCTCACATGAGGACCGCCCCAGGAAAGGAAGACCAAGAGTCACCTCTGCTGCGGAGGATAAGTTCATCCGAGTCACCAGCCTCAGAAATCGCAGGTTAACAGCAGCTCAGATTAGAGACCAGGTCAATGCCACACAGAGTTCTAGCAGCAGACCCATCTCTACAACAACTGTCAAGAGGAGACTGTGTGAATCAGACCTTCATGGTAGAATAGCTGCTAGGAAACCACTGCTAAGGACAGGCAACAAGCAGAAGAGACTTGTTTGGGCTAAAGAACACAAGGAATGGACATTAGACCAGTGGAAATCTGTGCTTTGGTCTGATGAGTCCAAATTTGAGATCTTTGGTTCCAACCACCGTGTCTTTGTGCGACGCAGAAAAGGTGAACGGCTGGACTCTACATGCCTGGTTCCCACTGTGAAGCATGGAGGAGGAGGTGTGATGGTGTGGGGGTGCTTTGCTGGTGACACTGTTGGGGATTTATTAAAAATTGAAGGCATACTGAACCAGCATGGCTACCACAGCATCTTGCAGCGGCATGCTATTCATCCGGTTTGCGTTTAGTTGGCCGTCATTTATTTTTCAACAGGACAATGACCCCAAACACACCTCCAGGCTGTGTAAGGGCTATTTGACCAAGAAGGAGAGTGATGGGGTGCTGCGCCAGATGACCTGGCCTCCACAGTCACCGGACCTGAACCCAATCGAGATGGTTTGGGGTGAGCTGGACCTATGAGTGAAGGCAAAAGGGCCAACAAGTGCTAAACACCTCTGGGAACTCCTTCAAGACTGTTGGAAGACCATTTCAGGTGACTACCTCTTTAAGCTCATCGAGAGAATGCTAAGAGTGTGCGAAGCAGTAATCAAAGCAAAAGGTGGCTACTTTGAAGAACCTAGAATATAAGACATATTTTCTGTTGTTTCACACTTTTTTGTTAAGTACATATTTCCACATGTGTTAATTCATAGTTTTGATGCCTTCAGTGTGAATTTACAATTTTCATAGTCGTGAAAATAAAGAAAACTCTTTGAATGAGAAGGTATGTCCAAACTTTTGGTCTGTACTGTAAGTATACACACCCTTTACTCAATACTTGGTCGAAGCATCTTTGGCAGCGATTACAGCCTCCAGTCTTCTTGTGTATGATACAACAAGCTTGGCACACCTGGATTTGGGGAGTTTTTCCCCATTCTTCCTTGCACATCCTCTCAAGCTCAGTGAGGTTGGATGGGCAGCGTCGGTGCACAGCTACTTTCAGGTCTTTCCAAAGATGTTCAATCGGGTTCAAGTCTGGGCTCTGGCTGGGCCACTCAAGGGTCATTTTCATGCTGGAAGATGAAGCGTCGCACCCGGTGGAAGGTCTGGAGCGCTCTGGAGCAGGTTTTCATCAAGGATTTCGATGTACTTAGCAGCATTCATTTTTCCCACGATCCTGACAAGTCTCCCAGTTCCTGCCGCTGAAAAACATCCCCACAGCATGATGCTGCCACCACCATGCTTCACTGTAGGGATGGTATTGGCGAGGTGGTGAGCGGTGCCTGGTTTCCTCCAGACATGACGCTTGGCGTTCAGGCCAAAGAGTTCAATCTTCGTTTCATCAGACCAGAGAATTTTGTTTTTCCTGGTCTGTGAGTCCTTCAGGTGCCTTGTAGCAAAGTCCAAGCGGGCTGTCATGTGCTTTTAACTGAGGAGTGGCATCTGTCTGGCCACTCTACCATAAATGCCTGACTGGTGGAGTGCTGCAGAGATGGTGGTCCTTCTGTAGGGTTCTCCCATCTCCTCAGAGGAACACTGGAGCTCTGTCAGAGTGACCATCAGGTTCTTGGTCACCTCCCTGACCAAGGCCCTTCTCCCCTGCTTCCTCATTTTGGCTGGGCGACCAGCTCTAGGAAGAGTCCTGGTTGTTCCAAACGTCTTCCATTTCTTAATGATGGAGACCACTGTGCTTTTTGGGATCTTCAATAGAGCAGATATTTTTCTGTAACCTTCCCCAGATCTGTGCACCGATACAACCCTGTTTCAGGGGTCTACAGACAATTCTTTCAACTTCATGGCTTGGTTTGTGCTCTGACATGCTCTGTCAGCTGTGGGATCTTATATAGACAGGTGTGGCTTTCCAAATCATGTCCAATCAGCTGAATTTGCCACAGGTGGACTGCAATCAAGTTGGAGGAACATTTCAAGGCTGATCAGTGGAAACAGGATGCACCTGAGCTCAATTTTGAGTTTTATAACAAAGGGTGTGAATACTTATGTATATGCAACATTTGAGTGTCTTATTTTTAATAAATTTGCAAAATGTTCTAAAAAAAGTTTTTCGCTTTGTCATTATGGAGTATTTTGTGTAGAATTTCTGAGGGAAAAAAAGGAATTTGATCCATTTTGGAATAAGGCTGTAACATAACAAAATGTGGAAAAAGTGAAGTGGTATGAATACTTTCCGGATGCACTGTAGAAACCCAGAAGCGTCTATATTTTTGGAGTCTTGATGAATCATTTCGAGGGATACTAAAGCTAACTTGCTGGTAGCTGCTGCTTCTACACCTCTGTTCTGTGAAGTGCAGCAATCAGTGACTATGATTAACTCACTGTCTTATATCATGCTTTAATTTGGTAAATCAATATTTCTACATTTATAACATCATGCAGCCCATAATATGCTTTGTGGTAGTTAGAAATTACGTCTGGGACGTTGAGACCTGATTTGACCTTTTTAAAACCATGTTTTTCAGGTAGAAATCCTGTCTAGAGTTTACTGGGTTAATGTCTGTATGATACTGAGGGGGATTTATGCTCCATATCAAGTAATATGATTTTGGATTTTTATAGAGCACATAACAGGTTTTATGTATCATATTAAAGATTTATAACCTTTATCAAAAACCGCCCATCTATTTCAGTTTGATGGGAACTTGAATGTAGACATCACATTTCTGTGTGTATGTGTGTGTTATACACTCTGAGGGGTCAGTGTGTGTCTGAGCTGCCGTCACAGCATCTCTTCATGTCCTGACATGAAAAGTGGGATTTATCATTTATTCATGTTCCCCGAACAGAGACAGATGGTCTGACTGTTAGTGTGATGTCATCTGTCATTAAGACTTTACTGTAATCACACACACACACACACCTACTGACCTCCAGAGATGACTGAAGCAGCACTAAGGGAGGAGTGGATGCTCAGAGGAGGAAATTATACTAAAATTAGTCTGTTTTTTTTTTCATCATTTGAGATTATTTAAAAAAACACTTTAGAGAGTTCTTAGTGCCACGTTTTAAACAATTGAGAACTATAATTTACATCTTCTTGAGTATCATATACAACAATGAATCAACATAGTTCATGCAGTAATCTTATTTTGAAAAGAAAGAAGTCATCAAGCAGGTTTAATCTGGTACTTTAGGGGTACGGAAGCCCTGAAGGTCAATTATAAAAAAAAAAACATTAAGCTAACATAAACATTTCACTGCATTCTTAACCCACCTCGGAATGCAAGACTGTTTGACTCAAGACCAAAATATTTCACAACTTGAAAAGTATATCATAAAATGCAAAACCTAATGATTCAAAAAACACAAAAATTTTTAATGAAACTGAAAATAATTCACCAAAAGCATAAACATATTTAAAAAGTCAGATGCAAAAAAGGGTTATGATTAGCACGAATGTTATGAAAAATAAACTTTTCATGTGTGACAAAAGTTTTTCTCAAACACCAAGATCAGCCCACCAAACACAAAAATATTTATCAAAATGCAAAATATTTTACTATATGCAAAAAATGTCCTTGAAGGCATGTGTGAATACCTGATGATTAAAAAATTTTTACATCTTACTAAATGTGAAAATACATTTAGAAAACTCACATGCAACCAAAAGTATGTCATGAATCTCAAAAATATAGCAAAAAAATAATAATTTTACAAAATAGTAAAAATCATGAAATGCAGATAATTTCCCCTGAAAACCAAAACATTTCACCAAATGCAAAAACAAAAGTGTTACAGAAGGAAAGATCCCTACCTGATTTAAAAAAAAAACACATTACATAAAAATTTTTATAAAATTCAAAAATAAAAAAAAAATCTCAAAATTCTCATGAAACGAAAAGCAGATAAAGTATTTGATGAAACAGAAACGTTTTTTTCTCTAAACAAAAACAATATTTTACAAAATACAAAAATATTCTCCAATTATGAAAAAACAATTACTTAATCAAACAAATTTTTTCAAAATTACGCAGTTCCTCATGAAATACAAAAAGGTTTTAAACAAAACTCAGGAACATTTCCCCACAAAACTTGAATCAGTACAAACTCTTAGAATATCTCTGTGTGATTGTCGCTAAAGTCTCCGAAAACTCCTCCCATGCTGTCTATAATAAATAAATCCTGCATTTATGACAAAATATGAAGTTCAATTAAAGCATTAAAAGGAGGAAACACAGACGCAGAGAGAGAGAGACTTTGAATCGTGAAAAAGAGGAGGATGAAATGAAGGAGAGGCAAGGATGAAGATGATGGAGAGAGACTGATTGATGGAGAAATCAGACAGGAAACAACAAGACTGTACTGTTCCTGGCATTGTGTGTGTGTGTGTGTGTGTGTGTGTGTGTGTGTGTGTGTGTGTGTGTGTGTGTGTGTGTGTGTGTGTGTGTGTGTGTGTGTGTGTGTGTGTGTCAGTGGCCATAAAGTACAGGAAAGAGCTCGGTAAGTACAGATGAACCTGATTAAACATTAAAGTATGTAATGGTGATCTGGATCTGGTCCAAATATTTCCCATGATGCTCAGGGACTAACAGGAGCAATAAACTACCCGCCTGAGCCAACCGCACTGAGCGGCCAAAAGTAAGTGTAGAGCTGAGTGCAGTGTAACATGTGGTGGAGGCAGCAGCAGGTTCATTAACACTATTGCTCTGTCCTCACATGATGAACCTGCTGCAGCGCCCCAGAGACATCCTGATCACAAAGACAGAGTTTAACCCCAGCTGGAGTTTAGAGTCCCACTCTGATCATTTTTTTATGACCCAAAGTGTTCTTAGTGGTCTTTACATTGTGATTATGTTTTTACCAAAAATCATGTTACTTGTGTGTGTTTCATTTTCAAGGGCTTTTCTTCTGCAGAGCTCCAGTAGCTCATTAGCAACTCGCCTCTGAGTCATGGGTGGGGACAGCGCTGCTCTGCACACTCGTCTTCGTGTTCTTCCATTATTGATCCTGCAGCAACATCTGAGCTCCGGGGTGACGACTTTCATGATCAGGCTGCTGGTTTATGACTTCCTGATCAGGGAGGGAAGTCTGAGCTGGTGGCCTCTAGTAAAGGACTTCGAGTATAACCGGCAGACCAGCAAAGAAGGGCGTTTAAAAGGCTGTGGCTGCAAAGTTTCTGAATGTGCATTTATAATATGTAAGATGATAAACCAGGTATAAAGAAGAGTTACAGGTGTTGAAAAAATATTTTTCCCATAATATCACTCACAGAGTGAAGCTTCCCAAAAATGTTAGACTTATCAAACACAGAGTGAAATATTTCAAGACTTTCTTTTTCTCTAAACTTTAGACTATCATGTAAAAGTCCAGTTTCTGGTCAGGTCTTTCAGTCCTAAAGGAGCTCTGATCAGCTGATTCACTCTGAACACCTGCTAAGGTTTTCTGTGCCTCTCTTCTCTCTCTCTGGTTCAGCACACAAAACAACGATCCTGGTTTAGAGATGGTCCTTGATGGTGAGCCTCAGGAGGTCACTGCTGGAAATTCTAGCTGTTCACAAGGTCTGAATGAAGCAGGAAGTTGAATAAAGGGAAAAGTGAGGGAGGAAAAGAGACCAAGAAACAGGGATGAGAGGACTGACGCACAGGGAAGATTCAAGAACTTAGAGGAGCTTCACAAGGACTGGACTGAGGCTGGTGTCAGGACATCAAGAACCTCTACACACAGATGAGTCCAGGAAATGAACTGCAAGTGTTCCTGCTTTCAAGAGCCTCCTGAACCAGAGACAACATCATTAGAGTCTCAAAACAGAGCTGGACTATTGCTTAGTGGTCCAAGGTCCAAATTTAGCATCTCATTTGATAGTCAAGATCACAGAGTCTGGAAGAAGACCAGAGAGACCAAGAACCGAAGGTGTTTGAATTCCAGTGTGTGATGGTGCAAGTCCTGAGTCAGTGCAGCCAAAAGTCTACCAGGAGGTTGTAGAGACCTTCATGCTTCATCTGCAGAGAAGCTTTATGGAGAAACAGATTTCCTTTTCCAGTAAGACCTGGACCTGGCCCATAAAACTACCAGAAACTGATTTGCTGAGCTGGATTGACCTGAACCCCCATAGAGTACGAAGAGAAAGACCAGACACACCAGAGAAAAAGTCCAGACAAGCCGAAGGATTTGAGCTGCACCTGTAATTGATCACCTATGTGTGATTTTCAGCCCAGAGGAAGACAGTGAAAGAGCAGTGACCTGAAGGTTTACGTGCTCAGAAAATATCTTCAAGTGTCTGTGAGAGTGATCAATAATCTTATAGGCTACTGTCAATATTTAGGGGTTGCAGCTTCTTTTACACGCACTTTGCTCCTGGTGCATGAACAATCGTGTGAGGATAGATCCCCGTCTTTATGTTAAAGCTCAACCCTCTGACGATGATGAGGATGGAGATGAAGAGCGGTGAGAAAACGGCTTAAAAAAGGAGCGTGGAGAACAAGAGGGAGCGTTTGATTTGAATCCCGAAGCAGCTGACAGCTTGTCTCCTCTCAGCCGCTGATGATCATTAAAAGGCTTTTTAAAGGAGGATTATTAGCGTCTGTCCAGCCCGCATGAATACTGATGAGGCCGCAGCACAGCGCTAATCACGTTAGCGGAACAATATTAGTGCGCCATTTGGGCCCATTCCCACCACCACCACCTCCTCCTTCTCCTCCTCACGCCCTTTTCATCTCTCTCCATCCTCGGCTCACCCGTAGGACTCTCTCTCTCTCTCTCTTCTACTCTTTTCTTTCTCTCTGTCTCCTCCTCCTCTCCTCTCTCATCTCTCCTCTTGTCCTCTTGTATTTACGCGTGCCAGTCACCTGCCGCTCCCTCCGCCTCCTGACTTCCCGTCGTCTTTTCGGGGCTAAAGTGCTTTCTTATTGGCCGTATGGAGCGAGTATAAAGGCGGGGAGGACACCGGGACACACTCACTGAGGAGCTTTTTGTTGTAAAAAGCTCATTAAAGCGTGTCCTCCCTCAATAAGGACGCGCCTCTCCATTAATAAACTCCCGCTCGGCCCGCGTGCGTAGCGGCTGCAGCCAAACTCTCCTCCGCTCCTTCAAAAGAAAGAAAGAGACAGGGGAAAAAAAGAAAAATCTGCGTTCATTGAGTCAAATCCATTGAAAAACATTTGCAAATCTACCATTATTCCTGGATTTTCTCTCCTTTTCTTCTCCTCTGTCTCTCGGGACAAAAGCGCGCAGCCTACATGTTTGGCACCGAGGCGTTACGCACGGAGCTGCGGCGAGATCGACGGGGGAGAGTCGGGGATGGAGGCCGGGGGAAGAACGAAAAGGGCCGGCCTGACGAAACTCCGCTAAGCCTGAAACTTCTATGTCCCCAGAGGAGAAGAGAAAGCCCGAGAGAGAGAGAAAAGATGAAAAATGTGGTTTAAAGTCTTCCGAAAAGATGAGAAGTGTGACCAAACTTACATATGCACAGGAGAAGTCAGTTAAATTAAGAAATTAAAATCCAACACAATGATCCTGTCCAGTGACCAATCTATGCGCAAAAGTTTGCAGGTTTTTATTTTAAATGAATAAAAACAATCAATGTTTATAATGCATAAACAGCAAATCATTACAGGTAAACTAGTTTTACAGCTGATCGGGGCCAAAAACAGATCTATTGCTGGAAAGGTTCATAGATAGGAGGAATTTTTCAGACTTACAATAGAAATAAGAGCAGAGATGTAAACGTAAAAATATAAATAAATGGACATAAATAGGTTGTTTTGGAATCAATCAAAACTGAAAAAAGAAGAGGAAAATAAAAATCTGAGAAAAGAATGAAACATTACATTAAAACACTTTAAATGTAATGTTTGTTCCTGGAAGTTTCCATCAGTTTTCATCTGCTCAGCCTCGAAACAGTGAAATGAAACCTTCAATATGAAACTACATTCGTGTTCATCTTTGTTCATCTTGAGACAGTTCGAGGAGGCTCTTGCTCTTCCAGCTGTCTCATGGAGATAAAGCTCTGAGAAAATAACTCAGAGCTTTAGTTCGAAATTATATTCTTTTAAATCTTAATTTGAATTAAAAAATAAAACTAAGAGAGAGACCGAGGCTGTTTTCAAACAATACTAATTGTACAAATGTGTTGTAAAAGTATTCCTCTGAGAACTGTCAGGTATCACATTTTTCAAAAGTCAATTAGCATGTGTGTTGTCACTTTTTGAAACAACAAACAGAAGACCTTTAAAATCAGACATAAAATCAACACAAATAAAACCTGTAAACTTGTTGGCATGAATTTAAAATTAAATCTGTTTCACATGTAAACATGTAAAAGGACTAAAGTGAGTTTCATCTGCTTTTTCTTTGCATAAAATATCAACTTTTCAATCATTTAGTTTTTTTTTTGAAGATTTCAGACTTTGAGGCTTTGTTCTGGTTTTATTTTCTGATTTTACTTTTTAGAGAGTCATGATTTACCATTAAAAATCACATGACATTTAATCTGATGTTTCAACAGAGAGACTGCTGACAATAGGAGTGTGTGTGTGTGTGTGTGTGTGTGTGTGTGTGTGTGTGTGTGTGTGTGTGTGTGTGTGTGTGTGTGTGTGTGTGTGTGTGTGTGTGTGTGTGTGTGTGTGTGTCGCTCATGAGTGTCAACAATAAATGTTTAAAAGCTCATAAATACAGATCAGAGTGAATGAGAGAATAATGATCGTGTGGAGAGACGACGGCAGGAGGAGGAGGGTGAATGGAGGGATGAAGAAAGCAGCTGTTGTCTTGGTAATCTCTCCTCTAATCTGTTTTCCTGCTCTGTCACTCACACTGCTGCACTCCTCCTCCTCCTCCTCCTCCTCCTCCTCTTCTTCTCTAAGCTCACATTCCAGTGCTGCAGATTGACCATAAACATTTCTAAATCTTGTAAAACTAAATCAGCTCACTAACCCTTTTGCCGCAGTAAAACTACAATAACACAGTACTGTTAGAATCTGCTCGGGTGACTCTGTGTTCCCAGAGTGGAAGTCAAAGGTCCTGATGGTGCGGTCCATAGGATCATGTCACTGTTTGATCTTCATTTGATACTTTTGAATTAATATTGCAGCCTGGCATTTGACTGCTGTGAATCTTCCCCTAAAGAACTGCTGCTGTGTCCTGCTCATTCACAGGCTCCTCATCAGGTCCATTTATTCAGATTGGATGTCTGAACTGTTCTTCTGGTGTACTCGTGGATTTAACTGATGTTGCTGCAACCAGAAACAAGCCTGACTCTGCAGTGATAATGTATCAGGTTTCTTTCTTCATGCAGATCCATCTTGGCACCATTCAACGTAATGCATATGCAAGAATCAACCTGAAAAATCTCACTTCATTCGCAATTTTACTGCACAACTCCATCAATTTTGCATCTTGTTCAACAAATTTTGCAGTCCTTCCAAGTTATTTAAATTATTTTTTTCTTGTTGTTGTTTAATGAGGAACTTCCTGTCCAAGAACATATCTTATAATGTTGAACCACATAAATGCAGGATAGAGCAAAGACTGTTTGTCCACAGGGGGCACCAAAATTGATACAAACAAAAAGTCCCTCACAGGGGCTTTAAGTAACCTATTCAAAACACAATTTAAAGCTCCTGTGAGGAACTTTTGACACTTATCTATTTGTTGATACTGTCCTCTACAAATATCCCCCTGCTTTATTTTCAGTTCCTCAAATTATCTGACACCTGAGGGGTAGGTATCGTGGTTTTCTGCCTAAATCGTGTGAACACAAAATAGTTAGAAGAAAGACCTCCTGAGCATCCAAGGAGACAAGTCAGGGTTTGTTTCAGTCAGGACCAGGAACCTGCTGCACACCTAACTGAACTCTACCTGTGTTGGTGTGATCCACTGAGATCAGCCAACAGCAACCAGATGCTTTCAATGGGGGACAAGTCAGGACTGCAGGCAGACCAGTTGATCAGCAGGACTCTTCTCCTACAGAGCCATGCTGTTGTCTGAATGTTTGTCATGGTCTTCCTGAAATATGAAGGTCTTCTCTGTTTTTCTGAAGTGTTACTCTATATGCTTAGCTTTAGTTATTCTTGTCACTTTCACAGAGATTTTTTTAGACCTGCAGAGTCCTGAACCAGGTCTGTGCAGGAGCAGGTCTCTAACTGCTTGTCAAGAGTCTGCTCTGTTGTTTTCTCATTAGGTCCTAATTGAGTGTCTCTACGGTGTCTCGAGCCTGAGCCGTAAACAGAGTCAGCAACGCGTGCAGCGCGCGCGCGCGCGCGCGCGCGCACACACACACACACACACACACACACACACACACACACACACACACCGCTCCTCCTCTCTTTATAGAGATGTAGGAGGAGGTGATTACAGAGTCTATATAGAGCCTCTCTCTCTCTCTGTCTGCTTGATTTCAGCTCCTCACAACTTCTGTTAACACTTCATTATTTTCATCATTGAAACTTTATTTAAACATCACAGAGAACAAACTAACTGCGGCCACATTAACCTCAGACTGTTTTATTTTCATTTCACGAGAACAACAGGTGGAGATTTGATGAGAGTCAGTCTTTTCAGTTAGGATTTCTTTAACTTGACTTCTCCTGGAGGAACGATTCTCCTCCCTTCCCTTCACTTCGGTTCCCCCCGCCATGGGCTCCGTGCTGCCCGGCCCCTCTCTGGGCCTGAAGCCGGGCTTCAAGCCGCAGCAGCAGCCGCTCTCTCTGGCCGACATCATCACCTCGGACATCCTGCACAGCTTCCTGTACGGCCGCTGGAGGCACGTGCTGGGCGAGCAGCACCACCACCACGCGCCCCACCAGCCTCACCTGCAACAGGAGGAGCGCACCGCCCCGAGCGCGAGCCCCAAGACCGCGTTCACCGCTGAGGTGCTCGCGCAGTCCTTCTCCGGAGGTCAGTGACGCAGTTTCAATGAAGACATCAAAGTGATTTCTTAATTGTTTTTTTTTTTTTAACATTTGAAAGATTGACAGTCTCATTTTAGCGTTAATTTAGAAAGCTTAAAATGTGACAATTCTCCTGTTATAGATGGAAACTCATTTATTTACTATTTAAATTGAACAAAGTTCGGTTTAAGGCGTTAAAAACGCAAATTAAACTTTTGTGACATGAATGCTAATGACTCGGTTATCCACCTGTTAATGAAGATGGTGAAGGGGTCCGGGCTGTTTTGTGTCGTTTTGCTTTTATTTGCGATGTTTTTCACTCAAATGTTTTTACTAAAAAATTACTAAAACTATCAAAGTCAACGTAAAGTTCACGATTTCACTATGGTCATTTCCTTCATTTTGAGTCATAAAAATTTTATTCATTTCTCTACTTAAATTTCACACTAATTAGCCTATAAAAAACTGTGAATGATTACACATTTATCCTCTGTAATTACCAGACTGATTTCTTGTGAAATTCAATCTCAATTTTTTATTAAGTTTTTGAAAAAAAAGTGAAATAGGAACATTTTCATTGAAACCTCACTTGAATGATTTAACCAATATCTTTAATTCTATCTTGAATTTTGAGTCTTTAATAACAATTTAAAAAAACAAACGAAATTCAGTGAGCCCAATCTTCCGCCTGATTACACACGAAATAATTAATTGATTTCTCATTAATTAGCATCGCATACAAGTATATAAAAACCTGATCAAACTCCTCTGTGAATGCCGTGAAATCAGGATGAAATCTGGGTCAGATTAAGTCTTAATCTCTTTGAGCAAAAGGCGAAGATTCGCCTGAAAAAAGTCTGCGCTGAAATCTTTTAAAAAGTTGATGCTGATTGATCATTGAATGGCTTGTCTTCGTGTTGACTCACTCTGTAAGATCTTTGTTTCTGATGTTCTTCAATATTTCTGAATTTCTTGTCCGTCATTTGAGCCACACACAGGCCCACGTTCACCGAGCTGCACGTCTCTTATTTCGGTTTCTTTTTCCTGTCCTTACCTTTGGATGTCAAATTCGTTTCTGTTTTGGTTAAAATTCGTTCAGAACAATTTCAGAGAGTCTCTGAGAAATGAACCCTCCGCTCTCCTTATCCTCCTGTTTTCATTTTGAACGGATTATTCCTGCAGGAATGTAAATCCGGTTTTCTGCACGGCGTGAACACACTCTGCTGCACGTTTCTCCGCAGAGCATTTATGAGTTTGTCCTTTTCTTCTTTTCTAGTTTTTAATGCGGATCATCTTGCAGCACTTTTATCCCCCTTTTCACTCTCTTTTCTCCTAAATGTCAGGAGCTGTTTCACGCTATGGACGGAGCGTGAAACATCTCCTGACATGTCTCTCTTTTGCTTTGAGCTGTTATTGAAACTTTTATCGCATTTTTCTCCGGGTTTAGTCACCCACGCTGGACTTTACACTCTCCTTTAGATTCTGCGCTCAAACTGAGAGATTTTACGCGCAAATTCACCTTCAGTCTAAAGTTTTTGGATCCCAAATCCCGTCATAAATGAAGATTTCTGTTCTCAGTGGACAGCAGGGGGGAGTTGTGCAGAAATAATGCGACCATTCAAGGAGGAAAATAGAGCATTTAACCCCGATTTCTGTCCGCCAAGGCTGAATTTACTGCTCATTTTCCTGCTGCTTTCACTTTCTTGGGAACTTGGACACTGCGGCATCCTCACCTTCATGTCATTTTAACCCCAAAAGAGGATTTTAATCGTCCTTTAATTCTCAAGTGTGACCAAGTTTCATGTTTCTGATTCTAAGCATTTTTTTTTTGAGAAATGTTGTGAAGACTTCCTTAAAAACGTTGGATACAAATGTTTTTTTCTGTCCTCAGAGGTGCAGAAGTTGTCCAGTCTGGTTTTACCCAGTGAGGTGATCATCGCTCAGAGTTCAGTCCCAGGTAGAGTATCCTGGATTTTTCACGTGCTCTTATTTCCTACATTGACCTCATCTTCTGAAATGAGCTCATTCAGACCGTTGTGCTCGGGTTGAAAGCAGTGGACCGGGCACAGAGTAAAAAATTACATTAAACTTTATGCACTGTCACTTTTCTCTGTGGGGCAGCAGCTTCATAGTTTTGGTCCTAAATGTCGGTGTGGCTGTCTCAGACTGAGTTTCATACTTTTGTTTTGTTGCAGGTGAAGGTTTGGGTATTTTCTCTAAAACGTGGATCAAAGCGGGGACAGAGATGGGACCGTTCACTGGACGCCTCATCTCGCCTGAACACATCGACCTGTACAAGAACAACAACCTCATGTGGGAGGTGAGCAAACTGTGCTGTCATCAATAGTTACTTCACTTTTGATTCATACTAAAACCTGTAGAAATGTATTTAAGGTGACTCTCTGTGTCAGTAAGAAGGGATAGAGACTGATCAATCAAGCCTGCTTCCAGTCATCCAGTTAAAACACAAATAAATGAAAAATTAACTTAATCTAGGTGAAATATATTACTGCAGAAATATGTATATTTGCTAGAGTGCTGTGTGTGTTGTTGAGAGTGAAACTAAAATCTGCTTTTAAATTTACTTCACATTTTTGGATTTTTTATTTGACCCTCTCAGGTGTTCAATGAGGACGGCACGGTCAGGTATTTCATCGATGCGAGTCAGGAGGACCAGAGGAGCTGGATGACGTACATCAAGTGTGCGAGAAACGAGCAGGAACAGAACTTGGAGGTGGTTCAGATCGGCAGCAGTATCTTCTACAAGGCTGTGGAGGTCAGTGAACGCAGCTGTCTGCATAAACACAAACTCACATTTACTTGTTTTATCTATTGTGGGTTTGAAACTATAAGGTCTGGAAAATTATAATTTTCAAAAGGAAGAAAAATGAAAGAATTCAAGTTGTCAATAGTTGGTGTTATGAGAGGATCAGTGTCAATAACCCACAGAGGCTTCGGAGAGGACACTCCAATCTAAAATCAGTCTCAGTTGACATTTTTAATTACTCTACAAATAACAAGACCAGTACATTTAAAAAATCCCAAAAATTGATAAAGAAATAATTCACAAAAAAATAGGCAACGTAGGACTTAAAGTGAACCAGATTTAAGAAGTTTAAGTCAATTATAGTTATCAATGACGGAGAAAATGAAAATTCAACTGAATTTTAACAGGACATCATTCAAATGTTTTACGGCTGCAAAAACATGACTGGCAGACGGAAGAAGTGCCTTTAGTAGCAGAACATGAGGAGAAATCAGGGTGTGTGTCGCCCCCTGCTGGCTGAAAGATAAAAGATCAAGCAAACCTGCTGCAGTCCTCCATCAATTTTAACCTGAACCACAACAGAGCTTTAGCTTTGCAAAGTGTCTTCTGGATACTTATAACAGATATGAAAGGGTCGGTTTATTGACAGAAGAAGAAATATGTTCTTCTTTTTTTTTTTTCTCAGACGATTCCCCCAGACCAGGAGCTGCTCGTCTGGTACGGAAACTCCCACAACACTTTCCTGGGGATACCTGGGATTCCTGGAGGAGATGAGGAGCATACCAAGAAGACAAAAAGTGGTAAATAAAGACTGCTGTCTATTTTTTATTGTCTTAGATATTCTTATTCATATCTGAGATCTTATTATGTTCTTATGTATTACAGCTGTGCAACTTTCTCCCCAAACTCCCATTTATCCCAAATTCTGGTGAGTTTTACTATAAATTCATAGTCTCAGTCTCATTTATTTCTCCTCCTCCTCCTCCTACTCTCAGATGACTTCCACACCTGTGAAGGCCCCTCCTCCACCACCTCCTCCTCCTCCTCTTCTGCCTCCTCTAGTCTGGGTCGCATGCGTTGTGTGATCTGCCACCGTGGCTTCAACTCCCGCAGTAACCTGCGCTCCCACATGCGCATTCACACATTAGACAAGCCGTTTGTGTGCCGCTTCTGCAACCGCCGCTTCAGCCAGTCATCCACACTGAGGAACCATGTGAGGCTGCACACCGGGGAGCGTCCCTACAAGTGCCATGTCTGCCAGTCGGCGTACTCACAGCTGGCTGGGCTGAGGGCGCATCAGAAGAGCGCCCGGCACAGACCCACTGGAGATGGAGGGGCTGCAGGTGGGGGTGTGGTGGTTCACTCCGCCCACTCACCTCCACCTCACCCGCCACAGCTAACTGCCATGCCTCACCCTGCTTCACTGGTTCACCACATACCGACCATGGTGCTGTGAGACTGACACACAGACGCACAGAGGCTGCTTTATTGTTTAAAGAGGCTCAGATATTTGACAACGGGAGGACTCTAAGAAAAGATGATCTCCAGCCTCTCCACATGTAGAAAGCTGAAGCCTAAACACTCCCAGAAACAGGCGCTATTATATTCCAGATCTGGGCCTAGAGTTCACAGATGGAGCCACACCTTCCATTTCTTTGGAAAAATGTTGTTAAATTCCCCAAAATGTACCTTTAAATAACTAATTAAGACTTTGTTACAAAATGTTCAACTATAAAAAAAATACTGCAGACAGCCACTGGGCGGCGCTCCAAATGTTTTGGCTTAATTTTTTTCAGTGCTTTTTTGTCCATTTTATCCTCCTACTGTCCCCAGGTTGGTTGTCCAGGTAATCAGGTTTGAGTGTCTGCCTGCAGATGTACATTATGTGCATGCAATCGTGGGTTTTCTAGACAAACACAGTGCGTATCATATGAGTCATAGAGCAGTTGCATGACTGGGGAATATAAGCATGCAACTCCATCTTATCATGTTGTTAACTGGAGTATCTCTGAGATGATGATGTCCTGTGTTCGTTTGCATGCAGATGGTTCTCTGTAGATGGTTTAATATGTATACTGAACACTGAGGGGCGCTGCAGCTTGAGCAATGATGCTGGTGAGTGATAGCAGGTTTGATGCTAAAGCTCAAATGGTAGGCTATGCTAATTCAGTAGCATTCACATATATACCACGCTGATACAGTAGCATTAGCATCTGTAGCATGCCTTTACAGTTGTGTTGTACAAAGGACTGAAAAGATTCTCTTTGCACAATGTTAGCCGCATGCTAACTGGTTAGCAGGAGTAATCAAATTTGCCGTTAATATGATGAAACAGGAAATTAAATTTTGGAAAAAAAAGCTTCAATAATGTTATTTTCAATATTATTAACAGCAGCTTTTGTTTGTTGGGCTTCAGCTTTGAGTCGACATCCATACTGGGTTTTTACATGTTTTTAAGCTCCTGTGAGGAACTTTCATCAGTGTCAGGTTTGGTGCCCCCTGTGGACACATGGGTACCTTCAATTGCTCTCCTGATTTTTTCTGTACATGTTTAAATGATTTTGTCTTTGCAAAGAATGATCAAAGTGCTATAATTTATCAGTTAATGGTCTTGAAGTATTAATTTCAGTCTGTTTTATACCTAAGTTCAAATTACTTTCAGGAGCTTTAAGTTTAAGAAAACATCACAGTCTTAATTTTTCATCTCTGTAAATGTGATTGGTTTTGTTTAAAATGCTGATAAATTATAAGAGTTATGAAAGTGTCATTGAAGAATCGATGAGTCCCTTTAGCTGACGTATGTTTGTTAGCCTCTGTTGTAAATAAGCTCCTCGCTGTCCAAGAATGTGAATATAAACATAAAATATGCTTTATGCCCAGAATATAATTCAACTGTCACTTTATCTCTGTAAATGTTGAAGGTCATATAAGACACGTGTATCAGTATATGAAGTATGCTATGTTGACTTCTATAAAGGACATTGTATTTGAGCCTATGTACTCTTAATAAAGTATTACTTCACCTTAACTCCTGCTCATGTTTGTCTTTCACAGTTCAGCTTTCAAACACAGAGCAGATGCTGTTGCATCACCTCTTCTTTCAACAACACTGTCAACATTCTTCTACAGAGCCATGCTGTTGTCATCCCTGCAGAGTGCAGTGTGCTTCAAAATGAAGGATGACACAGAAATGTCCTGATCTATATTTTTGTTTGTCTGTGAAACACGAACACCCCAAATATTAACTTCCCTGGAGCGATGGCTGATAGGAGGAGACCTCAAAGTCAACACTGTTAGGTAAGAGCAGAAAACCCAGACCGACCTTTGGGACACACACAAACATACACACAGTGATTTCCCGCTCGCTCCTGTTGACTGATCACTTTTTTCAAACAGCTGAGTTAATCAATAGCGAATTAAATCAGACTCTTAGTTTGTCACAGTCAGTCACTTTTCTCAGTCTGTTGTGGGGATTGAGAGGTTTGTGTGTTTTCTCTCCACAGCCAGGATGAAGGTGTGTGTCCTCCTGATGTGTGTGCTATGTCTCTGGTGGAGGACGGAGGCTGAGTCCCGATCGTAAGTCAACTTTTCAACTTTCATTTCATGAGAGAGGCTGAGGTTTGAAGGCCTGAGGGTGCCACAGCTGCAGGACTGTGCTGGGTTTGATTTGGTTTTTATTCACTATTCAAGAACCGTTGAAAAATCTCTGTTTTCTGATGGTGTTAAGATTACACGCTGTATATCTGCAAGAGCATTCCTGGTCTGATCCCCTCACTGTATGGAAGCCTTACTTTGTAGAGTTTGCATGTTACCTTTGCACATTTCTGTGTTCTCATTCAGTGCTTGTGTTTCCCCCAGTCCAACACATGCTTGCCAGACTATGAGGTGACTCTAATTTTCCTGTTTACATGCAAGAACATTCCAAACATTTCTGGATAGTTTAAGGACTGGGACATACTGTGTGTGCACTTGAGGTAGAAACGCAACATGCATCTTTATGAGACATAGAGGGGATAATATAAAACCTCAGTGTACTTGGTCTATGAATGAGGAGCATTAGTGGTGCATTTGCTGTGATGGAGGGCAGAGCAGGAAGACGCACAGCCGGCGGGAGAACAAGAGTGGTAGTGAACAAACCTAATTCAGCTTATTCCTGCAAATTTGTGCAGGAACCTGGGCCTGTTTATAAGATCTTTACAGCATAAATGCCTTGAGATGATCAATAAATTACCTCAGATTGAGCTTGCTGGCTCTTTTGTTTCTGCTGTTGCCCATCTCTCTTTCTCCCTCTTGGCTACTGGCATCTGTAGGTAAAAAAAAATTATATATATATATGCACGAGAAGTATTGGTTATTTTTGAGAACCTTGTTGGACTTACATGTCTTACATGGACTTAGGAAACAAAACTCCACCAGAAGAAAGGACAATTTAAAAAAAGGGTAATTTCATTTGCAGGAAAGGTAAAGAAGTGTAAGGTTGACGGTGTTTTCATTGTTCAACATACAACTTGCTGGGCCTTTGCTGATGTGTTTGTTGATTGTTTTGGTGCATGGTGTAATATGTCAACCCAATAGCAGTGAGCCAAAAGGGTGTTTATGGGGCCACCCACCACAGCAATAATCTGGTTCTAATCCGCTGCTTGTAAACTGGGACCAGGTCAGTATCCCAGTCTTCCCATTAATGCATTCAAAAAGATAACGTGTCAACGTATGTCCTCCATCCTTAGGTATCTGATTACAGCCCCTCTCTCTCTGCGTCTGGGCGCTGTGGAGACTGTGCTGCTGCAGTTGTTTGATTTCACTCAGGAGGTGAGGGTCTATGTGTTCTTGAAGACCTCCATGGGCCGAGATCAAGTGGTTCTAGCTCGAGAGGTGGTGACCCTCAACGCCCAGAACAACTACCAGGCTGTTGCCAGAGTCCGGGTCAGATGAAAGTCACACCAGAAAGCAAATAAAACCTATTCCAACTGATCTTTTTGGGAGAATTTACATGTTTCTGTTTTTACCTATAGCTGCTCCCAGATCAGCTGGACAAGTCTGTGAGTCATGTCATCCTCCATATCCAATCAGCTGAGATCAGCCAGCACCTGTCCATCCCTGTCAGCCGCTCCAATGGTTTCCTCTTCATCCAGACGGACAAACCACTTTACACCCCGAACCAGAGCGGTGAGATTGAGTCCACATCCACATCACATGGAGCTGTATGAACTGTACTTCATGTTTTATCTGCACACAAGCTTTATGGAGACACAGATCTCCAGCACATGCTTACGGCACCAAAACCACTAGCAAATGGTTTGCTGACCAGGATTTTACAGTGTTTGATTGGTCTGCCATATACCAAGACTTCAAATCATAGAGTGATATTTTATATTATATCTGATCATACTCTATCTGATCTGACTTTATTGAGCTCTACTGTATTCTATTTGTATACTCTAAATAATATATACTCTATTTAATTCCATTATATTGTTTTACACTGTATTTTCTATTCTAGTCTGTTCTGTTTTATTCTATTCCACTACATTGCATTCCATTATGTTCTTTTAAATTGCATCCATTTCTATTCTATTCTGTCTGTTCTATTATATTCTAGTTTATTCTATTCTGTCTCTTCTATTCTATTTTATTCTGTCTCTTCTATTCTATTCTGTTCTATTCCATTCCATTCTATCTGTTCTATTCTATTTTAGTCTATTCTATTTTGTCTGTTCTATTCTATTTCATTCTGTTCTATGTTGTCTGTTCTATTCTGTTTTATTCTATTCTCCTCTTTTTCTTATTTTGATTCTATTCTATTCTATTCTGTCTGTTCTATTCTATTCAATGTTTTTTTATTCTGTCTGTTCTTTTCTGTTCTATTTTACTCTGTTCTATTCTATTTTATTCTATTCCATTCTATTCTATCGGTTCTTTTCTATTTTATTCTATTGCATTATGTCTGTCTTATTTTATTTTATTCTATTCTATTTTATTCTGTTCTATTCTGTCTGTTCTATTCTGTATCTACACAGTGTTTCCTTGCCTTTAACATGTGTTGATGTCTGTTCTCTCTCCCAGTTAAGGTTAGGGCGTTTTCTTTGAACCAGGAGTTGAGGCCAGCCAATCGCAGCGTCTTCCTGACCTTTAAGGTGAGAGTAGTACACCCTAATGACCAACAGAGAGCAGCAGAGTGTTACAGACTGTCAAAACATGTTGGCATCTGTAAAGTCAGAGTCAGCCTCGTCATCTCTTTACTCCTCAGGACCCAGATCAGACCAAGGTGGACATTGTGGAGATACTTGATATCAATAATGGAATCCCGTCTATGCAGAACCCATTCAAGATCCCCATCAACCCAAAGTAAGACCCTCAGAAACAAAACCACCACAACTAGTTTAACAACAAAACTAGTTTATTTTAACTTTGGCAAAAAACAACACACAACACTGTCAAAAAATTATAAACAGACTGAAATGACAGTTGAAACTCTTTAACCAGTTTAAAGTCAGTTATTCCTTTAACGTGTTTCCAGGTTGGGGATTTGGACTATTGAAGCCTCTTACTCCGATTTCACCACAACAGCAAGGACAGATTTTGAAGTGAAAGAATATGGTAACTTTTTTTGCCTTGGTAAACAAAGTCACCATCTAATTTACTGACTTTGTGATAGAGTTATGTTAATATTCAAATGTTCCTCAGTTCTACCCAGTTTCTCCATCCTGGTGGAACCAGAAATAAGCTACATCAGCTACAGACAATTCACCAGCTTCAACTTCAAGGTGTCTGCCAGGTGAACAAACATGTTCTTCTTATTCACTGAGATGTTATGAGAATATAGAAAACTAATCTAAAAAACACTTTTTTAGAATTATATCTGAGACAAGTGACATGATTCCTCAGGTATCTACATGGAGCTCCAGTGGCAGGTGGTGAAGCGTTTCTGCGTTACGGCTATGTTACTGGGAAAAATCCTCCAGTTATTATCCCCAGCTCTGTTTCCAGAGAGAAAGTAAGACGATAAGAGATCATAGTTGAGCTATGCATCACACAACAGCTGCACTTCTGCACAGCTTTTTCAGCTTTGCTCAGAAAAAAAAAAGAAAGAAAATTACCAAGTACCCAAATGGCTGTGTTGTAAGGTTCCCTCTGTCCCTCAGCTGTCTCTCACAGGTGAAGTGGATGTGACTGTGAACATGGAGAAAGTCCTGTCCAAACACAGCGGACCAAAAGACCTGGACAGTTTAGTGGGGAAGTACCTGTATATCGCTGTCCTGCTGCATGAGGGCACAGGTACACACACCTTTCCTTCCTGCTGCCCTGTACCAGGTCTTAAACCCTTTAAAGTTTTAAGAGTCACTTCTCCCCTCTGTCTCTGTCCCTCAGGTGGGATCAGTCAGGAGGCGGAGTTTGCTGCTGTGAAGTTTGTCAAATCGCCATACAGGCTGAGTCTGGTGTCCACATCACCTTTTATCAAACCCGAGCTTCCTTATCACATCCAGGTGTGTGCAGAGCTGTGGATGTTGCTGTGAATTGACATTGACATAGTTTGGAAGAGGATTTACAAGAATGATACCTCCTAATTTCAAATAAAGGGGAAGCCTGGACAACAGGGACAGTTTTATGCACTGACTCTGCATGTTATCCCTCTCTCTCTTTTTACTCTCCCTTTTCCAACAAAAGCAAAATAACTTAATAACATGGTGTGCTCGCCATGTTTGTTTTACAATTTTCCCCTGTGGGACCAATAAAGGAATATCTTATCTTATCTTTTCTTTCCTTGTTTTGGTGTTTTTCCTGCCTCTGCATCTAAAAGAGCCAAAATGAGATAAATTAAGTTTGTTGTAATATAATTTACAGTCAATGCTTTTTCATTTTAGGTCACTTTAAAATACATACGTAATTATCATAGCAGCCCCACCCCTAAGATCACTGTGTGAGGAAACTGCGTGGCCTCAGATCATCCATGGAGGCTGAATCTTAGATAATCAAATCTTACTTAAAGACAACCAGAACATGTCATTAGCCTTAAATCGTGTGGGCCCCTCACTGTGAATTTGTTGTGGTAAATGCAAAAACAAGCTGTGCCTGAAGCTGATTTTGTGATACCTCTGCAGGTGTTGGTGAAGGATCACCTGGACAAACCGGTGAACCGGGTGAATGTTCGCCTAGTGGAGCGTCAGCTGCTTAAACAGGGGGGAGAGAGTGAGAGTTTCCCTTGTCCTGACAGCGCCATCACCCAATCAGACGGGCTTGCTCTCTTCATCTGCAACACACCATCAGGAGGAACCAAAGCGACACTGAAGGTGAGGAAGAGGAGGACAGTTTGGTGGGCTTTTTGCTCCTTTCTTAACTCTGTATATCTTGGTTTGGTTGTTTTATTTGAATGTTGTTTCTTTGTTTAGTTTGATTTTTTAAAGCTTTTCCCTAGTTGTTATTGATACTCATTGTTTGCTTTGTTTTACTCTTTATAGTTTGAGACAGCAGACCCCACACTCCCAGCAGCCAGTCAGGCCAGTCTTCCACTGGTGGCTGAGGCCTATCGTTCCCCTAATCAGCGCTACCTTTACATCGACCCGCCCCTCCCTGGCAACAGCCTGGAGGTGGGAGTATTCACAAACATCAAGGTGTACTCGGCCATGCCCTCTTATGTGCCCATCAGAGCCCTTAGCTACCTGGTGAGAAAACAGAGCCGACAATACTTTTTGTCAAAGTTTCTTCAGTTTCCATAGTTACTGACATCTGTGCTTGTGTTCTTCAGGTGCTCTCTAAAGGTAAAGTGGTACACTTCGGCAGTAAGAAGGTCGTCTCCAGTGGTGGTCAGACTCTGAGCTTTGAGGTGACGGCCTCAATGGTCCCATCCATCAGGCTGCTGGTATACTACATCCTATTTGGAGAGGGGACGTCTGAGCTGGTGGCTGACTCTGTCTGGCTGGATGTTAAAGACAAGTGTGTCAACGGTTTGCAGGTACAAGAAGAGACTGTATCTGTGGTGACATGGTCAATAATACTCTGATTATAAACAGTTAAAAAGCCTAAAGCACAGCCTAAACACTGGAGCATAGGTAGAACATTGAAGCCATTTTCAGTCCAGTTGAGCAGTATACACTGACAAGAAAGTTGATCCCAAACCGCGTTATCCAGGTACGTTAGCACCATTAACATACCTGATGTGGGTGGGAGAATTTGAGAAAGCATTTCATGGCATCAGTTTTCACCATGCTGAACACAGGGGATGTCACAACATTCTCAGTCATGTCCTGAGACATTTAAAGATGCATGCAAACATCAGACCTGAACTCTAACTTCTCATATACCTTGCTAGTCACTTCCTTCTTGAACATTTCCCTGTCTTTCCTTCAGCTCTCAAAGAATACAGATACTCACCACAAAAAAGAGATAATTGAAATCCAAAGTGTTCATTTTTGCCTAAATCAAATTTTATCAATAAAGTTCTTCTTATTCTTATTCTTTTATATTCTCTAAAACTTTTTAATTGAAGGTTAAAATTATGTACAGTGCATTTGTATCTTGTGTTTCAGACTGATGTGACGATAAGTGGGCAGAGCCATAAACCAAAGGATAATCTTAAACTAGACATTCAAACCAATCAGGACGGTCTGGTTGCTCTATCTGCTGTAGACATGGGCATCTTCACCCTACGACCCAACTTCAGGGACCCTGTTAGCATGGTAAACTTTAAAACATCCCCCTCAACTCAGGACATTCATTGTTTTTAACAATTTCCTCTGTAAATACACCGTACTTGTGTAACAGAAAAGAATTGTGGCCTCAGGTTTTGCGTTACATAGAGAACAGCGACCTTGGCTGTGGAGGAGGCGGAGGCATTGACAGTGCCGATGTCTTCCGATTGGCTGGCCTCACTTTCATCACCAACGCCAATGCAAGATCATCATCCAGCAGTATGTCAGCAACCTGTGAGGTTTCAGTGGTATTATGTTAATGAAGTTGTTGAATGTTAGCCAATGTGTCTGTGTGCAGATGCACCATGTACTGCAGCAGTGCGTCCGAAGCGAGCGCTGACTGAGGTGGAGAAGACAAAGAAAGGTAAAACGCCACCTGGTGGACGGTTTACTTCACTTGTGAAATCTGTTTCATATCTATCCAGTTCCAGCAGACTCACAGGTTCATCTTTATGAAGTCAAGACCCAGGTCATAGTGAATCTATGTTTATTATAATCCAATGACCTTAGTCTCAAAAATTTTCATTAAAACTGGATTAGGAAAAACAGATTCAGATGTTGACTGGTAAAGATGAACATGTTTCCCCATTATTTGAAGAATGGGGCCAAAAACTATGTAAGCCTTTTGTACTTTGCCCAGTTGAAGGTAGATATCAGCAAAAAACAGGGGGATAACAGTTTGTGTTTCTGTCTGCACAGCTCAGAGTTTTGGTCCTCTGAAGACCTGCTGCGAAGAGGGGATGAAGCGCATCCCAAAGGTTGTGACCTGCCAAGAGTATGCCCAGAACGCGATCAAGAAACGATCCCGCTGTAGACAGGTGTTCGCATCCTGCTGTGAGTTCATTCAGCAGCACCTGGGCCAGGATGAGAACCTCATTCTTGGACGTGTCGGTCGGTTCTCATTTTATTACACCCCACCACACACATACGCACAGCCAGTTTACACTTGGATAACATATGACCATACTGCTCAGATTCAATTCAGCATTTATCAGATTTAATCCCAGACCTGCAGGTACACCTACTTTATATGAAACTGCATATATAACAGAGACTCTGTCCATGCACAAGGATTAAACCCCCATACTGGACATCTTTTGACAGAATTGGGTGCAGACTTTGACCTGGCTCCATCTTTGGTGCGGAGTTACTTCCCGGAGAGCTGGATGTGGGAGGTGCAGCGCATCAGGTAACTCCAGTTAAACACGCTTAGAGGTATCTATTTGCTTGGATCAAAGAAGGAAGACTAACCAGAACTGAGTATTTTTATAATTTGTGCCTCTTTAGTCCAGGCACACTGTCCTTGATGAGGCCTCTTCCAGACACTCTCACCACCTGGGGGGTAAAGGCAATCGGCATGTTCAAGAACGGTCAGTTTCATGACTGCCTGTGTAAATTCTGTGTAAAAACTGAAGTACTTTGCTGCAAAAAAAAACAGTTTTTTTGGGGAACATGCCAAAGGTTCTTCTTAAATTTAGTCAGTAAAATCAAAACAAAAGTTGATTAAAAATGTGTTACCATGGTGACTTGTCAACCAGATAACGGTTTGTTTTCATCCTCTAATTCCAGCATGTCTATGTTGGCTCCAAGAAAAACAAGTTTAAGGCCAAAAATGCCCAATTTGAGGGTTGAGATCCAGTCCAAAACCAGTTAATTTCGACAGTCAATACGTCAAGTCCTTGTAGTCGTTGAATTTAACGTCATTTTGTGTATTTTCTTCAGGTATTTGTGTTGCAGAGCCAGTTCAGGTGTCTGTCAGTCTGCCGCTCAGTGTGGACGTCCCACTGCCCTATCAGGTGGTCAGAGGAGAACAGGTGGAGCTTAGAGGCTCAGTGTACAACCAACAGCCTGACAGCATCCAGGTACCAATCACAGCAACTACATTTCCCATAATTCCCTGCCAGCGGTTCCTCATCAAAGCAAAAAGAAAATGACTGTGTTAAATGACAGTGATTATATTTTTAATCCTCAGTACTGTGTGACCCTGACGGTCGGCCCAGCGCTCTGCCTCCTACAGTCTAGGCCAGCTGCAGGGGAGGCGGGGCTTCATTCCACCCCCTGCACCTGGAGTCACCTGTCTGCAGGGGGGGAGGGGGCAGTGACCTTCACTGTGCTGGGTCTGGAGGCCGGGGAGCACACCCTGACCTTTACCCTGCGGACACGAGGCGGTGGGGTGGGAGACATTGTGGAGAAGAAGCTACGAGTGGTGGTGAGTGGGGATGAGGAAAAGATGGAGTGGGCCAGTTCTTGAGAACATTTGAAGAAGTGTCATGAACAAATCAGGACAGGTTCCATTGGTCCAAAATAACTTGTATGGGTAGAGGGTCTAAACTAGTCCTTAGTTCTTGTGTGCTGAAACACTGTGAAAAAGTTCCTGCAGTCTGAAAACAGCCACTTAAACCCCTACAATGTTACTCCCTGAAAACACATTGGTCATTTAGGTAAAATTACGTTTTTTGAGAGATGCAGAAGGACAAGGAGGATTATTGAGCAAATCTGTATCAGGAAATTCACTCCTTCGTTCGTCTGTGTTTTTCAGCCTGAAGGACTGAAGAAGGAAACCTTTTCTGGTGGGAGGATAGACCCTCAGGGACTCTTCGGTACATCTATTCATTGACCTCTGACCTTCTGGACACTTATGAGATTGATTCGCTCTAACAGATCAGTCACTGTGTTTTTGTTGCCGCTGCAGGTTCAGAGAAAAGAGTTGTGGAGCTGAAGGACGAAGTGCCTGCAAACATCGTCCCTAACACAGCTGTAGAGAGGTTGCTGACCATCAATGGTAAGATTTGCGTAGGTGTGCTAAGCCACAGTCAGACACAGGTTTGGCATGACAGATATAGAGTTTTGAGACCAAATCAGGGGTGTGACTGTTTGGCTGGCATGTGAGTGCATTTAGGTGTTTGAAGGAACTGAAAATCCTACTTCTTTGTGACAATTAATAACAAAGCTTGAGACACTCTGTTAATGTTGACTAGGTGAGATTCTGGGTGACTTCCTGTCCGTGGTAAACAACCCTGATGGCCTCAGACAGCTCATCAACCTGCCAGCAGGGTCAGCTGAGGCAGAGCTAGGTAGGGTCCTCCCCCTGATCCAGGTATATCAGTACCTAGAGACAACAAGGCACTGGGACGTCTTGGGAGAAGACATCCAGAGGAACTCTGCAGATGTGAGAAAGAGGATCAGAGAGGGTGAGGACACAAAGGACACACCAGATAATATCAGTGGAGGAGGTTTGAGTAATGTATCCTGACTGTGTGACTGTGGGTGCCTGTGTAGGTCTGGTCAGTATCAGCTCATTCAGAGATGGGGACTCCAGCTACAGCATGTGGACCAAGGGGGAACCTAGCACCCGGTCAGCAAACACACACCCACACACTCACCACAACTTTAAAGACATTTGTACTTAATGAGGATTCATTTCTAAAACATACATGATCAGTCTGTGAACGACAGTTACACCCTGATACCTGGGAATATGGTGTGAAAGAAAACAAAGTACTTTAATCCGACTAAAACAGGATTTTAAAAATACATGTATCCACGTAAGTCTTGAAATCACACTGAAATGACTTTCCTGAAGTCAGACCAGCAAACCTAGATAATGTGGTTGGGGGCCATCTTCTCCTCCATTTATATACCTCTGTCAGACTCAAACTAGGCTAAGGATCCTGTACATGCTCTACAGTTTGCACATGGGCACATAAGGGGAATACGCTTCTGTCAATCTACTGATTCTTGCTGGCGTTTGTCGACTTGGACAGGGACAGTATTCCACATAAGCCTCCCTCTTAAAATACAACCTTAGCTCGACTAAACTGTTTTTCTCCGTCTGCCTTGGTTTCTCTTTGTCTCTCTCACCCTCTGTCTTTCAGGCTGACAGCTCTGATGGTAAAGACCTTGTCCATGGTGGATCCAGTAGTCCCAGTTGACCATCAGTCTCTGTCAGACTCTGTGTCCTGGTTGATCCGCAGAAATCAGCAAGAGGACGGATCCTTCACCGACTCATCCTCCTTCAGACCCAACAAAATCATGGTCTGCTGCACTCTTCTTCCTCGTCTGCATTAAATCTAGAGACAAGTTTTTCTCTTCAACAATTGTTCTGTCAACATATGAACATAGCTTGACTAAACTCTGCAGGTAAATGTACAGACTAAGAGATTCATGCTTCTTGGACTCACCGGTAGAGGAGGCAGGCAAGGTTTCCACAAAAAAGCAACCAAGCTGCAATAAATTCATGAAATAGTCCAGCGCATATATGGTCCTCAGGGAGCAAAAAACCCACGGGGCTCTATTTTCATGCCTCGCCGGCGACACGGCGCAGGCGCGGCATAAGTCAGGTCCGCCGAGCCGACAAGGCGTACCCAAGCACAATTTGGTATTTTGGTGAGCGGCGCAGCCCGGCATAAGTATCCCCCCTCCCTAACTCAGCTCCTCCCAGCGGCGTAAGTTGTAGGGAGGGAGGAGAGAGGGCGTGGAGTGGGTTTAACACAGCCGAGACCTGTATTGACCAATAACATCAGCTCCTCTCCTCGCCTTTAAATCTGTCACCGGCGAGGCTTATTACAATTTTCATAAGTAGTCAAAGAGATCAAGGGATGTCTGAAGACAGTAATGCCATGTCACGCCAAGATGGCAACAGAAGGCAGCCCCTCAACAAGTGTCGCTGTAAACGCTGCAGAGGACGTCTCATATAAGCACAGATGGATTTGGTGTGTGTAAGGTTGGACCCACTAGTAAGACAAACACTCTTTTCCACAAATAAGACACTCACATAAAGTTGCATATATTCAAACCTCACGTGACAAAAGTGGGTTGTGCACACAGTTTACAACATAAACTCCAATAATGGCATTAAAATCTCAACCATCTGTGCGTAAATGACGCATTGCGCTCAATGGCCTGGCTCTTTCTTTCATTAATGTTGGCATATAAAATAAATTTGGCTCACAAAACTGGATATTTTAATATTCGTATGTAGGCTTAGAGTAAATAACTCATCTTATCACTAAAATAAATCATCTGTTCAGCCGCCGCAGCAGCAGCTGCAGCAGGATGGGGAGAGGACATGGAGACATGTCCGGGTCGAGCTGCACGAGAAATAAGAGGAAGAGGAAGAAAGAAAAGGAGGGAGACAAATTAAAAATCTTGTTCATTCATCAAGTGTGTCTATTTACTAGATATTTAATTCAATTTAATACGGTTTCAGCTGTGTTAATTCGGTCAGGTTGTGTGTCCAAACGCGTGCTTAATGCACTCATCAGATCAGATATACAGTGCATCCGGAAAGTATTCATACCACTTCACTTTTTCCACATTTTATGTTACAGCCTTATTCTAAAATGGATTAAATTCCCCTTTTCCCTCAAAAATTCTACACAAAATACCCCATAATGACAAAGCGAAAAACTTTTTTTGGAATACATAAGTATTCACACCCTTTACTCAATACTTGGTCGAAGCACCTTTGGCAGCGATTACAGCCTCCAGTCTTTTTGTGTTTGATGCAACAAGCTTGGCACACCTGGATTTGGGGAGTTTCTTCCTTGTACGTCCTCTCAAGCTCAGTGAGGTTGGATGGGCAGCGTCGGTGCACAGATACTTTCAGGTCTTTCCAAAGATGTTCAATCGGGTTCAAGTCTGGGCTCTGGCTGGGCCACTCAAGGACATTCAGAGACTTGTCCTGAAGCCACTCCTTTGTCTTCTTGGCCGTGTGCTTAGGGTCATTGTCATGCTGGAAGATGAAGCGTCGCCCCAGTCAAAGGTCTTGAGCGCTCTGGAGAAGGTTTTCATCAAGGATTTCGATGTACTTGGCTGCATTCATTTTTCCCCTCGATCCTGACAAGTCTCCCAGTTCCTGCCGCTGAAAAACATCCCCACAGCATGATGCTGCCACCACCATGCTTCACTATAGGGATGGTATTGGCGAGGTGGTGAGCGGTGCCTGGTTTCCTCCAGAAATGACGCTTAGCATTCAGGCCAAAGAGTTCGATCTTTGTTTCATCAGACCTGAGAATTTTGTTTCTCTTGGTCTGTGAGTCCTTCAGGTGCCTTCTAGCAAAGTCCAAGCGGGCTGTCATGTGCTTTTTACTGAGGAGTGGCATCTGTCTGGCCACTCTACCATAAATGCCTGACTGGTGGAGTGCTGCAGAGATGGTGGTCCTTCTGCAGGGTTCTCCCATCTCCTCAGAGGAACGCTGGAGCTCTGTCAGAGTGACCATTTGGTTCTTGGTCACCTCCCTGACCAAGGCCCTTCTCCCCCGCTTGCTCATTTTGGCTGGGTGGCCAGCTCTAGGAAGAGTCCTGGTGGTTCCAAACGTCTTCCATTTCTTAATGATGGAGACCACTGTGCTTTTTGGGATCTTCAATGCAGCAGATATTTTTCTGTAACCTTCCCCAGATCTGTGCACCGATACAACCCTGTTTCGGAGGTCTACATTCAATTCTTTCGACTTCATGGCTTGGTTTGTGCTCTGACGTGCTCTGTCAGCTGTGGGATCTTATATAGACAGGTGTGGCTTTCCAAATCATGTCCAATCAGCTGAATTTGCCACAGGTGGACTGCAATCAAGTTGGAGGAACATTTCAAGGCTGATCAGTGGAAACAGGATGCACCTGAGCTCAATTTTGAGTTTTATAGCAAAGGGTGTGAATACGTATATGCAACATTTGAGTGTCTTATTTTTAATACATTTGCAAAATGTTCTAAAAAAAGTTTTTCACTTTGTCATTATGGAGTATTTTATGTAGAATTTTTGAGGGAAAAAAGGAATTTGATCCATTTTGGAATAAGGCTGTAACATAACAAAATGTGGAAAAGTGAAGTGGTATGAATACTTTCCGGATGCACTGTAGGTCAGAATACATCTATATAGATCTAAATGTATGTGCTGACTCAGATTATTGATTATTGATTGTACTGAAATATTGCCTGAAACTGTGGAAACCTGCCGGTGAGGCATCAGTGACGTATGCCGGTACACCGCCGGTCAACCAAAATACCACTAGACCAGCTGCAATCTGCCTGCGCTGAAAGCTGACCAGGTTTGAATCGGCCAGCTTTCAGCGCACTTTACACGCTGGCAGCAAGCACGAAAATGTCACTGTCACTGATTCTGTTGACACCTCCCCCTGCCGCGCCACCATGCCCAGCTTGGCAGACCTTGGTGCGCCTCATTTCACGAAAATACCAAACTGGCTGTACGCCGGGCTCCACCAGACGAAAATACCACTGCGCGGGGTCCGCCACCCTCCACCGCATTGCCGGAGGACACGAAAATAGAGCCCAGTGTCTTAAGATTCAGTGAAGACTAGAGTGTCCAATTAGTGAGTGATGTTTGATACTGGAGCATGTCTGTCAGTCTTAAGGCGTCCTCCAAGGCTGATCTCGTCTGTCTTGATTATTGCTCCTCTGGTTTCCCTCCTTTCTCCACCTAGTTACATTAGACGCCACTGATTATGTGGAGTCTGTAACTACTTCTGGTTTTCCTCTCAGACTAAGATGCCCAGAAAGACTTGACTATTTGCTGCTGTTTTCAGTGTGTGACTGGGAACATGATATTTTTTTGGTCTAGTGTGTCACAAACTGACAGAAGTAGTGATGCCTTTTTCTGTCCATTGTTTATAGATGTTATCCCTCTCTGTTGAGGGCAGTGCTGGGTTCTTCCATGTGAAATGGTGTGGTGAATAAGGCGTCTTCATTTTAAACCACATTAAAACTGTTTTGTCTTCTGGTTGGCTGCAGGCCGAGGGAGCGGATGCTGTTGACCGGTCAGTGTATCTGACGTCTTTCGTGCTGATTGCACTGCACAAAGCAACAAGGCTAGATGACCCAATCCTGCAGCTCAAAGTGAGAACATATCTCTTCATCTGGATTTTTTCCATCTTCCTCTAATCTTCCTTTACTCTTTTTCTTCCTCAGACTGCTTTAGCATGATCTCTCCTCTGATCTTCAAGATTTTCTGTTCTGCTGCTGTACATGCAGTTCATGTGTTTCTTCTCCTTCCTTATCTTCCTTACGTCTTGTCTACTCGTCTCTTATTACAGTTTCAAGATGACAGCATGAGATCTGCAGCCAACTACATTTCCCAACATGCCTTAGGTGTAAAGAGTGTTTATGTGCGGGCAGTGGCAACCTATGCTCTGACCCTTCACGATCCTGATAGCATGACAGTGTCGTCGCTGATTGGCAGCCTGGAGAACCTAGCCCGACAGAAAGGTACACTTGTTTTCCCTGCAGCTGAGTCCCTGGCATATAACGGCCTAGCTGGATCATGTTTACTCTGCACACAGGACCTTATAGGACCTTTAAGGGTTCACAATGTAAAACACCAAATAAAGTATCAAAAAAGCATCTCAGCTCTTGAACCAGAAGATGTGTCTGCAGAACAGTCAAGTCATGATCAGTTAAATGGTTCTGACAGTCGTCTCTTTATGCTCATACTCTCACAGGTAACCCCGTCTTGCTCAGGTACTGGCAGGAGGCCAGTGTGACGGCTGATTGGCTGAACCCTGACCAATCCAGCGGTCTAACGGTGGAGACAACAGCGTACGTCCTGCTGACTATGCTGCTCAAGGTGCTGACACATCCAGAGTGCTGTTTTTTTGTCTTTTTTCAGAAACTCTTTGCTTCACCTCCTGAAACTCTCAAAAGGATTTTTTCAGAGTTGCTCCATCTGTAACAGATTTCAGAGGTTTATTTTCTCCATGATGTGGTGAAACATTATGAAATGTGATTGGTTGTAATGAGACTTGCTTTGTATCGAAGGGGAGGATCCGTTATGCAAACCCCATCTTGGCCTGGCTCACCCAGGATCAGCACTATGGGGAGGGTTTCTTTTCTGTACAAGTATGTCTGACACACACGCATGCACACACAGACACAAACTTTTATTCTGTGAATGATCCCAAAGTTCTTCTAGCAGAATCAACCAGACACTTATTTTCTAGCTCTGAGGTCAAAAATTCATCTCTTTCCTGTCTTCCTCAGGACACAGCCTTGACTCTTGAGGCGGTCTCAGAGTACGCTAGAATCATTTCTCGAGCAGAGCTCAATCAGGACATCAATGTTCGCTTCAGAAGGACGGGTGAGCTGAAGCGGGTTCGGCTCAGCCAGCGCCATCCTGTGGCCACGCCCATGCCGGTGAGAAGGATATGAGTGCACGACAATCAGGTGTTCGGACTGGTGCATATGAGAGGAGACAGGTCTGGTTTCTACTTTACTGACATGTCTGTTAACCCTCCAGGTGATGAAGAATGAAGTCATCACCGTGTCCACAGGTTACGGGAGGGGCGTGTCCAACGTGAAGGTGGGTGTGGTTTAACCAAACAGCTTGTTTGATATTAGAGATCTTTAAAACGCCCCAGAATGTCTTTGAACTTTCCTGTGTTTTCAGCTGAAGACAGTTTACTATGAAACAACTACATCTTCAGAGAACTGTAACTTTGACCTCACTATAGAAGTGGCAGGTCCTCGACAATCTAACAGTGAGTAATTCAAATTAACTTTATTGACACTACACTTCAGAGGAATTACTCAGGACTGTCTACTCATAGCACCAGAAGCTGTGCATCATTACTTATCTGCTCTGCCTTAAGGTCAAACTAATCAGGTCTGATGTGCTGATTTCACTTCAGCACAATTTCACCCTAAAGTTCTGCAGCCGTTTACAGTTTGCTCTTGCTTTGCATCAGATTGTGTGGCGATGACCTGTTAGCATCTAAGCCACAGCCTGTCAGCATATGAATCCTCAGCTGAATTTGGTTGGACAGGAAAAAAGGAAAGAAAAAGAATTATTGAGCAGAATAGAAAAATGACAAGAAATGAGAAAGGAAGATAAAGAGAGGGAGGAAAAGAAAAAAGGACAAGAAAAAAAGAAGGAAAAATATAAAGCAAAAAAAGGGAAATAGAAAGGGAGACAGAAGGAAAGAAATAAAAAAGATGGACAGACAAAAAGAAAGACAGAAAAGAACAAAGGCTGAAGAAAAGATGAAAAGAAGAAAGGTGGGAGAGAGGAAGATAGGTGAAAAGGAAGTCAGAAAAAGTATGAAGGGGGAAGGAAGAAATATAAAAAGAGGAAAAAAGAAAGGAAATAAAAAAAAATAAAGAGAGAGAAGAAGCGACAATGAAAAAAGGAAATAAGAACAAGAAAGGAGGAAGGAAATAGAACGGACAAAGGAAGACGGTTTTACGTGTACAAAAGGCCAGGACCCAATATTGCGGAGACAAAATCACCAAAAAGTTTATCAACAAAAATATCAACAACAAAAAACAACATAAAATCCCCACACAGGGTAAAAAGGCTCAGGAGGCACAGACAGCTACTGAAAACGGAGAAAAACAAGTGTCAGGACAAAATACAGAAAAACTCAAACAACCTCTGACACTAAAAGTACAACTCAAATATACCACATGGGGCAAGTAACAAAGGAATATAAAGTCATCTAGGAAGTTCAACAGGAAACAAAAGACAAACTGAAAATCACTTCAGAAAGATGTGGGGGGAAAAACTAGAACTATAAAGTACAAAACAACTGAAACAAAGTGACAAACAAACAAAGGCAGAATGGAGGCACAGAGGGATTCGGCTCGAGAGGAAGACTGAGATAATCATCCGGCAAAGAGCAGGACAGGAATTTGGCTTTAAAAGGCCAGCTGATGAGCACAATGAGGTGCAGGTGTGCTCCTGATCAGCCGAGCCAGCTCCGCCCCCTGCCATGCTCCAGTGCTGCAGGAAGAGAAAGAGAGAGAGCACACAGACAACCAAAACACAAGGGCTGTGTCTCATTTCAGAGACCGCATCGTGATAAGCGCACTTAACGGCGCTTAGCTGAGTGCACTGCCGTTTTGAGCCGTTTTGAGCCGTTTTGCGCCGTTCTGTGCCCTTCCTGTGTCCCATTTCAGATACAGCAGCCATCGAACGGCGCATCTGACGCGTACGTGAGGTCACCACGCGGCACGAACGGTGTCCCGTTTGGCACAATATACTAAGCGCGCTTCAAATTCGGTCTCAAAACCACACTACCCCCGCCTCTTTTTCAAGCGTGCATGTATGCACGCTTTCGTGCCGTCGGTATCCCAGAATTCTTTGCGTGCCGCTGCACAGCTGTGCATTTCAGGTGAGAGGCTGGACTCGCTTGGAGACACAGCGCGTCTGCGAAGAAAATACAAGAAATCCAAAAACAGCAGACAGTCAGCTCAGGCTGTATGAGAGCATGATCTCTGAACTCACTAAAATCTGTAAACCAAACATTATAGATTTAGAGACGAACTGATCCGCTCTGCTTCAACAATAAAAAACATTAGAAATAAGAAAGCTGACAAAACTACAGCAGAGGATCAGGACAACATTGAGTTTTTTTTTCTTTTAAGATTTAGAGATTAAAGTTGTAAATTTAGGAGAATAAAGTCATAAAGTAAATAAAGTCATAAAGCTGCTTTTGTGGAGGGGGAAATGACTGAAGCTGGTCATCTGCAGGGTTACCTGTGGATGTATCAGCGGGTCATTCAGAGAGATTTTGTGGTTTCTGAAGAAACAATCAAACTGATGATGATCAACATTTGTGATCCAGAGGGAGTCGAGCTCCGACGAGCACCACGTCTCTGACACCGGCGGTAACCTACACCTGCAGAGACACCAACACCTTATTACTGCATATGGATTCATATCATAAACTAAAGCTCAATGTCATTCACGGATATTAACGGCTGCATTGACAGATATATCCTCAGCATATTCATTTCTGTCTCCACAAAAGCAGCGATTTCCTTCAAGTACACCAATTTTTTTCCCCCGTGGAAAAGACGTATTTCTCATATATTCTTTTTAAAGTCTTTATACTTATGACAATGTTATGCTGATTTGCCAGAGGATGAAGAATCTCCTTGTTTGTGAAACCTATACTGAAGCACAGTTCCTTCAAATGCTTCATGGCCCTAATTTTAACAAGTCTCTCTGAAATAACAGGTTATGACTTCATTCTCATAAATTAATGACTTAAATCTCGAAGTCCTTAAAGTCTTAAATCTCAATATGGCCCTCATACTCCTTCTTACAAAACAATCATTGGATGAATTGTGCTTGTATGTATCTACTATTTTGTGTCTGTGCAAGGTCGCACAATTAAAACAATAAATGCTGCGCTCCGCGGGTTTCCTTTAAGTCAGTCGTGACGCGAGCCTGAGGGCGGGGACATTTGGCAACTCCACCAGGAAGTCCTCCGAAGGTCTCCAAATGTCCCCGCCCTCAGGCTTACGTCACGACTGATTAGAAAAAAAGCTGCGGAGCGCAGCACGTATTGTTTTAATTGTGCGACCTTGCACAGACACAAAATAGTAGATACAAGCACAGATCATTCCCACAAAATTCATCCAATGATTGTTTTGTATGAAGGAGTATGAGGGCCCTATTGAGAAGGAGGATAGGAGATACTTCATCCTCTGGCACATCAGCATCACATTGTCATAAGTATAAAGACTTTAAAAAGAATATATGAGAAATACGTCTTTTCCACGGGGGAAAAAAATTGGTGTACTTGAAGGAAATCGCTGCTTTTGTGGAGGCAGAAATGAATATGCTGAGGATATATCTGTCAATGCAGCCGTAAATATCCGTGAATGACATTGAGCTTTAATTTATGATATGAATCCATATGCCATAATAAGGTGTTGGTGTCTCTGCTGGTGTAGGTTACCGCCGGTGTCAGAGACGTGGTGCTCGTCGGAGCTCGACTCCCTCTGGATCACAAATGTTGATCATCATCAGTTTGATTGTTTCTTCAGAAACCACAAAATCTCTCTGAATGACCCGCTGATACATCCACAGATAACCCTGCAGATGACCAACTTCAGTCATTTCCCCCTCCACAAAAGCAGCTTTATGACTTTATTTACTTTATGACTTTATTCTCCTAAATTTACAACTTTAATCTCTAAATCTTAAAAGAAAAAAACTCAATGTTGTCCTGATCCTCTGCTGTAGTTTTGTCAGCTTTCTTATTTCTAATGTTTTTTATTGTTGAAGCAGAGCGGATCAGTTCGTCTCTAAATCTATACTGTTTGGTTTACAGATTTTAGTGAGTTCAGAGATCATGCTCTCATACAGCCTGAGCTGACTGTCTGCTGTTTTTGGATTGCTTGTAATTTCTTTGAAGACGCGCTGCGTCTCCAAGCGAGTCCAGCCTCTCACCTGAAATGCGCAGCTGTGCAGCGGCACGCAAAGCATTCTGGGATACCGACGGCACGAAAGCGTGCATAGATGGACGCTTGAAAACATGCTAAGCGCGCTTAGCATTTTTTAGCATCTCGTGCCAAATGGGACACCGTTCGCACCGTCGTGACGTCATGCACGCTTCAAATGCACCGTTCGACGGTGCAGAAGGGCACTTAGGTCGATGCGGTCTCTGAAATGAGACACAGCCAAGGAAACAGCCCTGGATCATGAAGGAAGGCAGGAAGGAAGGAAGGAAGGAAGGAAGGAAGAAAGAAAGAAAGAAAGAAAGAAAGAAAGAAAGAAAGAAAGAAAGAAAGAAAGAAAGAAAGAAAGAAAGCGTGGTATCTGGAGGGAAGTAACATTAGGTGAAGTTTGTGCTGCTTTGCGCTATTTCCCTGGGATATACTGAGAAACTTGTTTGTTGTTTCTTCCTTGGTTCCTGACTCTTTAATGGTCCAGCTGTTGGTAAAGATAGGTGAACTAGAGGTCAAGAGATGAAGGAGCTTCACCTCTGAACCCTATAACAGAAGCACAAACTGAGTTCTGGGAGATGGACATCATTGGCAGTCATCTCCCAGTATCTGTGGTGCTGTTTTAATACTGATGTTGTCTTTGTAATAAAACTCTATCATACAAGCAAGCCAGTGTCACGAAGCCTCCTTCAGCATCTACACATCACAGACGGACAAGATACAACAAAAGAAAGAAAAAAGGAAAACAAACAAACAAACAAAGAAAGGGAGAAAGGAAAATGGGAATGAAGAAGAACGGAGCTAGGTGGGAAGAACATAACTCAGAGAGGAAGGAAGAAAAGAAAGAAAGATGAAAGAAAAAAAGAAGGAAAAAGGACAAAAAGGAGGAAAGAAGAAAATAAGGAAAAAAAATATAAGGCAAGAAAGAGAAAGGAAGGAAGAAAGGAGGAAGGAAGAAAGGGAAGAAAACATAAATAAAGAAGTAAAGAACAAAGAAAAGAGGGGAGGAAAGAAGAACCACAGGTTTACCAAAGGGTCATCTGTCATTATAAGGTGTCTAAGTTCACAGGTTCCTACTATCCTGATGGCTAAAGATCAGATCAATGTTTCTGTAAACTTTTCATCCACCTCTCTGTTTGCAGTCATTTTTCTCTTCTCCCCTTTTTAGGGTCCAATACTCCTCACCTGATTGCCTGTGCAAAGTAAGAAACTGTTACTTTAACAACCTGATACTTTAACGTTATATACACTATGGAGACAGAGGCTGTACTCGTGGTATACTGCAAAATGACAAGCCTTATAGACAGAGTTATAAATGATGGCAAAGATCTTGTAAATAGTTTGTTTTTATTTAGTAAAAAAACTTCACTGCAGTATCTAAATAATATATTTTTAAATGTAAGCTTATTGTGTGTATTAGGTATAAACCTCCTCCTAATGAGGTCTTCACAGAGTCCACTCTGACTGTGATGAAGATTCAGCTGCCAACAGGTGTGGAGGCATACCTTGAGGACCTGAGACAGGTGAAATCAAGTTATACAGTATTTTAAGATGTTTGGGATAAGGTTTAAACTGAGACACTGGCTCATCAGACAGTGACACCCCTAACATTTTAAAATCATGTTTCATAAGTCCAAGCAGACTTTCATTTTTATCTATTTTTCAACATTTCATTTTCATTCAAATCTAGTTAAATCTTGAAACTATTTGGATGTATTTTGTCCTTACTTTTTGTTAACACAGTTTATTCTGGTACCAGCTATCACATCATGGTTACTGCCCTGTTATTGTTTTTTTTTTAATTATCATTTTTTTTTTTTTTTGCAGTTTAGAGACATAGATGAACCAATCATCTCACACTATGAGCTCCAAGGAAACACTCTGGTCATTCAGCTGGATGCGGTGAGTAAGAGGAAAAACGAACAATACTATCAAGACATCAGACTACTAAAGTAATACACCACCAACCACAGGCTCAAAGAGCTTCCTGTTTGTGTCCGACAAACCTTAACATCAGTGGCACCCTGAGAATACATTGTATAAGAATGGAGACTCTGGAAAAGCCACTGTAGTAACTCTGTTGCGCTGTTGTAATACACCCACTTCACACAGGACACAGACAGCTTTGGGGTCTGATTCATTGAAGAGTGTGCAGAATCCATACTACAAGTCCAAACAAAAAGCCAACTTAATTCTCCACGACACTGCACAGAACCAGATAATAAAACCTAATTGTCAGCTGTGAATTGTCTTTCCATGTTACATTAGTGTTTACGCCTGACGATTAAAGCTGCTGTGGGGAACTTTTTGATGTTTATTAATTAAACTGAAATTTATACTAATGCCTTTTTATGACAAACAAAAACAAATAAAGACATCAGGGATAAGATTTACAGTTTTGATGGTGTAATTTCTAATGCCTGATTCTGTTGTGAGGGGGTAGGTGTCAGACCAGCAGCTGAAGAAACCAACAGTTTTTGCAATTTCTACACAATATATATATAATAAATTATACATTTCACTGTTACGCTTTACATGCTATTATGGAGCAGTGATTTCAAGGGTCTAGCTTTAAGAAAATAATATTATCTGAATACAGAATAGGTCCTTTGAAGTCCCACTCTGATCATCTTTTTTTTATTTTCTTTTTTCTTTTTTTAACTACCTTATTTTTGCACTATAAGGCACACCTGATTATAAGGCACACCATTGATGAACACGTCTATTAGCTTCTATTTTCATACATAAAACACACCAAATTATAAAGCGCACTGGATTATAAAGCACATTAAGCCAAACAAAACAGTCAGATAAGTCAAACTTTATTTAACTCATTCAATAACTCGTGAGGCTACGGTAGCTGCAGTGCTCTGACAAGCCATACGGATTTTAAGTGCGCATTATAGTGCAAAAAATACGGTACTTGAAGTGTTCCCAGTCGCCTTTAAATTGTGATCATGAAGTTTTCAGCCAAAATCAGGTTACCTGTGTCATTTTCAAGTGCTTTTCCTCTGCAGAGCTCCAGTAGCACATTTGCAATTTGCCTCTGAGTCATGGGCAGAGACAGCGCTGCTCTGCACACTCCTCTACATGCTAGCTTTCAGCCTGACATTGCTGGTATAGTAGAAGTGGCAGGTAATGTAGGCGTTATTCAGCTCTCGGACGCTAATGTCTTTGGGGACATGATGAAAGTTAATATAATAATTAGCTTTTTTATGAGCATTGCACTCCGGGACTTCACATGCTCATTCCGCAATCCTCCTCTCTATTTCTCTAAGTCTAGCCTGCAGAGCGGGGCTCCAGGGGTGGAGCTTAGATTTGTGATATAGGAAATTCCACTATGTCTGAGCCTGATGTTTGGGTCTGCCAGAGGCTCACAGCGATTTAAATGCAGAAATACTCAGGAATGCAATTTCACACTTAGTTTTCTCATTATGTCCTGTAGCATCAGAAAAATGCCATATGAACATGATTTTTTATCAGAGTGGGTCTGTAAATACACTTAAACACGCAGGAGTCTTAGAGGCTAAGGGTTAGGGTTAAGTGAAATGTGATGCTTCCTTTTTAACTCCTCACCCCCCTGTGAGAAGGCCTCAACTTCTTGTTGGTTTTGGTGATAGCTTCCAGTCTGATCTCTGGCCTCCCTGTCATTGTTTACTAGGTTCCTTCAGACGTCTACCTGTGTGTGGGTTTCCGGATCAGGATTGGGTTCAAAGTGAAGGGGGTCTCTGAGTCACTGTTGACTGTCTATGAGCCTCAGGACAAAGGTATGACCTGTAAAAGGATCCTGGGATTTGTAATTATTAGCAGTTTTTTGGGGAGTTGTTTTATGATAAGCCAAAAAAAAAATGTAAATGCTAAGACTCAGGAGTCATTGTGACATAAGTTTTGATATTAAAATAGGGAGTTGGAGTCAGGTGAGATGTCCATTGGGTGTAGAGACTAATCAAATAAATACTTAACCCAGCTAAGCACAAACCCTTACCCACCCTTCAACAACTTCACATCTGTCTGATTTCTAGTTTTGCTGAATAATCTGACTTTAAGGGGAGAAAATGTTGGATTGATCCATTAAATTGAGGTGGAATTATATGTCTCCTTTTTTACACAGGTAGTATGTGCATCAAACCATTTTTTTATCAGGAGCAGAAGCTGCAGCGCCTCTGTGTGGACCAACAGTGTCAGTGCATGTCAGGTAATGTCTGCCTGTTGATGGTCGCCTCCTAGAATCCCTAGACTCATTCAACAGGGTCCTTCAAAAGCCAAAAAGCTTCAAAATATGATCATGTTACATAATGTGATCTTTGTTCTCTAGTGTGTGTAGTACAGAAGTGCAATCGGGAAACTCTGATAAGACCAGTCAGGATTATTCGGATCCCAGCAGGGTGCTTGATTTAGGTTTTAAATGTCAGGTGTCAAATGATGTCACCATGTAAAGTTTGCCTGCTGTATATGTGACATAATAATGTCTTGTTGTTGTTTAGCTGCATGCCCTGCTTACAGAGCAACACTTGATGCAACTCTGACAACAGCCAAACGACTAAACGAGATCTGCCAGCCTCACATCAAATATGGTGAGAATGAGACCAAATATGAAAGTGCATTTAAAATGACTTAGCCAACACACTGCAGCAAAACTCCAACAAATGAAATTATAAGGTGCAAAACAAGATTTATTCCAGTGACGAGTTATCCGCAAGAGACGCCTTACAGGGGAGGGAAAACTCGTGGTTTTTGGGAATCCATAAAACGCAATTACATCATGTCTTTACTTTTTTCTTGGTGTGTTTTTGTCCTCCTGTAGCTTACAAGGTTACAGTAAAGTCTTCAGCAGCAGAAGGAGATTTTGTGACCTACACAGCCACCGTACTTGAAGTCCTTAAGAACACAGATAAAGGTGAAATAGGCTAAAAACTTTGAAAAATAATTCCCTTGTTGGTGTGATGGTATATTTGTGGAGTTTCTCTGTAAGACCAGAGGCCATGTGCATTACATGACAGTTTATGTTACAAAAATGTCCTTTGTTCTGTCTGTTGTAGATTTTGAAGCAGTGAGTTCAAATACAGAGTTGGATCTGATTAAAAAAGTCACCTGCAATGATGTTGATGTCCAGATCAACAAACAGTACCTTGTGATAGGAGCCAGGGGGTCAGAGGTCACTCTAAACAACGGCTATAAGTCAGTGTCATGTCAAACCTCTCTCAGGTGTACTATCATTTCTTCCTCTCGTTTGCTGTCACTCAGCCCTTCATTTGTGTTGTTCTGCAGGTATCGTCTTGCTCTCGACTCAGAGGCACTGATGGAGTTATGGCCGACTGATTGTAGTTCTAATGAGTGCTTGGACTACATTTCCCATCTTGAGGACCTTGCTCTGGAGTTGCAGTTGGCCAGCTGTCCTGACTCAAAATAACTTAGCAGACTGTACTTTTACCCCCAAAACTGATGTGAAGATAGAAAAGGAGAGGGAGAACATTTGGACATTAAGTCTGACTAGCTCAGGAAATTTTAGCTTGAATGTAAAGTTATTCTTGTCTTTTGTGCCAGGATCTGCCATTAAAAAAATCACTTTTACTCTGTGTTGCTTATACAGTGATTATTTGCTTGATTCAATTTCAGATAGCAATTCACTTTCTGTGTAATAACTCCACAAGTCAAGAGTTCAAAAAAGTCTCCTGCTTGGAGACTGCGAGGAGCATCTGTGAGAAAATAATTCTTCATTCCACCAAAATTCTTCACTAATCTTTATTTTAGTTAAACGATATGCCACGTGGTCATGTTCAGCATTCATCCCACTTAAGTTACTTCCCAAGCAAGGATTTTGTGTCAGTTTAAATTCAAACTTTTTGAATGAGCTCCACCATTTAATCTGCTAAAGACTAGCAATGCTTAAACATGTCAGTGTTAGACACAAAAAGTATATTTAAGTCATTTCTGAATCAGCAGTTACTGTATCCACCTGCAAAACACAATCTAAAGCTCTTGTATTTCCAGCAATATGTACTTGATTTTTTGAGAACTTCACAATCAGACTTTAAGCTGCAGAGATACTACATATCCAGTCCGTCTAATAACTTTGTAAAGTGTTTTATTTGTTTTGATCTTGATTTGTGAGGTTAATACTCTAGCAAAGTATCAAATAAGTTTACAGTTTGAATTGATTTAATCCAAATGTCAGTTCTGTTGCCGAATAGGACAGCCGGTAAAAAAGCAACTATCTGTCACATTTTTCTATTTAAATAGAAAGTCATGGCTGATAACAACTCCAAACTGAATTTTCCAGAAAACTGATGGTTAAACAGTTTTCTCATGCTGTCATGTAGACGCGCATGGGTTTTAAAATCAATACTGATAACTGTCGTTTTGCAAACCGTCAGAATGACCGTTCAGCGCAGACTGGAGAGCTGTTAGCTACCATCCCAGACAGTGGTCTACTCCCCAGTTACCTGTGATTACTAAGATACACGCTAACTAAAGCTTTAGATAACTGTTATCATGACAAACTAGTTATCGAACAAGCGCAACAGGGTTCAGGTAGTCGAGAAAACCCGAGAAAACAAGCTAGACTTGACAATTACCAACAGGCTAGCTTTAACAAACTACTTTTCATGTTCATGTCTGTTCAGGGACTGGGTGTTCAAGTTTTCTGTGTCCTGATGCAGAAGCTATGAGTCCTGCTAAGAATGGAAATCAAAGTTGATGGGATTTTAAGAAGTAAGTTCATAATAAGCTCATAATGTATACAAACAATACAAATTCATAAGAATAATCATATGAATAACTTTATTTATTCTGAAGGGAAATTCAATTGTCTGTAGTCTCATGTGTCATATCTCAAGGTAATTTAGTCATGTCAAGTCTCACAGTAAATATATTTGTTTAAATACACTTCTTAAAGTACAAATCTAGACTACTTGTTCCTCATGTCACAATTCAATTTACTTCTACTTTGATTCTCAACACATTGAAGCAGTCAGGCTGTCTGTAGGACAGGGTGCCGATCAATGCCCCCAAAAGACAGTTTCTTAAACACCCTCCCCTTGCTTTTGCCCTTCCTCTAAGGATGCGCCAAATGATTTCACATTGCCAGCTTGACAAGTGAGCCTCTGACAGCCTTGCAATACACAGCCTCTGCACAGAAAATGAGCTTTGAACTCTCACTTTGCATGCAGTGTGCATTGCTGAGCACACCCTGTCTTCACTGAATCTGTTAGGAATACAATGGTCTCATCAATATCACAGTGAAGCAAGAAAGCACCTGTATCAATGGTTTCAGCGCACTTTATACGGCGGCGTATAAAGTGCGCTGAAAGCTGGTCGATTCAAACCTGGTCAGCTTTCAGCGCAGGCGGAGCGCAGCTGGTCTAGTGGTATATTGGTAGACCAGCGGCGTATCGGCATACGTCACCGATGCCTCACTTGCAGGTTTCCACAGTGTCATAGCACAAACATTTAGATCTATGGATCAGTGGCGATTGCTCTAAGACTGCAAGAGAAACTCAGCTTCCCTTAAAATGTCACCCCCCCCCCCCCCAAAAAAAAGAAAAAGTGGTGAAATACGTACTGCTGTGTGTACATTTCATTACCTAAATACGCGCTAGAAAGCCTTCATCTTTTGTTCAGAATCAGCTTCTTATCACACTGTGATAAATTTATACGTGTAAATGACGTCTACATCTATACTATGCTGCAAATCTCTCCACGGTGTCATAAGTAATGTAATCCAGTATTAAAAGGTCAGTTATGCACATTACAGTTGTTTATTGCATAAAAAGTTATCGAAAAATGAAGTTGAGGGCGAAGTATAAATCACGTCTAGAAATAGACCGAATCCAGACGTTGAAATGAAGTATAAATTTATACGTGTAAATGACGTCTGCATCTATACTATGCTGCAAATCTCTCCACGGTATCATAAGTAATGTAATCCAGTATTTAGAGGTCAGTTATGCACATTACAGTTGTTTATTGCATAAAATGTTATCGAAAAATGAAGTTGAGGGCGAAGTATAAATCACGTCTAGAAATAGACCGAATCCCGACGTTGAAATGAAGTATAAATTTAGACTAGACGTCTAATATACGTCTTTCACTCGGTGGGTACTGCAAAAAAGGAAACATTGGCTGACTTCTATTCTCATCTTAAAGGGCACATCAAAGAAGGACGGACAGTTGCATGTCCTTTTAAGCAATGTAATAAGACATTTACTGTGGTATCTACATTTACTTCTCATCTGTCCAGAAACCACAAAGAAAGTAGAGAGGGAATGATAGAGTCTATCATTGCTTCAGCAGGTGTAAGTGGAACTATTGCCACTCATGATGATCAAGATTTTCCCTGTGACATGCAGCTGGATGCTGCTGATGATACTGAGCATTTGGAGGTCATCCCTGAAAATATTGATGATACATTGTTTTTGAGGAATCTTGCCCTCTTTTACCTTAAGCTACAAGCAAAGATGCTGCTTCCTTCATCCACTATTTAATCAATCATCGAAGATTTGCAGTCAATTCATGACATCAGCCAGTCACAATTACTTTTTAAACTGAATGAAAAGTTGAGTGTGCTTGCAATTCCAGATGATGCCATTAGGACTCTTATTGATGATTTGAAAGCAGAAGATCTTTTCCGCATTCACAATGCCCACACACTGAAAACTGATCAACGAAGGAAAACTGTTTTCAAAAAACAATTTAATCATGTTGCACCAGTGCCTATATGTCTGGGGCAAAATGAAGCAGGCAAAGAGTGCTTTGCACAATATGTCCCCATTAAACAAACACTTGAAGCTCTTTTTCAGTGCAAGTCTGTAAGAGAGCAATACTGTGCAGTTCACACCTGTACCCAAATTAAGGGTGTATTTCAAGATGTGTGGGATGGGAAAAATATTACAGAGAACCCACACCAAACAGAGGGGTCTTTACACTTGATCCTTTATCAGGATTCTTTCGAGGTGGTGAACCCACTTGGGTCAGGAAAAAAGAAGCACAAAGTACTTGCAGTGTATTTCACACTAGCAGACTTATTACCACACCACAGGTCAAGTACTGACCAGATGCAACTTGTTCTTCTCTGCAAAGAACAAGATTTCAAGCATTTTGGTCAGGAACTGGTCTTGGGTCGCCTCATAAAAGATCTGAAAGACCTTGAGAGAGATGGTGTAGTCTTACATGATGGGCAGGTCTGTAAAGGAGTACTGCATGCTATTGCTGGTGACAATTTAGGGTCACATGGGATTGGAGGATTTCTCGAGAATTTCAGTTTGAGTGTTAATTTCTGCAGATACTGTGAAATAGACAGAAACACGTTTCAGAGAGATCCTCTCTCCAAGGCCACTACTCGCACAGTGCAATCATACAGAGAGCATGTTCAGAGACTTTAAGGTGGTTCAGCCCAGAGTGGAGGTATCAAATTTGACTCCTTGTTCAATGAACTGTCCTTCTTTCATGTTTGTCAGCCTGGGTTGCCTCCATGTATTGGCCATGATTTGTTTGAAGGTATTGTAGCCTCTGATCTTGCATTGTACATTCAACATCTGGTGAAGGTTGACAAACAGTTCTCATATCTTGAGTTGAACCGCAGGATTAACCAGTTTAAGTATCTAGGGAACGATGCCCATGACAGACCTTGTGAAGTGACTCCAGGAAGTGATAAACTGGGTGGGCATGCTGTCCAAAACTGGTGTTTGTTGCGGATGCTACCAGTGCTCATTGGAAAGACAATTGATTCTCCAGGTGAAAATCAAGTTTGGCAGCTGATTTTACAATTAAGAGAAATTGTTTCTCTTATTTGTGCACCAGCGATTTCAACTGGACAGATAGCCTATTTGAGAGTGCTTATCGATGAATATTTGTATTTCCGAAAGCAAACTTTCCCAGACAAACCGGTGAAGCCAAAGCATCATTTTGTCACTCACTATCCAGAGCTCATCCTCTGTTTTGGGCCACTAATTTGTTTGTGGACACTACGATTCGAAAGTAAGCACACTTATTGCAAACGATGTGCATGGAAACTTCATAATTTCAAAAATGTGTGCTTAACTCTTGCAGAGAGGCATCAACTACTCCAGGTGTATCTTAATGCTGGCAATCTCTTCCCTGCCACAGTTGTAGCGGAAAAGGCATCAGAGTTTTTTCCTGCAGACTACAATCACAGCATCAGGGAGTCGGTTTCAAGCTTTGACTTTGGGTCTGACAATACTTTGATTGCTCATGAGGCAACTGTAAAAGGCACAAAATACAAAAAAAACATGCTTGTTGTTATGGATGAGATTTCTGAGGGCCTTGTGATTGGAAAGATCATTGTGGTTCTTATCCACAAAGATTCAGAAGTGTATTTTATCACTAATAAATGCAAGGCTTTTCCTCTCCATGACATAGGTGTTTATGGCTTCACACCATGTGAGGGATGCTACTGTTGTGTCAAACAGGATGAACTAGTTGACTTTTACCCTTTGAAAGAGTATACATTCTGTGACATTCCAGTTATTGTTCCACACCACTCCTCCTAAGATCCTCCTTAGGGCCTTACCATCTCTTTCTGATGCTGTTCAGAATCTTGTGATAGACAGGCTAGTGAGTTCTGGTTTGGAGTCAACAGGAGACCTGAAATATGTGACACAGGATGACATTGGAGACTTACTACCCGCCATTCAGCAAAGGAAACTTTTAGATGCATTCAAACTGGGTATGTTTGTGCTTAGTGGCATCCTTGTATAATTATACATCATAATAAACCATTAATTCAAAGAAAAATGCATGACCGTTCTCTCATTCTTTTCAATTTTAGAAACAGAGGCAATCACTTTGGATCTCCAAATCCTGCCTTCTCCCACCACTGCAGAGAGTAGCGACTCCACGGGCAAAACCGTTCATTTCAGTGAACCGGATCATTCCAGGTTGTTCAGTAAAAAGACCCGTTCATTTTGGTCATTTCGGTCAATCGGTCGTTAGTCAGTCCGCTCGTTCATGTTGCTCACGTTCGACGCTGAACGAACGTGATGAGCGAACGGACTGACTGCACTTCAGACTCAACAGCGCAACAACATGTGATCTTGAAATCTGAAGCATTACACCTCCGGATCCGACGTTGCGTGCGTCTCAGCTCCCCGGTCCGACGTTACGACCCCCCTGTGGTCCGACGCTGTGACCGCTGCACTCCCCACTTCCCACCGTTCATCCGTCTGGGTCTTTCGTTCAACTCGGTCTTTCAGTCAACTCGTTCATCGGTCTGGATCTTTCGTTCACTCGGTCTTTCAGTCAACTCGTTCATCTGTCTGGGTCTTTCATTCAACTCGGTCTTTCGTTCAACTCAGTCTTTCGTTCATTTAACCCGTTCTTTTAGTCAACTCGGTCATCCCGGTCTTTCAGTCAGCTCAGTAGTACTGCTGCTGCTTCTCTAAGCCCCACCCACACACAGAACGAGGCGCGACGATAGGATAAGACAGGCAAGCACGGAGATAGTCCCTCAGCCAATCAAAAGAACTGAACGGACTGAACGGGTCATTTAGAGGGGGAGAACTAGTTCATTTCGTTCACCAAAAAGAACTAGTTCTTTTGATCCGTTCGTTCAAGACCGACACACCACTAATCCACATCATTTTCCAGCTCATACAGCCAATCTTCCCTGTTCACCAACCTGTCCTCCAGCTCACCAACTTCACCGTTTTCAAGTCCATCCACCTCATCTGTGCTCTCCTGCTCAGGAACTGAAGACAGCCAGACCTCCTCCCACATAAGAAAAGATTGGCCAGAGTCCTTTCAGGTGCCATGGAACCAAATGCCTGCAGACATTCGTTCAGCCATATCAGATGGTAAGCGGCCTTCACCTGCCGCTCGACGGCAGATGGTAAGAGTGTTGGTAGATGCGGAAGAATGAGAAAAACCCAACACACTCACAGTGCCTTACAATTTGCCACAACATTGCTCAGCAATATCCAAACAGTTTTGCTGATCAAATTGAAAATGGTACACTCCTGGGAAATGGATACACATCACTCCTAATCCAAGTCAAAACTCGGGTTGAAAACCTGAACCGCAATAGCAGCTTTCGCCAGCACCGTTCCTCTGGCAAAGGTCACAAGAGAGGACCTACTGACACATATGGCTGCACCAGATTTCAGCCCAGCCTTCCACCAGAGGAAACTGAAGAAACAGTGGAGAGCAAACGTCAAAAACTGGAGGAGATCTACAGTCGGGATGGCATAAATGGAGCTGACAGAGCAGAGGTAAAGCAGCTTATGGAGACAACCTTCTACCTGCAGCGGTGCCACATAAATGCTCTACCAGCACCAACAACTGAGGCTTTAAAAACCAAGTGGCCATACCTATTCACTCAGAAAGGGCTCTACTCTCACTTTGAGTTTCTCACTGATATCCCTGTACTACGCACACTTGAGCTTGCCATGGAGGAATGCAGCAGAGCAATTATGGAATTCTTCAAGACCAAACCAACCAATGCAGGAGTCCGGGAAGCTCTCTCTATGGATGAAAATTTCGAGGGCTCAACTCGTGTCATCCATCTTCTGATGGCTCATTTCTCAGAGAATATCACTGATCTGATCCTTCGTGCAGATGTGAGTTTCCTTTTTGTATATAGGCTACATATGCCATCTCATATAATGACTCATTTTTAAGAGAACTTGCACTTTGTTTCACTTTCTTTGTCCTAGGGTTCTGCCACTACAGCTGACATTGAGGGGACACTTAGCATACCTGCATCTCCTCGTCTGATACTGCTTGGTATGTATACACCACTGGATATGCAAGCAACATAATCCTCCAAGCATAAAGCAATGCTCTTGTAAATAGATATTCTGAAATGCATTGCTGTTTTTGTCAGGACAAGGAATTTATTTTCAAAAGAAAGAAAAATTACATTATTTAAAGAAACAGCAAACAGTTGAATATGATGGTTTACATGCGATACTTTCTGAATCCAAAATGATGAAAAAAAAACAATATTGCCTAGTATTTTTGAATGATATTATCTGGAAAAAAAAGAGAGCGAGAACACGTTTATGGAAACAAACACAATTGATATCTGTTTATGAGAGTCGAATCTCAACAAGGTCTGACACCTATTGCTGTCTTTGTGCACACCACAGGACATTAAAAAGCATCTCCTAACTATACCATGGGTGTACGAGCCTCAAAAACCACAGAAGCTCCTTTCTACTGCAAATCCAACAACATACAACATTACTGTGCTATTCGTGTCATTGGGACAGTTGTAATCAGAGGGGTTAACTGTTGAAATGATGATTCTGAGGACTTTAGATACAGACTTCTTTGATTCCAAATGGATTTGGGAAAAAAAGGAGGGGGGGGGGGGGGTCTCAACCTGTACTCTACATGGCAAAATTGTAGTTCACCTCTCAATGCAATCAATCTGAAAGATAATGAAAATCTATACATTTGACAGATGAAAATTCTTAACTTTCAGGTGAAAACTGTGTCCATCGATGGCCTTGAGGGCAAAGTAATATGTAAGGGGATTCAGCCCACCTTCCTGACAGGGCTTGCTGCATTATTTTCCACATACTACTGCTTTAATCTGCAGTACCCAGAGGAAGCAGCATGTACCCTCGAGTTCATACAGAGGTTAGATTCTTTTAAGTAAATCCTGTATATTTCTTGGATTTCCAGCCCTACATCCACATGTATATATTTGATGGCTTATAATGTCTCGTTAATCTGAGTGAGTTCCAACACTCCTTTTTTAGGCACTTCATTGGAATAAATCCTGAGAGAGGCACCAAGGCTGGACGAGGCAAAGTGGTGTCCAAAAAAACAGGCAAAGTCACACAAAAAAAGACAACCACAGTCAAACCTCACGTTTCCACCCTGCTGAGGAGACTCATGGATTTTGAGTGGGACTTCATTTGAAATGGTGAGATAATTAGCTGCATGATTAGCTGAAGTATTTGGGAAATTAAGTTTGTTTTTTGTTAGCTGATATCTCCCCCCCCCCCACCCCCGCAGATGCGCACACATGCACATACGCCCACATGCCCAGCCCCACCCGACCCCTGTGTTCACCAGCTAAGTGTCTGTTTGTCATGTGATGGCGCGCAGGTTATGTATGGCAGAATGTTTGAGAGGTTTTTTTTCTGTTTCTCTCTGTGAACACTACAACTTTAGTTAGTAGAACGGTGAAGTTGCAAGATAGTAAATGCCCAGTGGGTGTGCAAGACTATAAGCTTGCGTATGACAGTTTGTTTGTTTTCTGTTTTGAGTTCTGTGTATTATTCATAAGTGCGTTCACACACACACAAACTGTTAATTTCAGGTTACAATAAAAATACAGTTAAATGCAAGAGGAAGCTGTGTTTTTGTCTAAAATAGTAATCACATGATTGGAAAATCTGTGGGTATGCTCTTCATTCACAAAGACATTTTCTTATGGTTTGCCTTTGTAGCCAGGTTTGAACAGAAATATTGTGAATCCTACAATCAGTAAGGTCTGTTAAAAGTTGGATTTTTTAAAGTTGGATTAAGTCGGGTTATAGCGTTACTATCCCTCTGTCAGTATTCATTTAGCTTTGAAAATGGTTCAAGCGATACAAACTAAATTGTATAAAACAAGTCATTCTCCTTGCCATCACAGAGAAGATCTTCCCCTCAACACTCCGCAAGGCTATACTTCTGAACTGCTCGATGGTCCGGGAGTTCTGTTCTTTTGGGATGAACACCGCCACTGCCCTCTGCCACTGTGAGGGGATGATCTGCTTGGTCCAAGCTGTTCTCAACAGGATCCATAGAAGCTGCAACACTCTTGGGCAGTTTTTATACAGCTTGTTTGGTATCCCAATAGGCCCTGGAGCAGATGCTGATCTTGCCCGCCACACTCCCCCACCTGATCTCAGAGAGCTTAGGTGGTGACACATTGAAAAGCACTGATGGTTCTTCTGGCTTTGGCACACATCCTGGTGGGCCCAGAGGCTCGTTCCTCACCGGATCACTATCCTGACCATGGATGTGATCCTCCAGCTCTTCCTTGGAGATCTCAAGCGAACCGCTGGTCTTCTCCTCAAGGAGCCCTTGTGCGAATTGGAAGGGGTTTTTAAAAAGTTTTCCCTCTCCTTTTCCTTCCTCTTCCTTCACCGCCTGATGCACTCTGCCCTCCTCAGGTTGGTCAGCCTTCTTCTGATGTCATCCCACAGGACTTTCAGGCCCTCTCTTTCTGCTGCGTCTGCTTTCCTCCAATGCCTATGAAGCTGCCTTCCGTCTGCTACCAGGTCTTCAATCTCCTTTTCTCTTCTTCCCTTCCTTCTTTTGCCTGCTTTCCTGCCCATCACCTCACCATATCTGCCGCTGCACTCCTTGTAAAGTATGTCTCCAATCAGGTTAAGCTTGGCCTCCACTGTACCATGCAAGGTCTTCTGCAGCAGCTGACTGAGGGACTCATCCAGCCTCCTCCACTCCATTGTCTCGTTGGTCTTTGGCCACTTGATCTTCATCCTACGCCTTGGTTCATTCAAGCTTCTTGCCTTTTGGCTTGACTCAGCTCTTGGGTTGCTGGTGGGTGCTACATGAGTCACCTGGGGGTCATCCACATCCCTTGTCTCATACTCTTCTGCCTCTGCAACGTTGGGCCTGATAGCACTGTGGTTTTTTACCTGGCCTTGGATTCCACTTGTCTGACCTGCTTGAGCAGTGCAAGGTTGCCTCTGGCTTCTGCCTTCACACTTCATCTTCCCCATGTGGATGTGCAGCCCCCTGAGCGTTGTCACCTTTTCCCATCCGCACCCACATTTCCTAAGAAGCTTTGTATCATTGGTCATTGTCCTTGCAATTTTTTCTGGTTTATCCGTCCTGGTGGGCCCATCTTCCATCCCGCCTCTTGGAGGGCCCTTGGGCTGTTTTCTCTGTGTCCTCTTCATAGTATAATTTTATAGTATTATTTTATTAGTGGGCCCCTCAAACATGAGGACCTTGTATACTCAATACCTTTACACCCTCACTCCAACGCCCCTGATAATATCATGGGGATCTTCAAATAAGGCTGGGGTACCATAAACTACAGGCCTTTAGGCTGTAACTCTGTACAAGCCACATTAAAAATACAATCTCTGTCACACCTGCAGGTGTCCATCCCAGCCTCTGAGTGAATGTAGCATGAACTGTGTCTGACTCTCTGCTGACAAATACACCTGGTATTTGTTTAAATGTATTCCTTTGCGTATGAATTTTAACAAGTTGAAGTAAGTTTACCTCCTGTCTCGTAGAGGTGCAGCATACCTGCCAAGGAAGCAGCATCCTCTCTTAAAGTATCAGGTTAAGTTATAGTGCGCGACAAAACGTTAATTTTCATCAGGATTTGGTAAAGTTTCATACGTAAATAAATATATATTAACCTGGTCACAGTGAGGAGTGTTAGTTTCATCAAGTTATCCTCCTTTCCAGAAAGATCCAGGTATCAGAACAAAACCAGGGGCTTTGGAAGTTTCTCTGATTTCTTCAAAAAGTCTCTTGAAAAGTTGCAAATGTTCAGTATCTCCTGTCATTATGAACTGGACTGAAATTAATGTCTTTTATTAATCAGGATGATAAAACTTCATCAATCAGATACAAAGCAACAGTAGGAGGGTCTGCCAGGGAATAGATGAAACCTATGTCAAACATTTCACTTCCCCCTTTGAGCTCAGTAACCATGGAAACAGAGACACATCACCGCTTGACCATGACAGCAGGCAAGTTTCAGATTAAAAGTGACAAAGTGGGACAGCATGACTGTTTCAGTACCACATTAAACAAATTTAATGTGAGACTGAAACCTTCATGCTGTCAAAGCTGTTATACTAATAATAATAATATGTTGAGGACAGTTTCAGATCACTGACTCTGAGTGTTTGCATTGTGTCCTTCCTCTCTGCTCTCAGCTGTTAAGAGGTCAGAGTTGATCGGTGGCTGTCCAAACCCTTCAGAGACACTGACACGTCCAGAACACAATGATGGAGTTACTTATTGGACTGGTGGCTGCCCTGGGGCTCCTCATTCATGGTGAGGATCACTGCTGAGACAGTTTTGATCTCCCTTCTGTTTGGACATTGGTCGTCCTCTTCAAGGACACTGAATAACCATTTCCTCTTTTTCTTGTATCTCAGGTTCATCAGGAGAAATTATCCTGACTCAGTCTCCTGGAGCTCAGTCTTTTCTTCAAGGACAGACGGTTTCTATCAGATGTAAATCCAGCACACTTATAGGTGACGACATCAACTGGTACCTTCAGAAACCAGGAGAGGCTCCCAAACTCCTCATTTATGATACTACAGGTCGTCAGTCTGGAGTTCCTGATCGTTTTAGTGCGACAGCACAACAGACTGACTTCACTTTGACCATCAGAGGAGTACAGACTGAAGACGCAGGAGTTTATTATTGTCAGCAGCATAACAGCCGCCCGTTCACACAGTGAAAAAGCGTCGTACAAAAACCTCCTCAGCTAAAGAGGAACTGAACTGACTGAACATCTGCACAGTAACAGAGACACAGAGACAACCAGGTCCATGAAACAGAGCACTAAGAGTGAATACTTTCTATAGAAAACGTGTAAAATCATTATTTAGAATATAAGTTTGAACACTCTACATCTATTTGAGATGTTTAATGTTGTTTCATCCCAGAAGTGATTCATCCTACCATAATGAAATGATGTCATTATTGTGATATACTCTCATAATAGTCCTGGAGTTTAATGTGCCATTTTATTATTACCTTATAATGATCTCAATATGACAAAAAAGCACTAAAAACAGGGGTTAGCATCATCATCATTTAGTTTACAGGTTTTTATTCAACTTCACAGAAAAGTTCACAGAGTGCAGTATGAAGAAGTGTAAATAACTCATGTCACAGTTTTCAGTCAGTTTTTGCACAAACTCATTGTTTCTGATTCTGACATTTCAACTTCAGACAAAGAGGTTTTACAAATCCACCATTTTTCTGTCTATGCAAGAATCTGGATCCTATCAAGATTCATTAACAGGCTTTATATCAAGACAAGTACTGAGCAGAGTTTCCCCAATACTGTAATATATTGTGTCCTTATAAATCAGATGTTACAGATCCATTAAATGAAATCAATGATCCTACGAATAAATACACATCAAATCAAATATCCAAATATGCCCTGATGCCATATCTTAGAATAAATAGACTCAGTGGTTGTTTGGAGTATTTCCAAATCTGTGGTATTTCATCACTCTTTGTCACTGAAGCTGTTGAAGTGTCTGTGAAGGACGTTCATATTCACATCCTCTCTGACGGTCATTTGAGGAGTTTGATTTCATCTTCTTCAAGCCAAAATGTAAATCTGTAGGGCGGTGGTCTGAGCACTGAGGGGGAAACACTGTAGGAGGCTGAGAGCAGCTCCAGTTGACTGACTCTGTGCTTGCACATCGTCATCCTTTTAAAATAATGGCATTTTTTGATGAAAATGAGTTTTTGACAGTGTTGTTTTCGTCAGGCAGGACGAAAACTTTAATGACGACGTCAAACCCTTTTTTTCCTTGACGAAAATGAGACTAAGACGAACGTCACCAAAGCTCTGTAAAGACTAATATGTGACGAAAATTGTATTGATTTTCGTCAGACGAGAACGAGACGAGACTAAATTGTTATTAGGTGGACGAACAAAGTTTCAAAACATGCTTTTTTTTTGTCCTAACAGTCACGCCCCCATCACACACGCACCAAAAGCCTCGCTCGCGCACAGCTGCGCGCACACACTCATACACATACACAGAGTGGCAGGTGGACGAGGCGCGCGCACACACACACACACACACCGCGGCGGCAGGCACAGCAGCGGTGCCCGGTGGCCGAAAAAAGAGGGATGATTTTGGGTCCTACTTCAGATACAGTCCAAGTGACAATAAAACACAATGTCTTGTACGGGGACGGGGAGACGAGACAGACGACAGTTGTGGAGCCACAGCTTCCTCATGCTGCGGCTTCAAACTGTCGAGAAAGAACACCACGAACCTCTAAAGGCACCTTTTCGAGAGACTAAAACTAGACTAAAACCTTTTGAGTTTTCGTCGGACTAAAACTAGACGAAAACTATCAAGGATAGAAATGACTAAAATGGGACTAAAACGAAGAAGCATTTCGTCAAAATGACTAAGACTAAAACTAAATCTAAAATGCCTGCCAAAAACAACACTGGTTTTTGACCTAAATCATCTCTTGATAATGCCGGCCAATCTCTGATAAAATCGCCTAAATCCTCAGTTAAAAGGAACATGGCATGATCCTTTTATCATTCTTGGTTGCATTACTGGTACAATTACAGGGTTAGTTCAAGAGTAAGAGTTTGCAACAAGTGAACACTTTGAAATTACAGTAGAAACAAAATATTACAAATACTCTTACTGATCCACTTCAGGGAGAATCTGCTCAAACACACAGTCATGTTGCATGAATGACTGATCCTCATCACGTCCTCCTTTAACTGAATACATTCCTTTTTCAGTTAAAGATTAATGAATAGTGAACATGTGTGAAAGATGACATGTGGGATTCACTTCCTGTTGCAGCTTTGTGCTTTTTTAGACCAATCCCCTGCTGGTTATGACTCCACTGTTGTACAATCAGAAATATCAGCTATGAGCTATACGGTGAACTCATCACATAAAGTCACAAACACACCTGATCTGACTGATATAAAACCTCGCTCTGTTTGTATGATGGATCTGCTGTGATTATCAGCAGCAACACTTCACTTGAGTTTTTCTTGAATTATAAGTAGACCGTTTTTCTCTTGTATATTTTTCTTAAAAATCACTGAACTCTTATCTTCTATTGTAAGCATATTATCACTGTACGCTGATGATATCCCGCTCTTCTTTGTTACCTTAAAGTGTGACAAAGCTTAAAGATCTGAACTATCATCACTTTTTCTCTAAGTTTTTAGACCTCACAACATATATAATATCACCAGCAGACTTCAGTGACATTATCGGCTGGTTTCCATTGTTTAATGAAACCATACTGGATTTAGCTCCTGTAGTGTTTGTTTATATCTTTTCACCACTACCAACCATGAACCACATTTACCAATTAACAATTGATGAAAAACTAAAGTAAATTATATATTTGTTCTTTTTGGGGGATCATGTCTGACTAATTCTTCTTTAATTAAATAAGAGACAAGGAAAACCACACAGACCTGACTTTAATGTAATGTTTTTATTGAATGAAACTCCTGAAATAATCAAAGAAACAAAAACCTAGACCATGTTTGAGAAGTGAAAGATAGCGAGAGAGACAGAGAGTTTAAACTGAGATCAGGAAGAGAGAAAAAACTGAATCAGGGTCCCAGTGAATCAGATCACTACTGGGGACACTGGTCTTTCCTCAAGGTCTGTGAGACTGGAGTCTGGGAGCCCTGGGTGGCCTCACAGGTCACAGAGCCCACCTTGTCCCACTGGTCTGCAGGGAGCCTCAGGGTGCTGCTCCAGGTGTATTTACCGTCCTTCTCCAACACTGCAGGGCTCCTGCTCTCCTCCCAGCTGCTGCTGCTGCTGCCGTCCACCTTCCAGGCCAGACTCCAGCCTGAGGGGAAGCCCTTGTTGGCCAGGCACATTAGCGTGGCCGTCCCCTGCTTCAGCTCCTCTTTGGAGGGGGGCAGCACTGTCAGGGTGGGACGGGCATCACCTAGGAGACAACAATCAGCTTAGAGGACAGGGAGCACACAGCTGTCAATCAAACAGCAGACACTGGGACAGCTTTAATGTTGAAAGTTGATTTTCTTCTTCGTGAACTTTGTGTCAGATGTGTTTTTCTGCTCCAGCACTCACTCACTCACTCACTCACTCACTCACTCACTCACTCACTCACTCACTCACTCACTCACTCACTCACTCACTCACTCACTCACTCACTCACTCACTCACTCACTCACTCACTCACTCATTGTTTCACTTCCCTTTATGAAGCCTCTCATGCACATCAGCACAGAGACTCTTATCACACAGAAGGAGCTCAGATACTGACAAACCCAACTGAAAATGACAGACATGATCCCAAATATTTACCAACTACATTTCTGTGTTGGTCATGTCAATTTGAATCAACAGAAAAGGAGGAAAAAGTTTTCAAAATCAAAATAGACACCAAACACTAAAAAACTTCAGAGAATATTTTCATTTTAAACTGATCAGTTTTACAAATTGTTGAAAATCTTGATTCACAAAAAAACCTTCAGAGTTATTACTTTGGTGCAAATTTCAAATGCATTTTTAAAAGGTGTTCATATACCTAATATGAGCCTTTCAACCATCAGCCTGTTGAACTTGAACTAAAACTAACAGTAAAGCTGTCCTGGGCTCACCTCCATAGTAAATGATGAGAAATTAAAGCATTCTTTCAGTTTAATCTAACAAGCAACATTTATCTGCATTGAACATGAAAAACACTTCTTCAGACTCAGATTGAAAAACTGTACAGAAACTTACTTCCAACATCCAGTCTGGTTCCTCCACCAAAAGTCAACCACAGTGATACAAACTAATGAAGCGGCCGTACAAAAACCTCTGACTGTAGAGAGACACGGCTCTCTGACTCTGACTGAACTAAACCTACCAGCCCTCAGGATGTCACTTTGTTCGCTCAAGTCAAAAGATTAAATAGTAAATTTGTAGTAAAAGACAAGCCTGACTTCAAAATCTGAAATTACTTTTTCTTCAGTACCTCTTGAATCCAAAGTGACATTTTTCTGTTTAAAAAAAAAAAAAAAAAAAAGAATTTAAAATAAAAAAAAAAAGTGACTTTTGTCCTACAGATTTTAAAAAGTCTCTAAAATGAAAAAAGGAAGAATATTTGACTTACTTCCAACATCCAGTCTGGTTCCTCCACCAAACGTGTACCACAGTGATACAAACTGATGAAGCGGCCGTACAAAAACCTCTGACTGTAGAGAGACACGGCTCTCTGACTCTGACACAAACAAAGTCACCTAAATGTGTGTCTGTCTGCAAGACCTTTGAGCTCCAATGAAAGCAGAGAATTCAACGTTGTACATTTGAATTGATCCAGTTTTTGAAGATCTTTATTGATTTACTGAATAGTTTACATTGTCATTGTCCTCAGCATCGAGCGAAGACTGAAGAAATCTCTTTAAATAAATGTATAAAGTAGAACAAACCTAAACCATCATTAGACAAGTCATGGACGCTTTTTGATCAATCAGTAATTAAATTTATTGATCCATTATTGATCATCATCATCTCTATAATCTAAGGCCCTGTCCGAGTTAATCTGAGTATTTCCATAGAGAGTGAGTTTGCATGAGCAGCAGCATGCTCCAGTGCTCTGAGAGACTTTATAGTCCTGAGAGTTGAAGACTGGATGACTGACAGCTGTCCTTCATCACAACAGAAGCCACAGAAATCCTCCTCATCAGAAACATGACTGTGATCTGCGTCCTCATCTGGACTCTCCTCTGCTGCTGCTTCACGGGTAAAGTCCAGAGAATCCAACTCCTCTCCTCCATGAACATCCGTGCGTCTGAAATGAAGCCCACAAAAACATGACAGTGCTTTCTGTGTTTGTCTCTCAGAGTCCAAAATTCAGGTCACAGTGACTCAGCCTGCAGCAGTGAGCTCTGCTCTGGGAGGAAACGCACAAATCAGCTGTACTACCAGTCAGGATCTTTACAGATACAGCGATGGCTACTATTTAGCCTGGTACCAACAGAAGGATGGAGAAACCCAGAAGCTGCTCATTCGCCGCACCAATGAGAGGATGTCAGGGATTCCAAGTCGTTTTTCAGGCAGTGGATCTGGATCTAGTTTCACTCTGACCATCAATGGAGTCCAGACTGAAGATGCAGCAGTTTACTACTGTCAAGGAGTATTTGATTCTTCAAAGTATGAGCTCTTCACACAGTGAAAAAGTGTCGTACAAAAACCTCCCTCAGTCAGACTGAACACACAGCTGCAGTCCCTGTAGACCTTGATACACTTCAGTGAGGATTCATACACATGCCACACACATCTACACACACTAACACACAGGCACACAGCAATCCTTATCAAGAATGGTCCAAGCTGAACTCCTTTAAGCCACCTGATTACTTTGTATGTTTATGATCCTCTGGTATTTATTCATAATGACCAAAAACTCTTTTAGTTTGGAACTTAAATGACTGACAACAGCCGAAGTTTGCTCAGTAAAATTTTTGATCAATAAGTGGTGAGCTTAAGGTTTATTTTCTATTTCTATTTATTTTCATTATTGTTGTTATTATTATTATTATTATTATTATTATTATTAATGATTTCATTTAAAAAAAATCTTTTAGTTCTTTATTTGATATTTAATTAGGATTGTTTTCTCTTTGTAAACCAGATTTTATCCTCAAAAAGTCTTTTTACTTTATTCATGATTTGATTTCTATCAATGGGGATAGATTTTAGTTAATTCCCTGTGTTTAAGATGCTTGGACCTTTTCGTATTCTGAAATCAACAAAGTTATTGAAAAGCATGCCACACTGAAGACTGTTAGAGTCGAAGACACTTGCCCTGGATCATTTCTGAACTAATTGCTCTTTTTAAACAGAGGGATAAAGCATCGACTAGATATCGCTCACCTAGAGACCCTTCTTACTGGAACACGTATAAATCATTTAGAAATGAATGTAAACACAAACACAAAGTCCAATTACTACAAAGATGGTTTGTCCCCAAATTTTCATAATCCAAGACAGTTTTGGAATGAATCACTGAATCGTGTTCTCAACAGAAATAACAAAAAAACCTTCTAACCAGATTCAATTTAATAATGGGCATATATCTGATCCCTCAAGACTGGTTCAGTAAGAACAAACTTGTATTGAACAAAAAGAAGTCCTGCAGTATGATATTCAGTTTCTCACCTCTGATATCATCCAGTTGATTTTCACATTCATTTTCCCCATGGATCTCCTGTTGATAAAGTTGAATCATTTGAATATCTTGGACTTTGGATTGACCCAGAACTGACCTTCACTTCAGAAAGTCATTGTATTCCCATCTCAAAACAAATTACTCATGTTTCTGATTTATTTTCTTTGCTTTTTTATTGCATTTATGTTCACATTATTTATCCTTGTAAAAATGTTATGTCTATTTTGTTTGTTAAGTGAATGTTGGACAAAAACTGTTTTCAGTCTGGATGCATTTGTTTAAAGGTTGATGACATGCTGAATGAATAATGCTCTTTTTGAGTGTGTGTATATACTCATACTTGAGTGACACATTTATCCTTCTCAGCCCTCCTTTTTCATGACATAGATGATCAATTTTTAAATTCTACTCAGATATTAAGGACACTTCTTAACCTAAACCTTGACAGTGAAAATAGTGTATGCAGGGGTGGATCTAGGCTCCTAGGCGATCAGGGGCTTAGCCCTGAGGGTGCGGATGCCAATTTACTTATTCTGTCTTGTTTTGCTACCACGCACACAAAACAGCATTTTTTTTTTACTTCAACTTACCACCAATTCAAAGCCGGCAAAAGACACAGAGAAGAACACTTAAGAATTCAGACCTTTTAATGATGCAAATGTCCTACCACTAGCCTTGTTGAAGTCACTGTCTTATGTCATGAACATATGCCTCATGTCCACTGTAGAAGAAAATATAAAACACATAGTTATTCAGACTGATCATAAACTAAAGATGTGAAATAAAGTACAATAAAATGCATCTTTTTTCTTTACCGCTATACCTCTGATTCTGGCTGGCACCTCTGTTGTCCTTTACTGCTCTGTTCTTCAATCTTTTATTCTCGACCTTTTTTCATCTGCTTTCTTTTGCTTTCTCCCAAAGTTTTTGTGTGATTTCCATTTCTGTTCAATTTTTCCCCTACTTTCTCTTCACTCCTTCCTCTCCTTTGTCTTCCTCACTCTTTGAATACATTTCAGAGCTGTCCTCTTGTCTTGTCATGCCTCCTCTTCTGCTTTTGAATGTTGTTGGTCATCTCCTGTATTTTCCTCTTCACTCACTCATGAACTAAAATTCAAAAATAACTATTTACAAATAAGACCTATAAAACATCCAGATATATTGTTTTTGTAACAAATAGCCATTTGACTCCCTTTCTCCTATTCACTCTCCTGACCTATTTTTTCATAGTTATTTTTTGTTGCGCAGCCTTTGCTGACAGTGTGTTCATGTCTGTGCTCATCCAAGGTCATGCAACACTCACAGAAATCGCCAATAGTGTGAGCCAAAACACTCATTGTAAAGAGGTTGTTCACACTGCTGGATGCTTGTCCTCTGAAGCTGCTCTCTGCCTCTGTTATTGTTTACTTCATTTTTCATTTCATTTCATATACTTAACGTGGACTCTCTGATGGGTCTGCGGTCGTAAGAGGAACAGTAACATTTACAAACACACCACAGTCACAACCTGTCACCATCACATTCAAACGGCCTTATTGCACAGTTCCAGTGAATAAACAAATAAATAAAGGACAGTGTAAAAGACAGTTAAGAGAGAAGTCGCAACTACATCTGTGCATTCAGGATCTTAACAGATGTTCGGATAAAAGAGTGTTTAAAACGGTTAAGCCTGCATCAGGGCCTCTGAATCTCCTCCCAGAGGGAAGCAAATGGTACTCTGCATGGAGACAATGAGTTGGATCAGACAGAATTTTCCGTGCTTGTGTCACGATGGATTGTTCGAAAATAGTTTGGAGAGGAGCGTGATTTTTAACATTCATTATTTTCATTGCCTGTTGTACCAGACGGTTTAACTGTGTCTTCAGCTGTATGGACAAGTTACCGTACCAAGCTGTGATTCCGTACCTTATAATACTCCCCACAACAGCATGGTAGAACAACAGCATGACCTTCTGCTTGACACTAAAAACTCTCAGTCTGGGCAGGACTGAAAGAACTGTTGCAGTCTGGAGCAGAGACTCTCCACGCGGGCCCTCCGGCTGAATGTGTCATCAATGTGAACTCCCAGATATTTATAGGATCTGACCTGAGTGATGGGTTCATTGAGGATGACCACCGGTCTTATGTCATCCACGGCTTTGTGATTGAACACCATGGGCTCTATTTTCGTGTACGCCAGTGAGGCGACGGAGAGCGGCGAGTCCTGCGCAGTTGTATTTTCGTCTGGCGCAGCCCAGCATACAGCCAGTTTGGTATTTTTGTGGACTGAGGCGCACGGAGGTGAACCGAGATCAGCCAAGCTGGGCGTGGTGGCATGGCAGGGGGAGGTGTCGACAAATCAGATGAAATCTCGTGAAAAAGTTGTTCAGTTCATTTGATTTTTGCAGGTCATCAGGAGTGCTAATACCCTTTTTGGCTGGGGTCATATAAGTGATGGCTTTCATAGTGTCCCACAGCTTGTTGATGTTCGTAGCATGACAGTTTTGTTCAATGATTTCCTTATGTCTGTTCCTTGCTTCCCTGAGCTTGCAGTTGAGTTCTTTTAAAAGCCATCTTTTTACGGTAAATACACTCTTTAACCTTTTTGCTTATGTAGATTTTGTTGTTTGGGTACACAGTTACTTTTTTATGAGGTATAACATTGTCCACGCAGAACTGAATATAGTTAACAGTCTCAGCAGCATTATTCACATCCATCTTGTGAAAGATGCTCCACTCAGTTGACAGAAAGCATCCCTTGAGAGCTTCAATGCTGTCACTGGTCCAGTTTATGACAGTTTTGGTTTGTGGTTTGCTGTGTTTGAGAGCAGTTCTGTAAGTGGGTATGAGATGCACCGTGTTGTGATCAGAATTTGATAATGGAGGTTTGGCCTTGCCCATGTATGCATTGTTCACATTGCCATAGCATTTGTCCAGTATTTTATCCTCCCGTGTACCACATTTGATGTACTTGTAGCTGCCTCTGTGTCAGTTAATGCTGTTTGATGTAAGTTCCTACCTGTTTTGTTTTTTGGTTCCTACCTACCTGCATGGAGGTTGATGACGCGGAACTTTCCATGTGGCGCCGTTTTCCGCCCAGACATTTTTGACCGCTGCACTCATTGAAAAAAGGGCTCCGCGGCTGAAGCGCTACTACCGAGTGTTGTTGTGTCGTTAAAAAACACGTTCAAGTCGGCGACAATGTTCATAATTCCCTCTAAGGACATGTGTACAGCCATTGAGTTCTCACGTTGGTTTACCCGGTTACAGGAATAAATCATCAGTACCATTGAGAAGGAGTTGCTGTCTATTCATGCATATCAGAGGGCATTACAGAACTGTTGAAAACCTGGAAGTGCTAACTCCAGTTTACAATGGTTAAAATCTAAAATAAAAATAGGAGCCTCTGGGGTGCATAATAGTTGATTGTGTACACAGTCAGTGATTTGAGCAGCAGCACTTGCAGCGTTGCCGCTGGGTGGGACATATACAGTGCAGAGAATGATGCACCCGAACTCACTGGGTAAATACATTAGTCTCAGGCTCAAACACTTACAGGACTGTCTCAGAAAATTAGAATATTGTGATAAAGCTCTTTATTTTCTGTCATGCAATTAAAAAAACAAAAATGTCATACATTCTGGATTCATTACACATCAACTGAAATATTGGAAGCCTTTTATTATTTAAATATTGCTGATTATGGCATACAGCTTAAGAAAACTCAAAAATCCTATCTCAAAAAAATTAGAATATTTCCTCAGACCAAGTAAAAAAAAAAGATTTATAAGAGCAAAACAAAATCAAACATTTGAAAATGTCAATTAATACACTCAGTACTTGGTTGGGAATCCTTTTGCACGGATTACTGCATCAATGCGGCGTGGCATGGAGGCAATCAGCCTGTGGCATTGCTGAGGTGTTATGGATGCCCAGGATGCTTCAATAGTGGCCTTGAGCTCATTTGCATTGTTGGGTCTGGTGTCTTTCAGCTTCTTCTTCACAATACCCCACAAATTCTCTATGGGGTTCAGGTCAGGGGAGTTGGCAGGCCAATCAAGGACAGTAATGCCATGGTCAGTACACCAGTTACTGGTGGTTTTGGCACTGTGGGCAGGTGCCAGATCATGCTGGAAAATGAAATCATCATCTCCATAGAACTTTTCAGCAGACGGAAGCATGTAGTGCTCTAAAATCTCTTGGTACACAGCTGCATTGACTCTGGACTTGATGAAACACAGTGGACCAACACCAGCAGCTGACATGGCTCCCCAAACCATCACTGACTGTGGGAACTTCACACTGGATTTCAAGCAACTTGGATTTTGCTCCTCTCCAACCTTCCTCCAGACTCTGGCGCCTTGACTTCCAAATGAAATACAAAACTTTCATCTGAAAAGAGGACTTTGGACCACTCTGCAACTGTCCAATGCTTCTTTTCCATAACCCAAGTCAGACGCTTCTTCCGTTGTCTTGAGTTCAGGAGTGGCTTGACCATGGGAATAAGCCTATTGTAGCCCATTTCCCGAACACGTCTGTGAACAGTGGCTTTTGATACCTGGACTCCAGCTTCAGTCCACTGTCTTTGAAGCTCCCCCAAATTCTGGAAGCTGCTCTTCTTCACAATGCTGTTAAGGCTGCGGTCCTCTCTCTTGGTTGTGCAGCGTTTCCTGCCACATTTCCCCCTTCCAACAGACTTTTTGTGAATGTGCTTTGAAACTGCACTCTGTGAACAGCCTGCTCTTTTAGAAATTTCTTTTTGTGTCTTACCCTCCTGATGGAGGGTGTCAATGATGGTCCTCTGGACAGCAGTCAGGTCAGCAGTCTTCCCCATACTTGTGATTTAGTTTACTGAACCAAGCTGAGTGTTTTTAAAGGCTCAGGAAACCCTTGCAGGTGTTTCAAGTTAATTAGGCGACTCAAGTGATTAGTTAAATAGCCTATTAGTATACTTTTTCATGATATTCTAATTTTTTGAGATAGGATATTTGAGTTTTCTTAAGCTGTATGCCATAATCAGCAATATTAAAAAAATTAAAAGGCTTGCAATATTTCAGTTGATGTGTAATGAATCCAGAATGTATGACATTTTCATGTTTTTAGTTGCATTACAGAAAATAAAGGACTTTATCACAATATTCTAATTTTCTGAGACAGTCCTGTAAGTTCCACATCAGAATTGCACAGGGTCTTGCAGAGTGTGTACTATCTGCACCACTTGTCATTGATAAAAACACAAATTTCACAACCACGGCTTTTCCCGAAGCTTCGCTCCTGTCAGAGCAGATGAGGGAGAAACCCTCCAGTTCACATACCACATCAGGGATGTCTCAGTAAAAACCAGCAGGGATGCCTCACGATACTTGTGGCAGACTCTGGTGTTGATGCACAGCTCCTCCATTTTCCGCTGCAGCGCCCTGACGTTGCCAAGGATCATGGAGGGCAGGGGCGGTCTGTTTCCCTGGCGTCTGAGACGCTGGTGGATTCCTCCTCTCCTTCCCCTTTTCCAGAGCCATGTCCTCCTCAGCACCCTTCGGATGATATCCTCAGGCAGGTCCGGGGGAGACAGGAGTCCCATGGGTCGTAGAGCCAGCAGCACTTCCCTGCTGTATGAGGGAGCTAGGTTGTTGTTGCCCCCACGTGCTGGCATTGTTTGGCATGGCAGGAGGAGTCTGAGGATGATGAAAAGTGCTGATAAAAGTTGTGCCAGGGACGCCATTCCATACAGCGACAACACAGAAACAGACTCAACAGGCTTCAAACGACTTAAAAACGACTTAAAACGAACAAAACATAAAACTGCAGCACACCACAGGAGGAGTCAGGGTCGCCACAGTGCAGCGCCATCAAAAGTTGTACTTTCCTCGCAAAGCACGTAGCAAGATCCGAGCATGAATCTGATCGCTTTATTAAGCTTTATTAGCCTATCAGAGGCAGACGGGTATGACGATTTGATTCACCATGACTCCAAAAATGATTGAGAAACTACAGAATGTTACAAAATGACATATCCGCACACCCGGCTTGAAGAGTAGACATGCGCAACGGCCCTGCCAGTGTTGTGCCATAGAATGCACCCCTGCCGCAGAATGCACCCACTGACGGGAGCGCAGTTGAAAGTACATAACAAGGCGAAGTAAGTTTTCCTTACTGTTTGACAGTAAACTGAAAACAATAGCCCTCTGATTTGGAATATTTGCTGCCCTAAAAATATAATGTTCTCTACCTTAACAGCTCACTGTACAGTTTATATACCCAAGTACACCTCTGTGTGAGCATTTTTGGGACACATAAAAACAAAACGAAAGTTTGCTGCTCCATTTGACATGTTGTCGTGATCCAATACTTGTTTTTTTTTTAATATGAGATCATTTTCTTCCACTTTAAGAATCTAATGAGTGGATGGGATGCATTCTACAGCAGGGGTGCATTCTACAGCATAACACCTGGCTTGGAAGGTTGAAATGCGTTCACGCTTCTCCCGGCATGAAGGGTTGTAATATCTACATGCTCCCGGCTTTCCGAGTAGAAATGCGCAGTTGAAATGCGTACATGCTGTCCCAGTTTAAATGGGTTAAAATTTGCCGTGGAGACACTTGACTGGTCGTTAGACGCTGGCTGTAGAGTAGAGGAGTAGTAATAGCCACTAGAGGGAAACGCTTCTTCATCCGAACAGGAAGGCTACAGGCTGCTTTCCTGCACATGCTGCCACTCTCTGGTGAACTCAAGTACTGCACATTAACCTCAGGCCAGCTCAGATCCGAGATCCGGGGCTCTTGAGAAAACATCCGGGGCTTGAGCCCTAGTAGTCACCCCCTAGATCCGCCACTGAGTTTATGTATGCATGTGTTGGGTGTGTGTAAGTGTGTGTAGATGTGTATGAATCCTCACTGAAGTGTTTCAGTGTCTGCAGGAACTTCAGCTGCAGCTGTATGCTCAGTCTGACTGAGGGAGGTTTCACTGTGTGAACCACTCATACTTTGAAGAATCAAATTCTCCTTTACAGTAGTAAATTGCTGCATCTTCAGTCTGGACTCCACTGATGGTCAGAGTGAAACTAGATCCAGATCCACTGCCTGAAAAACGACTTGATATCCCTGATAACAGCTGATTAGTATACTTAATGAGCAGTTTAGGAGTTTCTCCATTCTTCTGTTGGTACCAGTGCAGCTGGTTATTGCTATAAGCATTGTGATTGGTCCCACATGAGATGGTGACAGAGGTTCCCAGGGCAGAGCTCACTGCTGCAGGCTGAGTCACTGTGACCTGAATTTTGGACTCTGAGAGACAAACACAGAAAGCAGCGTCATGGTTTTGTGGGCTTCATTTCAGACGCACGGATGTTCATGGAGGAGAGGAGTTGGACTTTACCTGTGAAGCAGCAGCAGAGGAGAGTCCAGATGAGGACGCAGATCACAGTCATGTTTCTGATAAGGAGGATTTCTGTGGCTGCTGTTGTGATGAAGGACAGCTGTCAGTCATCCAGTCTTCAATTCTCAGGACTATAAAGTCTCCAAGAGCACTGGAGCATACTGCTGCTCATGCAAACTCACTCTCTATGGAAATAACTCTTATCATTTGATTACTTAGCGCATTGATTACAAAGAGTTATACTGCCAACTTATCCTCTTTAAACATACTCTTAAGAGCTTTCAGCAACATTTGAAGACACTCAAATGGTCAGATCATATAAAGCAGATTTTTATACCAAAACATTTATAATAAAATCAAGTGAAACACGATAAATTGTCTTTATATATGAAACTATTAGTATCTGCCATGACAAAAAATATATACATTTCTAGTGCAAAAATTTTCACTTACATCCTTTGGGACAACAGGACCATAAAATTCGGGGGGTGTTACATCAAAATATGTCCCTCCCTGCAAAAGCATCAAGGACATTATTTTGTTAGTGGGCCCCTCAAACAGGAGGACCTTGTATACTCAGGACCTTTACACCCTCAGTCTGACGCCCCGAATAATAACATGGGGATCTTCAAATAAAGCTGGGGTACCATAAACTACAGACCTTTTAAGTCAGATTAAAAATACAATCTCTGTCACACCTGCAGGTCTCCATCCCAGCCTCTGAGTGAATGTCGCATGAACTGTGTCTGACTCTCTGCTGACAAATACACCTGGTATTTGTTTAAAGTTAGTTTCATTAAGTTATCCTCCTTTCCAGAAAGATCCAGGTATCAGAACAAAACCAGGGGCTTTGGCAGTTTCTCTGATTTCTTCAACAAGTCTTGTGAAAAGCCACTATTGCAAACGTTCAGTATCTCCTATCATTATGAACTGAACTGAATAAATCGGGATGATGAAACTTCATAAATCCAACACAAAGCGACAGTAGGAGGGTCTGTGCAAGATGAGATGAAACCTATGTCAAATATTTCACTTCCTCCTCTGAGCTCAGTAACCATAGAAACAGAGACACATCACTGCTTGACCGTGACAGCAGGCAAGTTTCAGATTAAAAGTGACAAAGTGGGACAGCATGACTGTTTCAGTCCCACATTAAACAAATTTAATGTGAGACTGAAACCTTCATGCTGTCAAAGCTGTTATACTAATAATAATAATAAAATGTTGAGGACAGTTTCAGATCACTGACTCTGAGTGTTTGCATATGTGTCCTTCCTCTCTGCTCTCAGCTGTTAAGAGGTCAGAGTTGATCAGTCGCTGTCCAAACCCTTCAGAGACACTGACACGTCCAGAACACAATGATGGAGTTACTTATTGGACTGGTGGCCGCCCTGGGGCTCCTCATTCACGGTGAGGATCACTGCTGAGACAGTTTGTGATCTCCCTTCTCCATGTTGAAGAGATGATCCTCTTCTGTTTGGACATTGGTCGTCTTCTTCAAGGACACTGAATAACCATTTCCTCTTTTTCTTGTATCTCAGGTTCATCAGGAGAAATTATCCTGACTCAGTCTCCTGGAGCTCAGTCTTTTCTTCAAGGACAGACGGTTTCTGTCAGATGTAAATCCAGCACACTTATAGGTGATGACATCAACTGGTACCTTCAGAAACCAGGAGAGCCTCCCAAACTCCTCTTTGCTGATACTACATATCGTCAGTCTGGAGTTCCTGATCGTTTCAGTGCGACGGCACAACAGACTGACTTCACTTTGACCATCAGAGGAGTACAGACTGAAGATGCAGGAGTTTATTATTGTCAGCAGCGTAACAGCCGCCCGTTCACACAGTGAAAAAGCGTCGTACAAAAACCTCCTCAGCTAAAGAGGAACTGAACTGACTGAACATCTGCACAGTAACAGAGACACAGAGACAACCAGGTCCATGAAACAGAGCACTAAGAGTGAATACTTTCTATAGAAAACGTGTAAAATCATTATTTAAAATATATGTTTGAACACTCTACATCTATTTGAGATGTTTAATGTTGTTTCATCCCAGAAGTGATTCATCCTACCATAATGAAATGATGTCATTATTGTGATATACTCTCATAATAGTCCTGGAGTTTAATGTGCCATTTTATTATTACCTTATGATGATCTCAATATGACAAAAAGCACTGAAACAGGGGTTAGTATAATTATCTTTTAATTAACAAGTTTTTATTAAACTTCACAGAAAAGTTCACAGAGTGCAGTATGAAGAAGTGTAAAGAACTCACGTCACTGTTTTCAGTCAGTTTTAGCACAAACTCATTGTTTCTGATTCTGACATTTCAACTTCAGACAAAGAGGTTTTAACAAATCCACCATTTTTCTGTCTGTGCAAGAATCTGGATCCTATCTCAAGATTTATTAACAGGCTTTATATCAAGACAAGTACTGAGCAGAGTTTCCCCCATACTATAACAGATTGTGTCCTTATAAATCAGATGTTACAGATCCATCAAATGAAATCAATGATCCTGGAATAAATACACATCAAATCAAATATCCAAATATGCCCTGATGCTATATCTTAAAATTAACAGGCTCAGTGGTTGTTTGGAGTATTTCCAAATCTGTGGTATTTCATCACTCGTGTCACTGAAGCTGTTAAAGTGTCTGTGAAGGACGTTCATATTAACATCCTCTCTGACGGTCATTTGAGGAGTTTGATTTCATCTTCTTCAAGCCAAAATGTAAATCTGTAGGGCGGTGGTCTGAGCACTGAGGGGGAAACACTGTAGGAGGCTGAGAGCAGCTCCAGTTGACTGACTCTGTGTTTGCATATATCAGGTCTTTCTCTTCAGCCGTTAAGAGGCCAGACTTGATCAGTGGCCACCCAGACCCTTCAGACAGGGACACAACAGCAGCAGTACAATGAAGATGTCATTGATCCTCCTAATAGCCACCCTCAGGCTCCTTATTCATGGTGAGGATCACTTCTGAAAAGTGTTCAGACAACTCCCATCAGCTTGTCTCCATGTTAAAGAAATGATACTCTTCTGTTCGTCTCTTCTATTGTCTTTCTCCAAGCTGGACTTGTCTCAGTGATTCATCTCCTCCCCTTTTTTCCCCCAGGTACTTCAGGAGAAATTATCCTGACTCAGTCTCCTGGAGCTCAGTCTTTTCTTCCAGGACAGACGGTTTCTATCAGATGTAAATCCAGTTCAAGCATTAGTATTTACCTTCACTGGTACCTTCAGAAACCTGGAGAATCTCCCAAACTCTTGATTCGTTATGCTTCAACTCATCAGTCTGGAGTTTCAGATCGTTTCAGTGGGAGTGGATCTGGGACTGACTTTACTCTGACCATCAGTGGAGTCCGACTGAAGATTCAGGAGTTTGTTATTGTCAACAGGTTAACAGCTTCCCGTTCACACAGTGAAAAAGTGTCGTGCAAAAACCTCCTCAGCTAAAAAGGAACTGATCTAAATGAACATCAGCAGAGACACTGAAACACTACATTTAATAAACAGATATATTTATAGTAGATCTCCTCTAACTCACATTTCTCCAATCTTCATTCTTGCTTGCATTACTGGTCCAATTACAGGGTTATTGATACAGAGTACATTGTGATACAAATATCTGATGAATGACACATTTAATTTTAAATTTGGTTTTCATTTAAGCATGCCAAGAATTTTATTTTTAAACTCAGTTTCATTTATTTAATAACAAGATTAAAAAATATCTAATTCTGTTTTTTTTATTCTGTATTTATTAAAACATAATTTATTTCACTAAAATGGTCAGTAAGTGCATAAACCAGTATTGCTCTTATTTCTGCTTCATCTGAAGGTCTGAATACCTGAAGACATCTCACTGATGATATTCAAGAGTCAAAATGCTCCAAAAGTTTGTTTTGCATCTGATTAAGGAGATTAGCCGTCAGTATCTCTGCTGCACAGAGCTGCACTGGGCACTCACATCCTGACTAAGGTCATTCTGTCCAGATACAGATGAAGAGCTGAATGAGGAGGAACAATGACTGGATTATTTTACACTTTATATCCAGTTTCGTTTTTGGTGAGGCCTTGGAAAGATCAGCTCCTTCAAGTTCAAACACTCAGTTGTGGCTCAGCTCGTATGTGCAGGAGTCGAACCTCAGACAGCTCCAGACTGATGTAACCTCTGATTATCACAGTCATAATAAAGTCAAAGTGACATTAACAGAATTAATGTGAAGATCATTGAGCTCATCCAGAGGTTCGATTGTTGTCATGATCACTGGAAAATGTAAGTGAGTTATTTCTTATAGATACTGCTGCACAGTTACCACCAACTCTCTGCAGACACTATCAACTCTCTATAACTGACTGCTGGCACCAGTATCAGTCAATTTCATATTAATTAGCAATCAGGTCAATTATTAAAGCAGAAAGTCAGTTTTTCAGTCCAGCCATATGTAGATAATAATAGACTTTATGTTTGTAATCTTGATAAATGAAGCACAGGACAGTAAACAGTGTGTTCCTGTAAGTATCTGCTGGAAAGGTTTTGGTAAAGTGATGAAATCCTTTCAGCATAAGAATAAAAAAAACCTCATGATTTATGATGAAGTATTACAGTCTAAATTTAAGGCAGTAACATGTGAGTGCTACCAAATGAAATGTACCAACATAGGTGATTTAATGAGCATGGATTTATTCTGACAGTCATGAAAACTGAGGCTGTTAATTCTGCTGACATAAACAAGAAATAGAGCTCTCATTATTTTCTGTTGAGTCGAGTCTAACTTTTTTAAAAATGCTTAAAAAATGAACGAATTTCAAACTTGAGTCAAAAAGCAGACCACTGTTATGATAAACAGAAGAAAATCTTTATTGTTTTAAAATAATGAATCCATCAGCAGAAGCAGGAACACTGAAACATGATGACTGAAGGACAGAACCAGAGACAGAGAGTTTAGACTGAGAGCAGGACGAGAGGAAAAACTGAATCAGGGTCCCAGTGAATCAGATCACTGCTGGGGACACTGGTCTCTCCTCAGGGTCTGTGAGACCGGAGTCTGGGAGCCCTGGGTGGCCTCACAGGTCACAGAGCCCATCTTGTCCCACTGGTCTGCAGGGAGCCTCAGGGTGCTGCTCCAGGTGTATTTACCGTCCTTCTCCAACACTGCAGGGCTCCTGCTCTCCTCCCAGCTGCTGCTGCTGCTGCCGTCCACCTTCCAGGCCAGACTCCAGCCTGAGGGGAAGCCCTTGTTGGCCAGGCACATGAGCGTGGCCGTCCCCTGCTGCAGCTCCTCTTTGGAGGGGGGCAGCACCGTCAGGGTGGGACGGGCATCACCTAGGAGACAACAATCAGCTTAGAGGACAGGGAGCACACAGCTGTCAATCAAACAGCAGACACTGGGACAGCTTTCATGTTGAAAGTTGATTTTCTTCTTCATGGGCTTTGTGTCAGATGTGTTTTTCTGCTCCAGCACTCACTCACTCACTCACTCACTCACTCACTCACTCACTCACTCACTCACTCACTCACTCACTCACTCACTCACTCACTCACTCACTCACTCACTCACTCACTCACTCACTCACTCATTGTTTCACTTCCCTTTATGAAGCCTCTCATGCACATCAGCACAGAGACTCTAATCACACAGAAGGAGCTCAGATACTGACAAACCCAACTGAAAATGACAGACATGATCCCAAATATTTACCAACTACATTTCTGTGTTGGTCATGTCAATTTGAATCAACAGAAAAGGAGGAAAACGTTTTCAAAATCAAAATAGACATCAAACACTAAAAAACTTCAGAGACTATTTTCATTTTTAACTGATCAGTTTTACAAATTGTTGAAAATCTTGATTCACAAAAAAAACCTTAAAACCCCTTAAAAGTTATTCAAATACCTAATATGAGCCTTTCAACCATCAGCCTGTTGAACTTGAACTAAAACTAACAGTAAAGCTGTCCTGGGCTCACCTCCATAGTAAATGATGAGAAATTAAAGCATTCTTTCAGTTTAATCTAACAAGCAACATTTATCTGCATTGAACATGAAAAACACAACTTCAGACTCAGATTGAAAAACTGTACAGAAACTTACTTCCAACATCCAGTCTGGTTCCTCCGCCAAAAGTCAACCACAGTGATACAAACTAATGAAGCGGCCGTACAAAAACCTCTGACTGTAGAGAGACACGGCTCTCTGACTCTGACTGAACTAAACCTACCAGCCCTCAGGATGTCACTTTGTTCGCTCAAGTCAAAAGATTAAATAGTAAATTTGTAGTAAAAGACAAGCCTGACTTCAAAATCTGAAATTACTTTTTCTTGAGGATCTTTTAAATCCAAAGTGACATTTTTCTATTTTCTTAAAGGTAAAAAAATGAGTTTAAAATAAAGAAAAAATGGGACTTTTGTCCTACAGATTTTAAATTCAAAGCTAGGAAGCCTCTGAAACCAAAAAAGGAAGAATATTTGACTTACTTCCAAGATCCAGTCTGGTTCCTCCACCAAACGTGTACCACAGTGATACAAACTGATGAAGCGGCCGTACAAAAACCTCTGACTGTAGAGAGACACGGCTCTCTGACTCTGACACAAACAAAGTCACCTAAATGTGTGTCTGTCTGCAAGACCTTTGAGCTCCAATGAAAGCAGAGAATTCAACGTTGTACATTTGAATTGATCCAGTTTTTGAAGATCTTTATTGATTTACTGAATAGTTTACATTGTCATTGTCCTCAGCATCGGGCGAAGACTGATGAAATCTCTTTAAATAGATGTATAAAGTAGAACAAACCTAAACCATCATTAGACAAGTCATGGACGCTTTTTGATCAATCAGGAATTAAATTTATTGATCCATTATTGATCATCATCATCCCTATAATCTAAGGCCCTGTCCGAGTTAATCTAGGTATTTCCATAGAGAGTGAGTTTGCATGAGCAGCAGCATGCTCCAGTGCTCTGAGAGACTTTATAGTCCTGAGAGTTGAAGACTGGATGACTGACAGCTGTCCTTCATCACAACAGAAGCCACAGAAATCCTCCTCATCAGAAACATGACTGTGATCTGCGTCCTCATCTGGACTCTCCTCTGCTGCTGCTTCACAGGTAAAGTCCAGAGAATCCAACTCCTCTCCTCCATGAACATCCGTGCGTCTGAAATGAAGCCCACAAAAAACATGACGCTGCTTTCTGTGTTTGTCTCTCAGAGTCCAAAATTCAGGTCACAGTGACTCAGCCTGCAGCAGTGAGCTCTGCTCTGGGAGGAAACGCACAAATCAGCTGTACTACCAGTCAGGATCTTTACAGACACAGCGATGGCTACTATTTAGCCTGGTACCAACAGAAGGATGGAGAAACTCCGAAGCTGCTCATTCGCCGCACCAATGAGAGGATGTCAGGGATTCCAGGTCGTTTTTCAGGCAGTGGATCTGGATCTAGTTTCACTCTGACCATCAGTGGATTCCAGACTGAAGATGCAGCAGTTTACTACTGTCAGAGTTATTATTGGCTCAGTGATCAACATAGAGAGTTCACACAGTGAAAAAGTGTTGTACAAAAACCTCCTCAGCTAAAGAGGAACTGATCTAAATGAACATCAGCAGAGACACTGAAACACTACATTTAATAAACAGATATACTTATAGTAGATCTCCTTTATCTCACATTTCTCCAATCTTCATTCTTGCTTGCATTACTGGTCCAATTTCAGGGTTAGTGATACAGAGTACATTGTGATACAAATAGCTGATAAAGGACACATTTAATTTTAAATTTGGTTTTCATTTAAGTATGCCAAGAATTTTATTTTTAAACTCAGTATCATTAATTTATTAACAACATTAAAAATATCTAATACTGTTTTTTTTATTCTGTATTTATTAAAACATAATTTATTTCACTAAAATGGTCAGTAAGTGCATAAACCAGTATTGCTCTTATTTCTGCTTCATCTGAAGGTCTGAATACCTGAAGACATCTCACTGATGATATTCAAGAGTCAAAATGCTCCAAAAGTTTGTTTTGCATCTGATTAAGGAGATTAGCCGTCAGTATCTCTGCTGCACAGAGCTGCACTGGGCACTCACATCCTGACTAAGGTCATTCTGTCCAGATACAGATGAAGAGCTGAATGAGGAGGAACAATGACTGGATTATTTTACACTTTATATCCAGTTTCGTTTTTGGTGAGGCCTTGGAAAGATCAGCTCCTTCAAGTTCAAACACTCAGTTGTGGCTCAGCTCGTATGTGCAGGAGTCGAACCTCAGACAGCTCCAGACTGATGTAACCTCTGATTATCACAGTCATAATAAAGTCAAAGTGACATTAACAGAATTAATGTGAAGATCATTGAGCTCATCCAGAGGTTCGATTGTTGTCATGATCACTGGAAAATGTAAGTGAGTTATTTCTTATAGATACTGCTGCACAGTTACCACCAACTCTCTGCAGACACTATCAACTCTCTATAACTGACTGCTGGCACCAGTATCAGTCAATTTCATATTAATTAGCAATCAGGTCAATTATTAAAGCAGAAAGTCAGTTTTTCAGTCCAGCCATATGTAGATAATAATAGACTTTATGTTTGTAATCTTGATAAATGAAGCACAGGACAGTAAACAGTGTGTTCCTGTAAGTATCTGCTGGAAAGGTTTTGGTAAAGTGATGAAATCCTTTCAGCATAAGAATAGAAAAAACCTCATGATTTATGATGAAGTATTACAGTCTAAATTTAAGGCAGTAACATGTGAGTGCTACCAAATGAAATGTACCAACATAGGTGATTTAATGAGCATGGATTTATTCTGACAGTCATGAAAACTGAGGCTGTTAATTCTGCTGACATAAACAAGAAATAGAGCTCTCATTATTTTCTGTTGAGTCGAGTCTAACTTTTTTAAAAATGCTTAAAAAATGAATGAATTTCAAACTTGAGTCAAAAAGCCGGACCACCGTTATGATAAACAGAAGAAAATCTTTATTGTTTTAAAATAATGAATCCATCAGCAGAAGCAGGAACACTGAAACATGATGACTGAAGGACAGAACCAGAGACAGAGAGTTTAGACTGAGAGCAGGACGAGAGGAAAAACTGAATCAGGGTCCCAGGGAATCAGATCACTGCTGGGGACACTGGTCTTTCCTCAGGGTCTGTGAGACCGGAGTCTGGGAGCCCTGGGTGGCCTCACAGGTCACAGAGCCCACCTTGTCCCACTGGTCTGCAGGGAGCCTCAGGGTGCTGCTCCAGGTGTATTTACCGTCCTTCTCCAACACTGCAGGGCTCCTGCTCTCCTCCCAGCTGCTGCTGCTGCTGCTGTCCACCTTCCAGGCCAGACTCCAGCCTGAGGGGAAGCCCTTGTTGGCCAGGCACATGAGCGTGGCCGTCCCCTGCTGCAGCTCCTCTTTGGAGGGGGGCAGCACCGTCAGGGTGGGACGGGCATCACCTAGGAGACAACAATCAGCTTAGAGGACAGGGAGCACACAGCTGTCAATCAAACAGCAGACACTGGGACAGCTTTAATGTTGAAAGTTGATTTTCTTCTTCATGGGCTTTGTGTCAGATGTGTTTTTCTGCTCCAGCACTCACTCACTCACTCACTCACTCACTCACTCACTCACTCACTCACTCACTCACTCACTCACTCACTCACTCACTCACTCACTCACTCACTCACTCACTCACTCACTCACTCACTCACTCACTCACTCACTCACTCATTGTTTCACTTCCCTTTATGAAGTCTCTCATGCACATCAGCACAGAGACTCTCATCACACAGAAGGAGCTCAGATACTGACAAACCCAACTGAAAATGACAGACATGATCCCAAATATTTACCGACTACATTTCTGTGTTGGTCATGTCAATTTGAATCAACAGAAAAGGAGGAAAAAGTTTTCAAAATCAAAATAGACACCAAACACTAAAAAACTTCAGAGAATATTTTCATTTTAAACTGATCAGTTTTACAAATTGTTGAAAATCTTGATTCACAAAAAAAACCTTCAGAGTTATTACTGTGGTGCAAATTTCAAATGCATTTTTAAAAGTTATTCAAATACCTAATATGAGCCTTTCAACCATCAGCCTGTTGAACTTGAACTAAAACTAACAGTAAAGCTGTCCTGGGCTCACCTCCATAGTAAATGATGAGAAATTAAAGCATTCTTTCAGTTTAATCTAACAAGCAACATTTATCTGCATTGAACATGAAAAACACAACTTCAGACTCAGATTGAAAAACTGTACAGAAACTTACTTCCAACATCCAGTCTGGTTCCTCCGCCAAAAGTCAACCACAGTGATACAAACTAATGAAGCGGCCGTACAAAAACCTCTGACTGTAGAGAGACACGGCTCTCTGACTCTGACTGAACTAAACCTACCAGCCCTCAGGATGTCACTTTGTTCGCTCAAGTCAAAAGATTAAATAGTAAATTTGTAGTAAAAGACAAGCCTGACTTCAAAATCTGAAATTACTTTTTCTTGAGGATCTTTTAAATCCAAAGTGACATTTTTCTATTTTCTTAAAGGTAAAAAAATGAGTTTAAAATAAAGAAAAAATGGGACTTTTGTCCTACAGATTTTAAATTCAAAGCTAGGAAGCCTCTGAAACCAAAAAAGGAAGAATATTTGACTTACTTCCAACATCCAGTCTGGTTCCTCCACCAAAAGTCAACCACAATGATACAAACTGATGAAGCGGCCGTACAAAAACCTCTGACTGTAGAGAGACACGGCTCTCTGACTCTGACACAAACAAAGTCACCTAAATGTGTGTCTGTCTGCAAGACCTTTGAGCTCCAATGAAAGCAGAGAATTCAACGTTGTACATTTGAATTAATCCAGTTTTTGAAGATCTTTATTGATTTACTGAATAGTTTACATTGTCATTGTCCTCAGCATCGGGCGAAGACTGATGAAATCTCTCCAAATAGATGTATAAAGTAGAACAAACCTAAACCGTCATTGAACAAGTCATGGACGCTTTTTGATCAATCAGGAATTAAATTTATTGATCCATTATTAAACATCATCATCTCTATAATCTAAGGCCCTGTTGGAGTTAATCTGAGTATTTCCATAGAGAGTGAGTTTGCATGAGCAGCAGTATGCTCCAGTGCTCTGGGAGACTTTATAGTCCTGAGAGTTGAAGACTAGATGACTGACAGCTGTCCTTCATCACAACAGAAGCCACAGAAATCCTCCTCATCAGAAACATGACTGTGATCTGCGTCCTCATCTGGACTCTCCTCTGCTGCTGCTTCACAGGTAAAGTCCAGAGAATCCAACTCCTCTCCTCCATGAACATCCGTGCGTCTGAAATGAAGCCCACAAAAACATGACAGTGCTTTCTGTGTTTGTCTCTGTATCCTCAGAGTCCAGAGGAAAGGTCACAGTGACTCAGCCTGCAGCAGTGAGCTCTGCTCAGGGAGGAAACGCACAAATCAGCTGTACCACCAGTCAGGCTGTTCCAGGCTGTAGCAGTGCCTACTGTTTAGCTTGGTACCAACAGAAGGATAGAGAAGCTCCTAAACTTCTAATTTATTATACTAATCAGCGAGCATCAGGGATATCAAGTCATTTTTCAGGCAGTGGATCCGCATCTAGTTTCACTCTGACCATCAGTGGAGTCCAGACTGAAGATGCAGCAGTTTACTACTGTCAGAGTTATCATAGTGGACCTGCGTTCACACAGTGAAAAAGCGTCGTACAAAAACCTCCTTCAGTCAGACTGAACAGAAACCGAACTGACTGCTGCAGCTGGAAGTTTCTGCAGGGCTTCCACGCTTCACTGAGGACACACATGCATGCACACACTAACACACACACACTCAGCATCTCTTTCATAAAATCATCCTTTATGCTAATGATATACTGTTTTTCATTTCTACGCTCTTATCTCTTGTTCAGCCACCACTAAGTCAATCAATCAATCAATTAGTCAACTTTATTTCTATAGCACATTTAAAAGAACAACAGGGGTAGCCAAAGTGCTGTACATTATGACATAAAAACAAATAAAACAAGCAAAGAACAAGATAGAGTGAGCAAAAATACATAAATGCAATTAATAGATAAATATATAAATAAGCAGGCTTACGGCAAGTGCTAAGATGATAACAAACAAAATAACACTAAAATCCATTAAAAGCCAAGGAATAAAGGTGATATTTTAAAAGGGATTTAAAAACAGGAAACAAGGAGGCCTGTCTTATTCTCAAGGGCAACTCGTTCCAGAGCTTAGGGGCAGCAGCTGAACACTCTGTCACCTCTGAACTTCAGCCTTATATTGGGGACCCTCAGTAACAGCTGATCAGCTGATCATAGGGGTCGGGGTGGGCAGTAAGGCTGGAGCATCTTGGAAATACAAGGTGGAGCCAGATTGTTCAGGCCTTTAAAAACAAATATTAAAAGCTTAAAATTAATTCTGTGCTGTACAGGGAGCCAGTATAGGGACGCCAGGATGGGGGTGATGTGCTCACGCCTGCAGGTCTGGGTGAGGAGACGTGCAGCAGAGTTCTGCACAAGCTGCAGGCGGGCGAGGGAAGCCTGGCTAATCCCTACGTACAAGGAGTTGCAGTAATCAAGACAGGTAGTGATAAAAGCATGGATTAATTTTTCCAGGTCAGATCTTGATAAAAACCGGCTTCACCCTCGCTATTTGACGTAGCTGGTAAAAACTTTGTTGTACTACTCTGCTGATCTGCTTCTCAAATTTAAAATCAGGGTCAAACTTAACTCCCAGATTAGTGATGACATCCTTCAGATAGGGTGAGAGGGAGCCTAGGTCAATGTTGAGGGGCTGGCCGCCACTTGGTCCAAACAACATTACTTCAGTCTTGTTCTCATTTAGACTGAGGAAGTTAAAAGAAAGCCAGGCTTTAATGTCCTTAAGACAGTCTGTGAGTTGTTGGGCTGAGTGAGAGTTGTTCTGTGCTAGTGGAAGATAGATCTGACAATCATCTGCATAAAAATGAAAGAATATGTTATGTTTCCTAAAAACAGAACCAAGGGGGAGTAAATAAAAGGCAAATAAAAGAGGGCCAAGGATTGATCCTTGGGGGACCCCATGTGGAAGAGGAGCTGTTGATGACACTGAGTTGTCAAGTTGAACGCAGAAACTTCTGTCCGTTAAATAAGACCAGAACCAGTCCAGGGCGACACCCTTAATGCCCACACAGTGCTCCAGGCGAGAGATTAAAATGCTGTGGTCAACAGTGTCAAATGCAGCAGACAGATCCAGGAGCACTAGGACAACAAACTTTCCAGAGTCCGTTGACAAGAGAATATCATTAGACACCTTCAAAAGTGCCAACTCTGTGCTGTGGAGAACTTTGAAACCAGACTGGAACAACTCTGTGATACCATTATCTTCCAAAAATGATAACAACTGATTGTAGACCACCTTCTCTAGAATCTTGGACAGGTAAGGAAGATTTGAGATGGGTCTGAAACTGGCACAGAGGGATGGGTTGAGGCCAGTTTTTTTAAGTAGAGGTCGTACTACAGCATGTTTAAAATCCCTAGGTACTGTACCAGAGGAGAGGATATATAATATTATGATATACTATTAAGGACACTTGGTCCAATAGTAGCAAGTACTTCTTTAAACAAGCGAGGGGGGATGGCATCTGCAGGGCAACCAGAAGGCTTCATATGGCTGACTATGTCCTTAAAAACAGAGAGGGACACAGACTCAAATTTAGAAAAGACAGATGAGGGGTGCAGAGGGGCTGAAGGGTCATACGATGGTTGAGAGATACAGGCTCTGGTTGACATAATTTTATCAGTGAAGAAGTGGAGGAATTTTTTCACAAATTTCAGTGAAGGCATCATAACCAAGAGACTTGGGAGCCTCAAGGACAGTGTTTATGGTTTTGAACAGAGCTCTGGGATTGTCACAGTTAAAGGCAATTAATTCTGAGAAATATTTGTTCTTCTCAGCTTTCACAGTCTTCATATACTTCCACAGGGTATCTTTAAAGATGCTGAGTGACGCCATTCAACCAGGGCTCGGGCGTAGGTTTGGTGTGCCAGCTCTTCAGAGGAGCGATCATGTTCAGTGTTTTTAGACAGGTGGAGTAAAATCTCAATACACACAGAGGCTGCAGAGTCACCCTCGCAGAGACCAACAAAGGTAGAGGAGAACAGAGCAGGCGAGGAAGAGTTAACCCTTGTACCTTCTTTCCTCAGAATCCCTAATCTGGCATTAGTGGCACGGAACTGCCACTGTCACTTAGTGGCCTATAAAATCATCTATAAATGAAAAGTTGCCCTTTTTTTATCATGGCTGTCATCATTGACTTCTGCTCTAACCACTCATAAGAAAAAATCACCCAGTTTCGAACTTTTAAATTTTAGTGTAAACACATTGTAAAAAATGCTCCAATTTAAAAAAAAAGGGGCTAAAAATCACTCAGTTTCAAACTTTTAACCCTTTTAATTTTAGTGTTAACACACCGTAAAAAATGCCCAAAATTAAAAAAAAAGGGCTAAAAATAATAAGAGTATTGCAAAATCAAATTTCTTTGTGCAAGATTATCAGAACCTATGAGTGGTATAAGTATGTGTAAAATTAGTTTTAGTTGCAGTTTCAGTTTTTGCGTCACAGCATAAAATAAAAAAAAACGACTAATCTTGCATTAATGGCACGGAACTGCCACTGTCACTTAGTGGCCTATAAAATCATCTATAAATGAAAAGTTGCCCTTTTTTTATTACGGCTGTCATCATTGACTTCTGCTCTAACCACTCATAAGAAAAAATCACTCAGTTTCAAACTTTTAACCCTATTAATTTTAGTGTTAACACACCGTAAAAAATGCCCAAAAAGGGCTACAAATAATAAGAGTAATGCAAAATCAAATTTCTTTGTGCAAGATTATCAGAACCTATGAGTGGTATAAGTATGTGTAAAATTAGTTTTAGTTGCAGTTTCAGTTTTTGCGTCACAGCCTAAAATAAAAAAAAACGACTAATCTTGCATTAGTGGCACTGAACTGCCACTCACTTAGTGGCCTATAAAATCATCTATAAATGAAAAGTTGCCCTTTTTTTATTACGGCTGTCATCATTGACTTCTGCTCTAACCACTCATAAGAAAAAATCACCCACTTTCAAACTTTTAACCCTTTTAATTTTAGTTTGAAACATGTGTGTGCATGTGTGGGTGTTTGTGTGTGACTGCGTGCGTGCGTTTGTGCGTGCGTGTGTGTGCCCGTGTGCGAGTGTGTGCGTGTGCCTGCGTGCGAGTGTGTGTGTGCGCGCGTGTGTGTGTGTGCGTGTGTGCTTGTGATCAGTGGAGCTGAGGGGAGGTACCTCCAGATCAGGTGGCGCGGCACAGCAATTAGCCCATAGACATAATAAAAGATAGACCCCGCATCGGCCGCTACCACGAATGGGCGCTGTCGAGAAATGCGGCCGCCATCTTGGTCCGGTCATCCGCCTCACTCTGCACCACTGTTTAACCGGCGGAATGAAGTCTGAGCGCATTAAATCAATCATAGTTCGCTCAATACTACGTAATTTTCTTCTCTGCAAACGCCATTCAAAGAGGCATGATAGAGGCCATATTTTTTTTTTTTTTGGCGTTTTCAAATACTCAGAATGAATAAAATGATATTTTAGAACATGGCAGCAGTGGCTGTATTATAGTATAACAATTAATCAAGGATATATCTAGGTTTAGAGCTAGGTTCCTGCTATGTCTCAATAATTATTAATAACTGGCGGTTTTAATAGGCCAATTCAATATATATTGATTTGATTATATTTTATTTAGTTTAATTTTATTTATCCATTTGTAGACACACACAAATAATGTCATATAGAAGCACTATTTTAATAACTGGAAAATACACACAAAGAAATACACACAAATATATAGCCTACATATCAAAAAAATTTAAACACAAGAACAGCGTGACAGGACAGCATCTAAGCCACATATCAATTTGCTTGTTGGCTACACAGCACAGAGGAATCACTTGCTGCAAATTTCTCCCTCTAACAGCAATCTCCCACTTCTTCCTCAAGATTTTGTCCTTAGGAAATCTTCAAAATGAAACAGGAGATCACCACAAAGAAATCTTTAATAAAACAGATAATAAAACAGAGCTCACTTTCTTCCTTCTTCTTTCTATTTTATTTCTTAACGTTTCTTGGAACCTCTCTCAAACAAAGGTTTTTAAATCTAATGCAAATCTGTTGATAATAGAGCAAAGTTGCTATTATTGTGAATAAGCTAGCTGTTCGCAAATGCCGTTTCCTTTTTGGAGTTGACCGATAGTCTTCCTCTTTGGTCTACAA